TAGAAGGGTATCTAGGTTATCCTTAATCTCTTATACTACTTAGTTTAAGTCTATTTCTATTAGGTACTTATACTATAGTCGAGTCCGGCCTATATATAAGAGTACTTAGTAGTATACACTAACTCGTATACGTAGTACGGCGAAGGTATATTCTATATTTCCTATATATTTCTATGCTTATTATTTAGTAAAGTATACTACCCTCTATATCTAGTAGAAGTTATATATACTTATAACGTCTATCTCGCGTCGTAGTAGTACCGTGTTAGTAGCTTTATATACGCCTAATATAAGACGGAGTATACGGTCCTATATAGATTCGAGCTTTATTCGCCTAGTCTATATAAGGGCCGTATACTAGTACTCGTGTCCGTACGTAAAGGCGGGTTATACTATAGATATATATAGCTAGCGTGCCTTATCCTAGGCGGTTCCCCACGTAGAGGCTATAATCTATTATATAGCGGCTTCTATCTAGAGGGCCCTAGAAACGGTATATACTACCTATGGTCTCTATTTAAGCTTATTATTAATTATAACGCTAAGTACGTGTATACTTTATATCGGCGGTTCGTTAAAGGCGTCTATTCTAGAGTATCGCTTACCTTCCCTAGTAGTCTATTTCCTATAGTAGTTAATAAAGTATATAAGTTAGTACTTTTTAGGGGCGAACTTTACTCTATAGCGCTTTACCTATTAGATATATCTCCCGTAGTCTTATTCGAGTTATCTATATATTTAGCTAGTATTATTATTAATAGCTAGAAGGTATATATTATCTACGTACCCTACTACCTCTATACGTTATATTCTCTAGAGAAGGTCTATAGTAAAGAAGAGAAATAGAATTAGGGAGATAGTACTTCCTTATAGGATGCCGTAAGCCGTCTTCTTATACTTACTTCGATATCTAGAGATATATATCTAGGTAACTCTTTTAGTAAGGAAGGACTATATAAACCACGTAATCTACGCGGGTATACGCCTCTTCTATAAGTTATAGATAAGTCTTATATGGTTTACTTTATCGAATGCGCCGGCCATGTTAAGAGAGAGTAGCGTTACTATACGTCCCTACTTCTATACGGTCTAGATAACTTCGAGAATATATTAGATAGTAGTAATTAGAGAGCTTCTAGCCTTCGCCTTCTAGTTTACTAGGAGGAGGTTATATTTCTATACTACGGCGCTTATCTTCTTCGTAATTATAGTCTCTAGTATCTTCCTAAGATAGAAGAGGAGGGTAATTAGCCTCCATTCTTTTAGGGAGTTAGAGTTCTTCCCTAGTTTTAGAAGTATAATAGTATAGATAGCCCGGAAGCTTTAGAGGTAGTATCCGTTCTTAATATATACTTAAAATATATAACTAATAAGTGGTAGGGTAGCTAGTATAGTACGTTTAAGGCACCTATTCGGTATCCTATCCGGTCTAGGTACCTTATTATTTAGGAGTACTTTAACGGCGTTAAGTATATTCTCCTCGATAACCTCTTAGGGGATATTAATTATATCTAGATATTTAGTATTATTAATATCTAATAGGTCTACTAGCTCCGGGAGGGGGAATATAACTTTACGTAAGATCTCCATCTTCTCTAGACTTATAGAGTATATTCTCTCTTAGTATATTAGGGGAGGCATTAGTAGCGGCGGTATCGGCGCGTCTATACCCTTAGCCTACTTTACTATACGCTATAGCTCTACGGCTTACTATATATATTTATCGGTAATTATACGCTATTACTTTCGTTATTTATTATAGAGGGCCCTATTACGATATCGTACTACTTTCTTCTACTCTTCCCACGCCTTAGTCGTCCGGATATAGTATATATATATATATAGTCTACGGGCGTCTCTTCTATACTCTCGTATTTAAGGTATACCCCTTGCTTCTAGAGGTCTATATATTTAGTATAGCACGTATTTATCTCTCGTGGCTTAGTATACTTAAAGGAGGACTTATACGGCCTTATCTATAGCTAGGCCGTTAGATACGTCGACTATAGAGGGGTCTAGAATCGCCGATTCTAGGTCCTCTAGGTATTTATCCTAATTAGTATCCTTCTATAGCTATTTTCTACGTTATTTATTAAGAGTAGAGACGTCTATTATGGTTTCTATATATTCGTAGTCGGAGTCCGTCTATATCCGGCTCGGGCGGTAGTACTATACTCTATAGCTAATGTACTTAGTAGTAAGGGTAAGGTCGAGCGTAGACCCGTCCTTATTCTATTTATATTTTCTCTAGGTAATCTACCCTATAGGTATAAGGAGGTATAGAAAGTCATGGTACCGTATATATAGTTCCCTTACTCTAAGTTCTTCTCTTACGACGGCTAGGCCTCCCTACTATCTATAGTAGAGATTAAAGTTACCTAGGAGGATATATTATCCCGGCGTCGTGGTGCCCTCTAGTATATCGTCTAGTATAAGTAATTACTATTAATTATAGATATTATAGATGTAGATAGGCCCTATACTTATCTAGAGATATAGTATTATCTAGAGGTTATTATATTCGGTATAAGACTATTCTAAGAGCGGGATCGACTTATATATATAAAATATAACTCTTCTATCCGGGCCTATGGGGTGGATAGTATAGTATCCTAGGTATATTATTAGCTTATTAGTTTAGTAGTATTTATATAGTTCCTAGATAGCTATTATTACGGCTCCTATTTCTTCTAGAAGCGTTACTTAGTTTTCTTATTTATATTATACGTTTACCTATATAATAATAAGTATATCTTATACCCTTATTAGGTGCTAGGGAAAGTTTAAGTCTATATATTAGTGGCGCTAAGGCGTGATTATCCTCGCGCGGTAGCGGCTTTAAGTATACCCTAGGGTCGGCCTATCTTTCTCTATATAGTATACTATTACACGTTATCCTCTCCCCTTTAGGGGGTAATTACTAGATTTATAAGTAAAGTTAGGGATAGCGGCGAGGGTAGCGAGGGCCTTATAGCTTAGTATATCTACCTTACTCCTCTTATCTTTATCACGTTAATATATTCTACGACCTACTTACGTTTCGTATACGTTACTAACTAGAATAGGTATTTCCCGTCGTAGTTAGAGTACTTAGCGGTATCCCTATCTCGCGTCTTATCGCTCTGCGTCTTATAAGGGCATGCCTTAGTATTATAGCCCTATTTATACTACCTATAGGCGGTCTTCTAAGAGTACCTCTATCTAGTATATCTATATCTCTAATAGTTAAAGTATTACGTTATTATCTATGCTCTATTCTATAGTTCCGCCGTAAGTAGCTCTCCTTTAGCTAGGAAGCCCTTCTATGTTATTCTATAGACGAGAGTAGGGTCCCTAAGCTCTACTATTATAGTAGAGTACTTTTTTAATTTTATCTTAATCCCTTAGACGTTCTTCCACCACGCCTTCGCGATCTTAATTCTAGGGTACTTTGGTTCGTTAGATTACTCTATTTACTTAATATTATCTTCTCTAATAATGTATTCTCGGATAGAGATAGTATATATCTATATTAGATACGTGGTTACGCGGACGGACGCGCTAGGGAAGATATTATTAATTACGTTTGGGTTACGCGAGATAGTCTACTAGGCTGTATTAGTAGTAGTAGTTAGTACTATACCTTCTAGGGTGAGTTTAGCGGCTACTATATTTAACTATATCCCTTTCTATTTATTAATCTTATTTATAATATCCTTTAGGGACGCTTACTAGACTTATACGAGTACTTCTTTATTCTAGATAGTAACTTATATACTATATACCCCGTCTATAGGTGCCCTTAGTATTTTAGCTAATATAGCTATTCCGTTTATAGGTGCGGCGATCTATACCCACGTACTAGGGCGTTTTCCCTAGGTAAGGCCCTCCTAGATCCTCTATAGACTGGCCTCTATACGATCTAGTCTAGATTCCGGGTCTAATTCTAGCGCCTATTTTACTCCTACGGTAAGCTCTCTAATATTCCGGATAAGGTTCTAGAAGATACTAAGTAGGGCCGTTTCTCCCTTCTTAACTTCCCTCTCTATATATACTATCTAGTAGTTAATCTTATCCGGGAGGGTCTCTCTAGGTAGAGTCCCCTCTATCTCTATTATCTATAGTATTATACGCCCTTAGTTATTCGTTATTTATTAGACGGGGGTTTAATTATTCTAGAATATACCGCTATATAGCCGTTTCTACTATACTAGTATTAGGGGTATACCCGGTAGAAGCCGGGGTATATTAGTGCCTAAGGCCGCTATAATTATTAGTTAAGGGTAGCCCTTAACTAATAAAAGGGGGTCGGCGTGTTAGTATTTATTAGATATAGTCTATACTTATATTATTAAAGAGTCTTTAAGCGTATATATATAGTATCTCTATATATTAGTATCGTCGTATATTATACGCTATACGTATATATGTATGTCGGAGATTGTTATACTCGGTGTACTCTATCGTTTAATGTATGTAAATCGCTGTTTTACCCCGAATTAACTAGTTTAGTCCGTTAGAGTATAAGAAGTTTTATCTCTTAGAGTATAAAGAAGTTTTTTATATAATACTATATAAATAAATAGATTCTCTATTATTAATTTTAATATTTATTAATCTTAGAAATCTTATCTAATAAATATTAGTATTAAAGGTTAAAGTTTAGATTAAATTATAAAGTAAGCTACTAGAAACAATTAATTTATACTATTCTTTAGAAGAAATAATATATTCTTCCTATATAATATCTACTCTTAGATCTATTAACGTAGATCTAACTTCTTACATGTAATCTTAGCTAACTCCTCCATGACGTTAGGATGATAGCTACCTGATAGTATACCATGAAAGCTACCCAGTGCTTACCTACCTAGCTAGGCAGGTCCCTGGGTAGTAGAAGCGAGTGCCGTACGTGGGAGGCGATTGGGTGATAGGTAGATGTACCTAGACTGGCCCTGCATTAATCCATCAAGATAAGTTACCTTAGAGGACGACCTTCTCTATGGATATTCCTTCCCGAGGTCGACGCCACGGTCGGCTACGAGATCCCGTCGTGGTCGACCGACCGCTATAAAGCATACCTTGGAACGGCAGAGCATGAATTGGAAATATGCTGTCTGTCCCGCATTCGTCGAGTCTTCACAAGTGGAAGGCTACCGTTAGCAATAAGCCATGATGTCCCCACCGACTAAAGTTATCTCTGCCCTTGTGGCGGCCCTCCTGCCCTTTGCAAGAGCCATCACTCCCGAGTGAGTTTATCGCTCTCAACTATTGCTCATATTCTGATTGACATACTTTCTTTCTATAGGCTTATGCTTGCTGCTCCTCGCCGGAGTGCTGCAACTGTCAATCCTACTGCTGTACCTTCTCCACCGAGCTGCTGGGTAGCTTCCTCGTCCTGACAGATATATAGCAATTGGCTGTGTTCACCTCTACCACCTACGATTGGGCTGAGCACGAGCCGTCAACTACCTGGAACTTACTCCATGTTGCCACAGGAAACATCTCTGAGCTCCCATGGGGCAGTGAAGTCTCAGAGGTACTGTGGATTGGGCCCACTGATACTAGCGTCATCTACATAAACAGAACGAATGATGAGGTCTCTGGTGGTATCTCCATATGGTCCGCCGACATTGGCGCCGAAATTATTGCTCCGTGAGTCTCCACGCGAATCGAGCACAGAGCTCTCCTATCCAGGTCCTGGCTGACTCCTTAGAAGTTCCTTCATCACCAGCCTTGCAGCACCGTTCTCTGGCTTTAAGGCCAGGCAGACCGAAAATGGCGACATTAACTGGATCGCTTCCTCGCTAGCCTATGCGAACAACGGCAGTGCTTACAACTCGGAGCTCGCAACCGAGCCTTATAGTACCGCTCGATATTATGACAGCATCTACATTCGCCATTGGGATGCATACATCTCTCATGAGCGCTATGCCGTGTTTGCCGGTACTCTGGGCAACAGCAACGGCACGTGGGCACAGAAAGGAGATGTTCGGAATCTCATTAGTGCCCTCGAGTATAACGTCACTCGCCCCGAGACTCCTGTTCAACCGTTCGGCGACTCTGGTGATTTCGATCTCAGCCCTGACGGCACAAGTGTTGTCTTCCTCACCAAGGCTCCTCATCTTCCAAAGGCCAACTACACTGCCAGCTACATATACCAGGTCCCTTTCGATGGCTCGTCAGCTCCCAAAGCTATCAATGGTCCAGGCAGCCCCGCGCCCGAGACTGCTAAGGGTGCTTCATCTTCTCCACGATTCTCTCCTGATGGCAGATACGTTGCTTATGGACAGCAAGACGGTATCTCATATGAGTCAGACCGAATCAAGCTGTACCTAGCTGATCTTAACTCTGGTGAGATAAAGAACCTTGCGCCTGACTGGGACTTGAGTGTTGGGCTTCTAAAATGGGGACCTGATGGTCAGCACCTATACGTTGGTGCCGACTACATTGCTGCTACCAAGCTCTTCATCATTCCTGTCAATTCGGATGCCAGCTTTATACCAAAGAACGTAACTGGCAGCCGTAAGACTTCTATCACCGACTTCGATGTCCTTCCCAATGGTAACGCACTCGTCTCCTCCAACGCTGTCTGGACTTCGCGTAACTTCTACACCGTGACCCCGGAATCCCATATTGAAATCCTTTTTGCTGCGAATGATGTTGATCCTGGTCTCACAGGTCTTCACCCGGAAGACTTCGAGGAGTTCTGGTACCCTGGCAGCCAAGGTGACCTCCAGCACTCTGTCCTAATCAAGCCGACCAACTTCTCTGCAGATGAGAAATATCCTCTGGTTTTCTATATTCACGGTGGCCCGCAGGGTTATACCGGAAACACTTGGAGCACACGATGGAACCTGCGAACATGGGCTGACCAGGGCTATGTCCTCATTGGCCCTAATCCAACCGGCAGTACCTCATTCGGCCAGAAGCTTACCGACAACATTACGAACGAATGGGGCTCATACCCGTACGAGGATCTTATCAACGCATATAACTATGCGAAGGACAATTACGACTATATTGACTTCGACAACGCTATTGGGGCCGGCGCCTCTTACGGTGGCTTTATGACTAACTGGATCCAAGGTCACGACTTCGGTCGCAAGTTCAAGGCACTCGTGACACACGACGGGACCGCCTGTGGCGAGTGCAAGTACCAGACTGATGAAATTTGGTTCATAAACCACGACAACAATGGGACGTGGCTTAATGCTATGCAGAACTATAATAAGTTTGATCCGCTCGACCATGCCGCAAACTTCTCAACGCCACACTTCATCGTGCACAGCGATCTAGACTACAGACTACCTGTTGGAGATGGCATCGCATTGTTTAACGTGCTACAGGAGAAGGGCGTGCCAAGTCGATTTCTTAACTTCCCAAATGAGAATCACTGGGTACAGGACCGGGAGAATAGCCTGGTTTGGCATACGTAAGTCTTCCTATCCTTTGTTACTAGGTAGCTCTAACGGTCTATAGTGAGATCTATAACTGGATCAATTATTGGACAGGCAAGGTTGACTCACTAAGCGACACGCCCATAAAGTCCTAATTAACGAGAATATGAATAATAATAACGGCCGGAGACGAGAATTATAGTTTATAAGAATACGAAATAAAATAACTTAGATAGATTATATAGCTCTATCTATGTCCTTTTTATATCTATTCTTATTAAATATCCATCTATAATATCTTTTATATTCTATAAGAATAAAGTATAAAAGGTTATAGTATAGCTAGATATAATTAATTTAGTACTATTAACTTGTTTTATAAAGTCGATCTCTATAAGTATATATCTGGCTGCGAAGTCTCACGAACCGCGTCCACGTCGTCGTAGCTGGGCAATGCCTCTTCGGAGGTAGCAAGAGGTTCGGAGCGGCGTTAATGGCGACCTCGTCGTCGCTAGGTGGGTAGTTGTAGAGTTTTCGCGACGCGTTACTCTACAGGGACCACACCGTAATAAACCAGCTGGGATAGCATATACTTCCATCCTATTCTTAATTAACGCGTTAAGAGGAGTCCACGAGGATACCGGGATAAGAAAACCACCTAACGCGCTACTGCTGTGTTAAAAGCAGGCCTGAATCTACCTTACCATGTGGGTAGAGAAAGCGGAAGTCCTAGTAGCGCGATAGGACACCTCGAGGCTTAAATGGCTCTGGGTGCGTAAGGATTAGCGAGAAATCACGTCGAGGGCAACTACAAACTACTGCGGATGAACTTGTTAAGGCTAACTCTCCTATAGTGTTAAACTACGTTTATTAAGACGCCTAGCGCGACCACCAGTAGCGCGACTCTATTAAGACCTTTCGCTCGATACGGGATACCGCTTAGGTCTAGGATAGATAGAGCGGCTCCCGCGTATAAGAGATGTCATAGTCTACCGTGGGAGGTAGGGCGCTAGTATACATAGATAATAGTACACGGACATAGGCAAGAGGCGGCTATAGAGACCTATTAAAAAGTAGTGGAAATAAGTCGGGTTAGTAGGTAGAGGATACTTAAGTCGCCTAGGCGCGTCACGCGAGTGTACACGTATAGGACTTAAAGAATGCTCGCCTATAAGACACGGTCGGCCTATCGTAGAGAGATCCTCATGGGTAACGCAAAACTAGATAGTAGCCATGCTTAAAGGCGGGGCGTGGTATATAGTAGTAACTGCTGGCTCTAAGGACCTCACCCCTTTAATGGGCTCTAACCTTTAGTATACCTAGAAGTAGGCGGGATCACGTCCTGGCCGGGGAGACTACTATATGGCCCGAGAGAACGGATGCGCGTGTCGATTTATGAAGAGACAGAACGTGTCGCTAGGCACGCACGCTAGTAACATGAGTTTAAGGAGCAAACCTCGTAGTTTCCTAGCTAGAAGAGGCGTCGTGCCCCTCTTCTAGTAGAGCTGGAGGTATAAGCCTAAAGGGGATGAGATAAGGCAAAAACAGGAGTAGGGCCTGATGGTATAGGGCACGTCGAACCTGTAGGAGTCATCCGACTTCGAACTGGAGGCCTCTTCTTCACTGTAGACCTCCTCTAGGGAATGTAACACATAGAGGTAGTAGGGTACGCAGACGATATATACCTTCTAGCCATCGATAATAACACTAGCCAAACATATAGATAACTTAAATAAGACCACGGGAGATGCGTCTAATGGGTAAAGCGCCACGGAGTAAAGTTCGCCCCCGAAAAGTACTAACTCATGTACTTTATTAACCGCCGTGGGAAATGGGCTACTAGGGAAGGCGAGCGACGCCCTAGAATAGACGCCTTTAACGAACCGCCGATATAAAGTATACGCGCACTCGGCGTCATGATCGATAATAAGCTTAAATGGGGACTATAGGTAGCATACGCCGTTTCTAGGGCCCTCTAGGTAGAAGCCGCTATACGACGGATTACAGCCTCTATATAGGGAACCGCCCGGGATAAGGCACGCTAACTATATATATCTATAGCACGACCCGCCTTCATGTACGGATACGAGTGCTAGTATACGGCCCTTATATAGACTAGGCGAATAAAGCTCGAATCTATATAGAACCGTATACTCCGTCTTATATTAGGCGTATATAAAGCTACTAACACGGTGCTACTACGACGCGAGACAGACGTTATAAGCATATATAACTTCTACTAGATATAGAGAGTGGTATACTTTACTAAATAATAAGCATAGGAACGTGTAGGAAAAGTAGAATATACCTTCGCCGCGCTACGCGCGCGAGTTAGCGTATACTACTAAGTACTCTTATATATAGGCCGGACTCGACTATAGTATAAGTGCCCGATAGAAATAGACTCGAACTAAGTAGTATAAGAGATTAAGGATAACCTAGATACCCTTCTAGACTAATAGAGCCTTCGAGAGCTCGGACGAAGTATACGGTCGTGGATCTAAGATAAGTAGAAAGAGACACTCCGGGCCTAGTGGGCCTTCTAGTAGGATAGGTACCTAGAGTGGATCTAAGGACTATAGAAGGAGCTAAGTAAATGGATATATAAAGGGCTTATAAAGGCCTAGGCATCTATACTCCTCTAAGCCCGAACGGGCGCTATAGGACTTCTATACTACCTCTATAAGAGAGGCGTCCCCGACGTGTCTCTATAGTATAAGGCGTGTGGCCGGAGAGGCATAATACGCTACTATCTCGTAATATGCCCCGATCTTCACACGTAAAGGTAGAAGCTTATCTATACGATAAGAACCTCCGATATCGTACGATAGCTTAATAAGTTCCTAAAGGACGTCGCCCGGTAGATAATTATATATCTACCACTCCTCTAATTCTAGTGGACCCGGAAATATATACCGGAAGAGACCCGGCATACGCCGGTAGTAACCCGATATATACCAGAAGAACCCCGGGAGAACCCCGATTATTAGTTAAGGGTAGCCCTTAACTAATAACCTCCGCACCTATACGTGCTACCTAAGGGTAAAATAACGGTAATATAGGCTATAGGCTAATAGGCGTACCCTATAGCTATATACTTAAGACGAAATAGAGGCTTAACGAGATGTAGTTATAGATATAAGGAAGTTTTTCTCTATGGGGTTTCTTCTTACATAGTAGCTTAGACTAGAGGAGGCATAGGCCTATAGAGTACTACTCTACCTAGTTATATAATATTATTATTATTATAAGTATATATCTTAGATAGTATAGATTAGTATTTAATATAACTACTTTTACTACTAATTTTTTACATATAATTCTACTTAAGTTACTATATTCTACTCGTAAATTTATACGAGTCTACTAGTCTATACCTAAACAATAGTATAGTATTATTATATATTATATAATAGTCTATTATAGGTAGTTCGGTAGTATAATACTCTCTTATACTTCTATCTTCTATATTTTATATTCTCTATAGTCTATAATAGCGAGTAAGTACTACTATATACTAACACGGAAGACCGGTATATACTGTATTATTACGATTCACATATTCATGGATGACTTTTTTTGTCTGTACACATGTATACGTATGGAATCAATAGCCGACGTCATGTAACGGCTAAAAGCGATTCGTATTGCGCATGATCCTCCCAGAACAAATCACCCTCTATCACATTAAGCCACCTCACTCCTACTAAACCTACTTCTCCACATACACCTACGAACCCAGTACCATGCTTACCATCCACCCAAATCTGCCCTCATATTCACAGCTTTCCATGACAAAGCAGAAAACGATGCGCCAGAAAGAAGTTAAAGGCCGTCAAACACAACACGGGGAAACAATCATACCACTTCATGCCACGCAGCACTTGATATGTCGTCCCGGCAATCAGCGCTCCGCTCGCACTGCACATCCACACCCACGCCATGATACGCATATTTCTGTACTTGTTATTCTTGTGAGCCTTGGTGTCGCCACTAGGCACCCAAGCCAACGCTCTCCCGAATAGTCGGTCTTTGATAGCGGTGAAGTATGCAAAGGACTGAATCATCATGACGAACTGGACATTCAGTCCGTATGATGCCTTTGCCCATACTCGAATTGCAAGCAGCGAGTACAGAATACTAGGTACGGCAAAAGCAAGATTGTAGTACCGGACATACTCGGGCCGTACCCATATCATGAGGATACCCGGTAGCGGATTCAGGAAGATAGACAACGAAATGGCGCTGTAGTACATCATACCTGACAAATAGCAGATCTTCTGCATCAAACTCAACGGCGACGTCCAGAAGTCTGGGTTCGTAAGCAGCGTCGTGCTACCCATACACCATCGCATCTGCTGGCTGAAGAATGCACGCGGCGTATCCGGGCAAATACCACAGGCCAGGCATAAAGGAACGTACTTGACCTGCCATCCGCGTGTCAAAGCGTAGAATCCGGTGTGTACATCCTCCGAGAACCCAATTTCGGCCGTACCGCCGACTTCAACGAGGGCTTGGCGTCTGTAAACGGCGTTGGATCCGACACAAATTGATGCACCGAAGCGGTTGCGATTGACTTGGATGACGCGGTAGAAGAGTTCCTGTACAGCACCTGCACCTTGCTCGACCCAAGTCTGCTCGTCTTTGATGCGAAAGAACTGAGGTGTCTGGATGATTGCTGCTCGTGGATTGGCTATATGTTCAGGGATGATCTCCATGAGGAAGTCAGGCCGAGGGCAAAAGTCCTGGAATATATCAGTTGAGGTCCAATGATGTGCTAGTAAGATCCCATGTTACTTACGGCATCATAAATATTGAAGAAGTCGCCAGATGTCCGAGCAAAAGCCCATCGTAAATTCCCAGCTTTCTTTAGCCGCGGTCTATCATCTCTCAGAATATAGGTGAAGCCGTACTGCTCTGCTAGGGTCTTGACCGCCTCGTCTGCCCCATCATCGAGTACATACACTTTCAGCTTATCGGGTGGGTAGATGAGCTCTGTGACATGCTTATATGTGTTTTCGAGTACCTCAATTGGCTCTTTACAACACGGAAGATAAATGTCGACTGTCGGTGCTGTCTCTGGAGTGACTGGATGATCTTCTAGTGTCTTTTTGTGTGCCTCGTAGTCCCAATCTTTACCACAGATCGAAACTGCATATGAGACAAAGAGATAGCATTGGAGCAGCACGACCATAAGACCAAACCAGTAGAATGGAATCGAAGAGACGACGAACAACCACATACCAGCTGACAAGCTGAGAAAAGAAAGACATCCAAACGTGTACAAGAAGAGGCGGTTCGTCTTGAGATATGAGACTTTCTCTACGTCGGTTGGCCCGCTCGGTAGTATTAAAGGGGGTGGCACTCGAGGGGCGTACGTAGCAATCAAGTTATTCCTAGCGCGTCGAAAGATGTTTGGCGTGGTCTTCTTCCCTTCAGCAGAAGGATATTCCTCCTGCTTTTCGACTGCTACAGCATTCGCCGTTGCACTAGCTTCGATATCATCGTGTGCTGACTCCTGCTGGTAGTGCTTATTGGAGAAAGGTATACCGACACAAGGTCGAATAAGCGTCCGACTCGGAGTCTTGATAGTGAACATAGTGTATACATCGTTCGCACTACGTGTCAGGCCGGGCAACGAACTTCTACGACTGAGGTGGGCAGGGGCGGGCCGTGGGAGGGAGGTGAAGCTTCGAGATCGTGTGACATGACGGTGGATGTATCTATCGTCCGATTCCGATTCCTCGTAAACTTCTGTGATATCTGGAGTCGTCCTTGCGGATGCAGATCGCTCAACGATGCTAACAGTGCGAAACGCATAGTGCTCTGAAGCCGATATGGGCACACGGATTTGGAGCGAGTCATAGCTAGGCGTGGCACTGGCACGCCCGGAGAGATCGTTTGGGTAACGTATCCTAGGAAACGCTCGGAGCTGTTTCGAATCCTGTGTATCTAGTGCTTGTCTCAGACCAGTCCTTAAGCTAGCATGGAATTCACCAGGGATATGTGATGTCTGATCGTGAGCCGTCAGCATTTATCGCGTGGGAATCGAACGGTCCATTACTCACACTGCCATCATCTGAAGGTGTTCTGATCCCGTAGACTAGCTCAGGTGTACTGCTATTGTTGCTGACAGGGTTGGATGTCAGACTTGCATGTCGCCGAACGCCTATGTCTTTCAACCCTTGGCCTTCTTCTGTAGCTCGAAGTTGAGTTTGGAGCAAATTGGCATCAAGTCCAGAATCTTCATTTGAAGACTGTGCTGCAAGTCGCCTGGAGATATCCTGACGAGTTACCACATGTGCGATCGCATGGTCTTGATGCGCACTGAAAGTCATATTTGTTCGGTGGACGGGCGGGGACCGATGGGCCATTCTCAGTCGGGTTGGAGGAAGTCGGAGAAGTCGAGACTTTGTACCAACAATGATCTATCCACTGTTGACTTTCGGAACTTTTCTGTCGTTTTAGTGTCCTCTGCAGCGCTGTTGTGGCGGCCCTAGACACAGCTTCTGCGCAACGTCTTGGAATATCAACCCCCATATCGACAAAACCCACTGGATGCTATATGCAGGCTTCTCGTGGTATCTTCTGTGCACTTCGGGAGTATACCCTGTTCCTCAGGTAGGACGAATGAAATGATAGGCCTAAGCTCAGCCCAGGGCGTGGCATTGTGGCGACCTGCGATGCCTCTTGCATCGAGCCATTGACCGATAAACCGGTAGCCTGGGATTTCATACTTGCTTTCCACGAACACTCACACGTGGTAGTTTACAGGGGGAACATGGGTGGCTCTATTATGGCTATAAAGGCGATGACGCGACATGGCACGCCTAAGAGTGAATCATTGAAGGGGTGGTGATATTGTGATTTTGCAACGGTGAACGCGCATAGGCGATATTTCAGCGGGCCGTGCCGAGAACCGCTTCGATCCAGACTTTGCCTATATTGGAATAGTGCAGGAATATCGGAACTAGTACTTACGTAGCTTCTGTCGACCCATTATAATTTATCTCAACAACTCCTTATCATCTCTCATCGAGTCTATTCACAACCTTCAAAGACCTCTACAATACAATCAGTAAGACGACTGACGCGTCGCTTCGGTACCAACTCAATCGACCTGCCGACCTAGATGCCGTATAACGAGCATCAGGCTATCAAAGCTTCCTACCTGTCGCCCTTCGAGAGCACAGTAGGCGCCTTTCTGCCATCCGTGTACTCAAGTGACGGACATTGGTCTCTGGGACATCGTATCACCGTCTTCCGACTCGGGATCGTGCTGCATGGCTTGTTTCCGACCTCATGGGCGCTGCGATGGACGCCGAATGGCTCTTGCAGAATAATGTTCTCGTGTCTGGTCTGTGTGCGGGTTCAGACTACTTACGGCACCGAGATTCGATCTTGACATTCATTGACTGCAGATCTTCTGCAGGGTGCCATTTCATACCTAGTCGGACTGCATGGGACCCTGATCAACAGTAACTTTTTGTCCTGTTCCCTTTTCCCCACCGGCTCTGGCCCTTCCTTGTCGTCAATACACATGTTACAACTCCCTTATCGTTCTCTCTTGGCCCGCATATAATTCCTTTCTCTATGCACAGATCTCTCTCACCTGGCTCAAAGGCTTTAATACCTTGATTTATCAACGGCATTAGCTCTCACAGCTCTCGCGAGGCTTTGGTGCCCCTGTCCGCTAGACTGCATATTGGAACACTAGGACTAGCATTTTACAACGTATACTGGAAGTCTATTGCTTTCGCCACTGTAAGTCTGTAGCATCTCAGCCCAAGCGAGAATCACTCTGCGCTTTGTGATCCCGCCTCGGGCGCCTCTGCCACAAAGCCATAGAGCGTGGCCTAGACTAGGTGCCACTGCTCGACTTTGTACAATCTCGCGGCATATAGCTTGTGACAGCGCTCAAGACGCTCATCCAAATGGTGACTCCGCGCACTGTATTCTCCTACAAGATTTAAAGAAGTGCTCCGAATCTTTCTTTCTCCTGGGAATTGAATCAGCATATCCTTTGTCTAGATCGTTCAATCACAGGGACTTTGTTCTTATTGTACTTACAGGTCCTGTGTCAGATTCTGGCAAAATGTCCGCTTTGTCCAGTACATCCACACCTTGTTCACAGTCAGGGACTGCGTCGCCTTCGATCTCTCCTACTTTGTCTCGTACTTCGAGCTCAACATCGATCTCTGGCTCTGACGACAATGCGTCACCCAAAATATCGACGGAATCTGGTGGGCCAATTCGAGCTCGGGCGGCAGATTTTGACCCTGTCACCAAGATATGCTTTGTTGGTGCTGGATACGTAGGTTAGTAGACAGTTCAGCTCACATATGACAATACTAACTATGAATGTAGGTGGGCCAACGGCTGCAGTTCTGGCATTTTCCAATCCACAAATTCAAGTTACCGTGGTCGACAGGGACAGTTCAAGAATAAGCAGATGGCAGTCTAAGCATTTACCAATCCATGAACCAGGATTGGACGACATTGTACGAGTTGCGCGAGATGGTACAAATGCCACAATCCTTGCACGTGGCAGTGCCAAGGAAAGTGTGGCTTTTCCTGAGCGTACACCAAATCTCTTCTTTTCTACGGACTGCGAACAACCAATTGGTGAAGCGGACATCATTTTCCTGAGTGTCAATACGCCAACGAAATTGGTCGGTGTGGGGGCTGGGGCAGCAACCAATATTTCGATCTTTGAATCAGCTATGAGATCCATTGCTGTGGTAGCCAAACCCGGTGCCATCATTGTTGAGAAGAGTACCGTTCCTTGCAGGACTGCCCAAGTCATCAGAGATATTGTAAGCAACCCAAATTCGCCCTCTGACCATGCCATTAATAAAATTTGAAGCTTGATATCCACCGCCCAGGGGTACCATTTGAGATTCTGTCCAATCCGGAGTTCCTCGCCGAGGGTACAGCTATCTCTGACCTACTACACCCATCAAGAGTCCTGATAGGCTCAAGTAACACCTCGTCTGGTCTTACTGCCGCTGCCAGACTAGCTCTAGTCTATAATGCGTGGGTTCCCGAGGCGTCGATCCTTAATGTTCACCTTTGGTCATCAGAGCTTGCCAAGCTCGTGGCGAACGCCATGCTAGCACAGAGGATTAGCAGCATCAATACCGTCAGTGCGATATGCGAGAAGACAGGGGCAGACGTCTCGGATATTGCTAGTGCCATTGGAATGGATCACCGCATTGGTGCTAAATTCCTCCACGCAGGTTTGGGTTTTGGTGGATCGTGTTTCAAGAAAGACATCCTAAGCTTGTCATACCTTGCTGAGTCACTTGACCTGCCAGAGGTGGCTGCATACTGGAAGTCTGTCGTGGATATCAATGTTTGGCAATGTGAACGCTTGGTCAAACGAGGTAAACGCCCGCTAAGATGAGAGGCACTGCATCAGCTTACCTGTGTCACAGTCATCAAGTCACTCAATGGTTCGTTAACCGGTAAGAAGCTGGCTATACTTGGCTATGCTTTCAAAAAAGATACGTCCGATACTCGAGAATCACAATCGATCTCGGTCATTGAACATCTACTTCGGGAAAGACCCGCGGAGATTGCTATCTACGATCCTGGATGTACACCTGCCGACATATGTACAGAACTTCAAGCCTTATTTGGTGCAGCTGGAAGCGGCATCATTGCCCCAGAAGGGCCCATCAATGTTCACGCAGACCCATATACGGCGTGCACAGGCTCCTCCGCCGTACTCATACTTACGGATTGGGATCAATTCAGGTACCCACCACTCTCGCAGGCTGACAGCTCTGCAGCAGCCGTCGAGAGCTATGTGCACACTGCTTTGGCCCGTCTGGCCCAGGTACAAGTCCTACCGGAGGACTGGGACCTCAATGCGCAGCAGACCCTATTTCGCTCCCAGCCTCAATGTAATATAGAGTGCACCAAATGTAACAAGGCACCTGGCGCACTTAAGAGCTATCCTGGTGAGAACCTCAAGTGGGAGGAAGTTGGCCGTGGCATGAAAATGCCCAGGTGGGTGTTTGATGCACGTGGTGTTCTTGATGCACAGGGCCTGGAAGACATGGGTTTCCGAGTAGAGAGCGTCGGCAAAGTTGGCAAAAGATCTAGGTTGCGAGGGTTTGAGGTCTGCTAGGAGACCGCTGATTTCCTTCCCTGCATTTCAATCGTTGTTTGCTTCATTCCGTAATAGTTTGACTTTTGGGGGTTCTGCTCTATCTCATGGCAAACGCGTCACGACATCTTTGGGGTAAGGAGCAAACAATATGATAGGTAGTACTCGTTCCCAGGTACCAGGGTTCGGACGATAGACTCGGCACAACCTGCATAAATGTGATTCTCGCCCTACAGGGATGAATATCTGCACAGTAGATGTCACCCCTGTGGCTCCTGAAATTCACAATTTTCCAACCCTGTAGATACCCAATCCTTGCATTAACAGTGCTACACGTCCATTATCTCCACTAATAAAATCTGTCTACTCGCAGTCGCCATCACCTGGAAGATTTCAGGTATATCATATTATCCCTACAACACCTCCGTATGTATTGTCCACTATTCCAGTGTGGGCCTAAAGTCGTGCATGAGTTCACAACTTGGTCCACTCCCGACCCAGCTGGTCGATCCCTACCAGTGATCCAACGGTAATACGTTCCGCATTATATCGAGTCTATGCAATATAAGTAAACTTGGAAGCGCAGAGAATGCGATTCATCCTCGCACTGGACCCGAGTGACCCGAGTCCGGTAGCAAGCCCTCTTACAGGTCAAACGTAGCTACGTCCCGCGTGGAAAATTTACCAGGAGGTCTCTCTTCGCGACCTTCTTGCACCGTAGTACCGTAGTGCACCTGTATTACGGTATAGCATTGGCTGGAGATTCAGTGCTGCATCCTCGCTCTCTCGCGTTTTTCGTGCCAGCTCATCAAGCAGATATATTCTTAGTGCAATAGTGTCAATTCGCATGCGCAATTTTAGGACTTCTTGACAGCTTATCTTTGGGTTTATCGAAGACGTTTCGCCCTCACCCTACGCACTTAGTCACGGGGCACAACGTGCTGTATACCACACGGTGTAGCCAGAGAGCTGACGGCGGTAAAATGTCTGCCGTCCAACATAATAGATACCACCTACGTCTCTTATCATGGTGCACCAATCGTCCACCCACAGAAGCAGGTAACGCCCGGTGGAGGTGACGATCTCACTCTCTGACCACCTTCATAGAAAGCCTCTCTCTTCTCCAATCTCTGCGGAGGTTTTCTGTTCTTCCATATTCGTGGAACCCCCAACTGCTAAAGCACAGTATGGGGTACACCAAGGCCGTTTGGAGCTATCTGTTGGGATGTCGCGTGCTGCTCGGGCGTGTAGACGCCCAGAACCAGCCCCAACAGTTATGTGGAAAAGATGACGCGCGTGTACAGGGCAACTACACATGTGAGTATGACCAGAAACGGTTCTCATTACATCTCATACTTTGCTCTTGATACTACACGCTGATCAGCTGTTAGTCAACAGCAATGCCTGGAACCAAGTATGTCTTTTCTGAAGGACGACCAAATGCAGTCCTGTATGACTTCTGATGAGCTCCATAGGACGAATCTGGCTGGACGTGTCTATATGTATGTCAAAGAGGCGCCGGACCCACTTCTAATGATGACATCTTGTAGCCATCCAGGGACAACACAAGCAATGCCTTCATCGCAGAATGGAGGTGGCAATCGAGTCCACCACGAGTGCATGCATACCCGCACATCCAGCTCAACTCTGACGTCTTGCCCGTCTCGATTGCGAATCTCTCCCAACTGGATTTATCCCTTGAGTGGGCAATGAAGGTCGGCCTCCTTCAACTCGCATTCACGAGCAGCCTAATACCTCCAAACAGCCCTCTTCCCTCATTGAAGGTTTATCCGACGACCCAACTACTTCTCCTAATGCTGATGCTCTCGATGCCATCGGTATCGAAGCCAATGTCGTTATGGACCTCTTTTGCGATGCCGACGCAAACCGAAGTAGGACACCGGCGAAGCAACGTTATGAGATCATGGTGTGGCTAGGTCGATTTGGCAGGGCCAGCGAGCCGATAGGTATGGATCAGGCGCGAGTTACGCCCATAGTGCAGACGGTTGGGAATGCTGAGTTGTGAGTAATGCCGATGTCCTGTAAGTCCATCGCGGAGAATGATTTCTTGCTGATACTCGACAACGATAGCACGCTGTATGCAGGCACAAACGGCAACGGACAGACCGTATTCTCATGGGTCACTACAGCGCCACTTACGCAATTCTACGGTGATGTCACGCCGTTAGTGCATTTCCTCCCTAGGTATGGTTTCATGCCTTGGGACACGTATCTGGGTACTGTTCAGTTTGGCAGTGAAACTTTTTACGCCGCAGAGAATGTCAAGTTCTATGTAAAAAGCTTTCACGCCGATGTAAAGAGCCCAGCGGAGGGTGCAAGTCCTGTGGACACGAGTGTTGAAGAGCTGCCAGTACAGACCAGTGTGGGCGGCGGAGCAGCGGCCTTGGAAGTTGCGAGTGGCCTGTGGACATATTTGTCGGTGGGTACAGGGTATTTCGTTGCGATGCTGCTTATGGGAGGGTTGTCAGTATTGTGATTGATGCTCGAGCCGGGTGAGATTTGTCGTTCTTTGACAATCGTGAAGGGGCAGTGGATGGATGCTAATCATTGTTCGAGATTAAGAACCCTGTTACTCTAGAAGAGAATTATGATTGCCGCCATACGGTGACTCACTTCTAGACACTACATTAGTTTGCATGGTCCGCCTGTTTATACTCAATTTGTCTTCGTATGTATTCCATGCAACTTCCATAGCCCAAAGGTCCGCGTGAAGTACCAATCCATGAACCAAGTCGGAAAGAAAGTCGACAGCAACCACACCAGCCATGACTTGTTCCCCTCCCATAGGAAGCGCGGCACCCTCTTACGTGTCGCAGCATTCACAACGCTCTTTGCATAATCTTTAGCAGGCATACTAGCTCCCTCCTGACTGTGCTTTAATCTGCGCTGGTAGTCTGAATCAATCGGCAGGTAAATCGAGTCCAAAGGTAAGCTACGTTCCGTCCGCGCAATATTTGACTGTATGCCTCCCGTCACAATCGTAAGTACGTGCACACCGAACGGCGCGAGCTCAACGCGCAACGTGTTAGAATATGCATGCAACGCCGCTTTCGAAGAGTTATATACACTGCCAAACACGTATGGCATTACGCCGGCTAAACTGCCGATTTGTACGATCGTGCCCTTAGCAGCGATCAACAGGGGCGCAAATTCGCTACACATGCGCATGACACCGAAAACGTTCGTTTCGAAAGTGTACTGCACTTCATCATAGTCGACGTGGAGTGCGGGTACAGTCAAGTTGCGGCCAGCATTGTTGACAAGGTAGTCCAGGCGACCGTTGGTGAGAGCGTCGACTTGCAACTTGAGGGACTTTATAGATGCTGGCTTGTGGACTTCGAGGCTAAAGGTCTCGATGCCGAGGTCAGCGAGGTGTATGATTGAGTCTGTATTGCGAGCTGTGGCTAGGACGCGAAAGCCTGATGAATTCGTCAACGTTGGTAACATTACTTTGACTCGAGTTCTAATAATGGATAGATACCTTTCGACAAGAATTCCTTAGCCAAAGCTTCCCCGGCACCGCTGCTAGTCCTGTGTGATGTCTTAGTCTTCCATCATCAGATGCGAACTGTGTAAAGCATTGTGAGATTTTCCATACCCTGTAATCAGGACGATCTTCCGTGCGTCAGCCATGACGACTTCTTGGCTCCGGAACTGATGGAAAGAGCTGAATTTCTAGATGCGATGCTGGAAATTAACTCGACCTTGGCCCTTGGGGAGTTAATTAGATTGTCCTTGGTGTTCTGTTCTATGCCGAGTTTGGATTGATGAGCGGGGACGCATCTGATGGATTTAGGCCGCAACTGGATAAGGCGCCAATGGGCCATCACATCAGATTTTACCCTGATCGAAACTCAACGTGATGTATTGTATTCTACACTAGGTTGGAGAATACGGATTTGGGGGGGAACATAAGCTCCAAAGAGACGAAGAAGTTGCTAATAGATAGTTGGTAGACCTTATTAGTGAGTGGGCTGAATATAATGTCCGTCATATCAATGGCACGTTGATTCTGAATGAGAGCATAGATATATAGATGATTTCACTATGGTCGGAATATTAGTGGTTGAACGAATGGATGAGGCAATTCCTTCGTCCTTAACTCTGAGCATCAGGTGAATATATGTGATTAGGGTCGAATTATACCGTAAGATATCCATTATTGCTTAGTAAGCTGTTCCCTCGGCGCGGCTCTCGGCCTTTTACCGCAGCTTTTCTACACTTACTAGCTCAAACTACTCACTTCACACTTCACACTTCGCACTTTGCATTTCGCGCCCGACAATACATCCCAGCGCCTCATCTACAGTCTTTCGGTAAAAAACTGCCGGAGTGGCCATTGCCAATATCTCCACTCTCACTCTTTGCTGTCCCTTTCTGTATCTGCAGAATGGCCGCGCAGCCAGATATCTCGTCAATTCTTGCAGCTCTTGGTAAGTTTTTCAAAACACACATCTCATCTATACAAAATTAATGGACCACCACCTCAGCTGCTCAGCGACCTGCCGGTCAGAGTCAGACTCCTCAACAGTCGGCTCCACCGCCACAACCAGTGCCTGGCATGCCACCTGGATACCCAGCTCTGACCAATCCTACTCCACCGGCTGGCCTTCCTGGCTTCAACCTCCCACAGCCCTCTGGCTCTGGGAGCTTAGATCTCAGCTCGATCAGACCTGTGAATACAGGCTCGGTTAGTATCGCCGACGCGATTGCTAAAGCTCGTGGCTTTGCTGCTGAGAAGGGATACGATAGTGGCCGCGCAAGCTCAAGTAAATCTGCATTCGATGGTCAAAAACGAACTGTGCTAATATCGCAAAGTAACATCCCGAGATGACCCCAGAACAGCAAGCCGACAACAGTATCGACGGTCGCGCTCACGCTCGAGGACACCACCTCGTCGAGACAACTACCGTGATAGCTATAATCCTTACCGCGATGAGCGTAGAGCTGATAGACGCAGCGGCGGCGGCGGCGGCGGCGGCGGCGGTGGTAGCAGTACATATGGCCGAGATCGATCGCGTTCTCCAGGACCACGCGGACGTGATACTTTCTCACCTAATCGTCAATACGCACGCGACAGGACACCCGATAACTCACCAGACAATGAGATCATTGTCATCGACTCTGCGCTGGTAGGCCTTGTCATTGGTAGACAAGGCGAAAACTTGAAGCGAATTGAGACCGAGACCAAAACACGAATACAGTTTATCAGTGGTCCTGAGAACAGTGGTCCTCGCCGACACTGTCGTATCACGGGTAATACACGCGCTAGAGTTGAAGCCAAGCGAGAAATCAATAGAATTATTGAGGAGAATGGTGGGAATCCACCACAAGACATGAATGCTGGCACCAGAGCAAATCTTGCCATGGCAAACAGAGGACGCCAACAACAGAATGAACGCAGTGTCACCCCAGTACTGAAAGAAGGTGAGAACTCTCTACAGATTATGGTACCAGATAAGACTGTTGGCCTTATCATTGGTCGCGGTGGTGAGACTATTCGCGATCTTCAGGAGCGCAGTGGCTGCCATGTAAACATTGTGGGCGAGAACAAGAGTATCAATGGACTACGACCCGTAAATCTTATTGGCACTCCTCAAGCTGCCGACAAAGCCAAGCACCTTATCCTCGAGATTGTCGAGAGCGACACGAGGAATCCAAACGGCCAGCAGCAGCAGCCGCAGCAGCAGCAATTCACAACAAACCAAGCCCGAGGTGGTGGCGGTTTGGATTTCGGTGGTTTCAACCAGGGAGCTTCTGACAAGATCAATGAGACCATCCACGTTCCTTCTGAGGCTGTGGGTATGATAATTGGTAAAGGCGGAGAGACTATCAAGGATATGCAGAACACGACTGGATGCAAGATCAATGTTACCCAACCAAGCGGTGCTGATATTGAGCGAGAGATTGGACTCATTGGTACTCGACAAGCAATCGAACAGGCGAAGACAGCTATCTGGGACAAAGTCGAAACAGTGGTAAGTAGCGTTGCGAGCACTCCGCTGTTTACTTGTACTGATTTCTGTAGCAACAACGTGAACGTGATGGTGGAGGTCGTGGCGGCGGTAACCGCGGCGGCCGGGGAGGACGTAGCAACAACAACGATGACAGCTACGGTGATCGTTACTCACAACAGCAGCCATCGTACGGCCAATCGCAGGTCATGATGCCCAACACAGCTACAGGATCAGCACCCGCTGGTGCTGACGCCGCTGGAGCTGACCCTTATGCTGCTTACGGAGGCTATCAGAATTATGTTGCGATGTGGTATGCAGCCATTGCCCAACAACAGGGTAGTCAAGGCCAACCAGGCCAGGGATCAGCTCCTGCTTAGAGTCGACTTTCTGGTGATATTGCTCGTGCTCTGCTCATAAACGGGTGAAGCCTCGACATGATCTGATACGCCACGTTGAGATTCTCGCCGTTTCTGACATCAACTGCATCTGGCGATACTGACGCGACTGTAATATGCATGCATGGCCGGCGTTGTTCGCAGTGATGCATCTTCTGACGCTTTTTCTAACACCTTCTTCGTCACGGTGACACCTCTGGTCCTGGACTTATGCTTCGACTCTCATCTCATATCTGGATACCCGTCTTTGCATTGACCTTTTCGATAACATAACTCTGGCCTCGTGTTTGACTGGGAAATCTGCACACTCGTATTCGCGATCTACGTCTCGTGATCCTCACGGTTGTGGCCTTTTTTGTTTCATTTTGAGGCTTGCCTGATCTCTTGATGTCGATTCGGTGTGTTTGAAATCGACCTGACCATTTGCTCATGAGGTGTTACGTCTTTCTGCCGTTGGACATCGATGGCATGACGCGTTGCCACAATCACACCCTGCCTGACATGGCCCGCTTATAGCCTTGCCGGAAATGCAACTACTCGATGAATTACGGTCATCAGCTTTAAATATTACGCTCACATGGTATCACGTCTCTACGAGAAAGCCAGAATTCTCTTGATAGCTTGCACGTATGCCGACTTCATACTGCATATGTACTCGTAGGCACTGTGGTTAGTCCCCAATAGGTACTTATTATTATTATATGCTTCGTTGCTCTGGTAACGCCGCCCCTTGGTTTCCATACTTGCACATCAATTGTACATAGGTGTGTCAATGCTATTATCTTGTGTTGAAGTTTTCGCAGACGCTGGGGAAACATGTATGCCTACAATTCATGTAATTTTCTACTTGACTACATGAAAAGACTGCCTCCGGTCTTCGCAACCTGCTCATCAAAATATCCCTGAAATGCTAACCACCCCTTCGCCGGTAAACCTACCTGCTCATAGCTAAACCTTGCCTCCTCCTCTCCAATCAATTTTGGCTCTCTTCCACTCCCAGCCCTAGCCGCGTCCACCAGAAGCTGCGCATGGCATGTCTTATCCAAGCTAATGAACCAAAACGCTGCCTCGTCTACGCTCTCCCCCACGGTCAACAGCCCGTGATTCATCAGTATACAGGCCTTCCCCTTTCCCAAGCATACCGCAATGCGCCTGCCTTCCTCCCTGTCCAATACAACGCCGCCAAAGGAGTCATATACGCTGTGTGATTTATAGAACCGCAGCGCGTCCTGGGTGATCATGTCCAACTCACGTCCAAACGCACTGAACGCTTTCCCATATACACTATGCGCATGGCACGCCGCATTGATCTCCGGTCTTGCCTTGTGAATCTCAGAATGAATCGCAAACGCCGCGGCATTGATAGGCTCCTCGCCCTCTACTACCTCGCCTTGCTCGTTCACCAAGATCAAATCAGAAACCCGAATCTGGCTGAAGTGCATTGAAAGCGGATTCAGCCAGAAATGGTCGGTCAAGATGGGGTCCCGGACGGAGATGTGGCCCGCAACACCTTCGTCAAAGCCGCGGTCTGCAAAGACGCGAAACGCGGCCGCGAGATGCTGTTTTCGGTATATGCGTTCTTCGAGGAGGGTGGTGAAGTTGGGGTAGGAGCGGATTTTGAGGGGTTTGCCAGTGACAGTGCGCCCAAGGGCACCCAGGGCGGCGTTATGGGTGGGCTCAGAGACGAGGGTCGTTGCAGAGGGGGTCATGGTGGCCAAATATGTGCGTCAAAAGCTGATGCTGGTATGTATGTAGTGTGAATACAATTGTTTAGATATCCTAAATGCTCATGGATCTTACGAGATAGGTGGCGACCTGTGGCGATCATTTATGGCCGACGGATTGCAGGGACGGAGAGGGAGGGGTCTCGTCAGAAGCTAGGGGAAGCTCGATGAACGCCTTTAGCTGAGTTCAAGTCAAGCACTTTCAACCACGCTTGGACAAGTATGTGTACGAGTATATAGAGATGGAAGAACCGTACCGAAGAAAGATATTCTGACCGGAGGTTAAGGGCGAAGAAGATTTGGATTATTAAATCTACACGAGTAACAGCCAAATCCAAGACCCAAATGTTTCACTCTATCGTCAAGCGCCTGCGAACAAAGCGCCGCAACCAAGGGATCCTGACTGCTTTGTCTTCTTCAGTCACACCAGAATTCGTACATGACCCTCTCATTTACAACCCTTCCATCGTTCATTTATGGGTTCTCCTTGACGAACTTAACACCCTTCTCGATGTTGCCCTTGAGGTCTTTCAGGCAGGCATCGAGGAGGCCTTGTTCGTGAGCAGTGAGCTTACCTACGGGGTGGATCTTCTCAACACCGTTGGGGCCGAGCTCAACATTGGAGGCGAAGTAAGTAACGCCTTGATCCTTGTATAGATGGCTCTCAACGAATGTTGGCTCGATGACGTTCTTCTCTCCTTGAGAAGCTTTCAGGAGAGACTCAGTGAAGCGGGCACCAGCCATAGCCATGGAAAGAGTAGCAGAACCAGCGCCACCCTTGGCCTGGACAACCTCGTCGCCACCAAATTGAACGCGGTGGACATAGCTGTCAAGCTTCTCGCCCTCCAGCGAGTAACCAGACTGGGATAGAAGGGGAACGATGGTAGCTCCGGAGTGACCACCGACGACGGTGATCTTCTCATCTGAGGGATCGGTGCCCTTCAGCTCAGAGATGAAGCGAGAAGCACGGACAACATCGAGAGTGGTGACACCGAAAAGCTTCTTGGGGTCATAGACGCCCTTTGACTTGAAAACCTCAGCAGTAATGGGAACGGTAGAGTTGACCTAGTGACACTCATTAAAATTGGTCCCTGACCGATCCAGATGATTTGAAGACTACGTACCGGGTTGGAGATGATCAAAACCTTGGCGTTTGGCGCAGCATCAGCGGTAGCTTTGGCGAGGTCGCGGACAATGGATGCGTTGGTGTTGAAGAGGTCTGGAGATAGGATGAGCTGTGTTCTATGATGATTGCGGAGCAGACCTACCATCACGCGTCATCCCAGGCTTACGTGGAACACCAGCTGGGATAACAACAATCTCAGCACCCTCCAAAGCTTCATGCAGGGCAGACTGAGTGGCATCGTATCCTTTTACCTGCAATATCGTCAGCCCTGAAGGCTATTGCTCGGAACCGTGGGGCCGCATACCTCGCTCTTGGTGTTGATGTGACCAATGTCGGCGGCGACACCTACGACCATAATGTCAGAACTCCATTGTCCGATGGTACTTTATTACTCGACGTATACTGAGTGGAAAGCTTCGGCCTACCGGGAGCTAGACGGATATCGTAGAGGGCGAGTTTGGAGACACGAGGGTTCAGCTTCAGTAGCAGCGACAGTGGCTGACCAATACCACCGGCAGCGCCGAGTACTGTGACCTTGGATGCCTACAGAACACTCATCAGCTTCAATTCGCATATAGAGCGATGATAATGAATGCCGAATGCGTTTCGGGAAATGTAGTGCAGCGTAGTTAGACGGGGCGTACCTGACGAGCCGAGGCGGAGAAGGCTCTCCTCTGAGTGGCCCCGAGCATCTGGCGTGCAAAAGACATGATTGTGGGGGTGTAGAAGAGAAGACTGGGTGAATTGATGGTGATGACAGAAGTTCTCTGAGCAGAGGATGAAGAATGATGGGAAAGAGATGAAGTGTAATACCGTCCAGGTGTCGTATTGAGGGAAAAGTTTCAGAGCCAGAGCTAAAGTCAGAGAGCGCCAGGACCACTAACTGGTCCCTGCGCCGACTCCGCGCCCGCCAAGCCCTGCATACCCCTCTAATCCTCTATAATGCAAGTGAATTCTTCTCTACTATCCGCACAACAAACATGTACACATATGCAAGAGGTTGGACGCAGGTGTTTCTGGTGTCGCCTTCACGATTGATATATGCCAACGAGCATCTATGCATTGAGAGCCAGCCAGCCTTGTAGTAGCCACACTGATAGATTTGCCCCCAGGATCAATCACCATACGCATCTTGTGTGTATGGCTTCAGCATTGCCTCTGCTCGCTGACGACAGTGCATGAGACCTTGACTTGGCAGATAAATCTATACAGTTTGGTGCTGAAGCTGACCACTGGTGCTGATACTCTTCCATTTCGGAGAACTGGCCGACTGCCTGGCTTATCAGGTAGCAAGTTAATAAGAAGACTCCCTCAATCTAACAGGCACTCCATATCTTGATGGATACTGTAAATAGCTCCGTCATTTCAGAGGACGCCGACGGCGTGACGCTCATCTACAGTATGGATCAAACCTCTGGATCCACTGCAACGCTCGGGACTCATTTAGGGTTGTTGGTTGATCTATCCGGATGCATCTCGGCGCGCGCCTCGTTCAACTGACACTTCAACCTCGGCTACTTACGCTACATTGGCTCCACCTTTCACCCCAAACTCACCAATACATCCCGTCTTCTCCCATCCACTCGCCGTGTTGTGCTGTCTATTCGGTCTCTACTGCTAGCGGGACCTCCGGGCAGCAGCCGAATTGCAAGGCAACCAAATCCGACGGCCGAGGTAGCTTTTCCAGATTCACCTCTCTCCCTACTACTGCCCAGGTGGCCGTGTCCGACTAGCTGTATCCTTGCGTACTATACGCTAGATAGATATTCTTCTCTTCTCTACTTTCTCTGCCTACACTTCTCCAATGTTCAAGACAGTCGCGAGAACGCGAGCTTCTGCGTTTGCCCTCCGCCACCGACCTCTCACTGCTCCTGCATTCAAGGTACCCGATCATCCTTTGCACATACTAATCAATAACTAACTACTGTCATAGCCCCTCGTCATGGCTCCAGTGCGGAGGAATAACTCGTCTCTGCCAGAAGGTGAGCAACGGACTGATGTTTGCTCGAAAGAGCCAAAGAGCTGAGAATGCCAATCTCCCAGGCTACGTCGAGGATCTCAGCAAAGGCAAGATGTTGCGCTTTGAGGACTCTCTGCCTCGCCTTCCGGTACCCACTCTAGAAGAGACCTCCAAGCGATACCTCAAATCCGTACACCCTCTCCTCTCCAAGTCCGAATACGAACAGACCGAGAAAGCTGTAAGTGATTTCGTCCGCCCTGGAGGCGTCGGTGAGACACTGCAATCACGCCTGCAAGCCCGAAGAGAAGACCCAAATGTCAGGAATTGGATTTTCGACTGGTGGAACAGCACTGCTTATATGTCCTACCGTGACCCGGTAGTTCCCTACGTCAGCTATTTCTATAGTCACAGAGACGACAGAAAACGAAGGGATCCGGCGAAACGTGCCGCTGCCATTACCACTGCAGCTTTGGAGTTCAAGCGGCAGGTCGATATGAAAGAGTTGGAGCCGGAGTATATGAAGAAGCTCCCAATCGCCATGTCTAGCTACAAATGGATGTTCAATGCGTGCCGCCTGCCTATCAAGCCTGAAGACCACAGCGTCAAGTATGATTTTGAGGAACACAAGCATATCATCGTCGTCCGCAAAAATCAATTCTTCAAGGTTCCTACAGAGATTGATGGCAAGCAGCTGAACACTTCCGAGCTTGAGCAGCAATTCCGAAAAATCTACGAGAAGGCTGAGAAGGCGTCACCCGTTGGTATTCTGACCTCTCAGAACAGAGACATCTGGGCAGAGGTGCATATTTTGACTCAACCTTGAACCTTCCGGTTACTAAATCTGCACAGGTTCGCGAACGTCTCATCAGTGTCAGCGAGTCCAACAAAGCTGCGCTGGAAGATATCCAATCTTCCGCATTCCTTGTGTGTCTCGATGACGCCAAGCCCGTTACACTCGAGGAGCGCGCCCGGCAGTTCTGGCACGGAGACGGATCTAATCGGTGGTTCGACAAGCCGCTTCAATTCATTGTCAATGACAACGGTACCTCTGGCTTTAACGGTGAACACAGCGAGATGGACGGCACTCCAACCCACCGTCTAAATGACACTGTCAACTTCCTCATTCTCAACAACAAGCTGGATTTCGACAATCCCTCAGTGCGTTCTAACCTCCCCGATCCACGACCCATACGATTCGAGCTTGATAGCAAACTTCAGGAGGATATCGAGGATGCTCGCAAACATTTCGAGAGTCAAATAGGCGCCCATGATTTGAAGGTACAGGCGTACCAGGGCTACGGCAAGGGGCTTATCAAGAAGTTCAAATGCTCTCCTGATGGCTACGTTCAGATGGTAATCCAACTTGCATATCATAAGATGTACGGCAAGAACCGGCCTACATATGAGTCTGCTGCCACACGCCGTTTCCGGCAAGGTCGGACTGAAACGTCGCGGTCCGTTTCCGACGAGAGCGTAGCATTCTGTGATGCCATGGCCGATCCTAAAGTCTCACCAGATGAATGTGCTAAGCTTTTCCGAGCCGCCCTTAAGGCTCAGGGTGAGTATATCACAGCCGCTTCGGATGGTAAAGGCGTAGACCGTCATCTTTTTGGATTGAAGAAATGTTTGAAAGAAGGCGAGGAGCTTCCCGCGATCTATAAGGATCCCGCCTTCGCCTACTCCAGCAGCTGGTACATCAGCACTAGTCAGTTGAGCTCTGAATATTTCAATGGTTACGGATGGAGTGAAGTCATTCCGGACGGCTGGGGGTGAGTGACACGACTGTATCCACTTATATCATACTGACTAATTCCAGTATCGCATACATGATCAACGAAAACAGCCTCAACTTCAACATTGTGAGCAAGAAACTGGGTAACGAGCGTATGAGCCATTACCTCAATGAGGCCGCCGGTGACATTAGAGACATCCTGCTACCAAGCCTAGAAGCACCCAAGGCTAAGCTGTAAGGTATCATGCTGTTTTGTCATCTTTGCCTGTAAGGATAAGTAGGAACGCTCTGTTTTCATATTATGCGGCATCGCGAGATCGGCCAAAACATCTGTAGATCAAAGACTCAATTGCATTCGAATTTCCTAGATACGGCTCATAGCTGGTAGCGCTGCACACCCTACCCATGAATTCAAATGTAACTACGTAACCTTCAGGAGGTAGCGGGTGGGGTAGCTTATGTAAAAAGCTACTAGATTGATGCAATGGATCCGTCGGATACCTGCCCTGCTCCGGCTGTTTCTATAGTATCACCGTGCTTACCCACAATCCAAGGTGAATCTCGGCGAGCAGAAAATGTCCACTCTGCGTTCAACGGACAGTTCAGCAACTTACAGACAACATAAACAAACGCCGCGGTTACCGCCCGAGTTGATACTCCAGATCATCGATTGCTTGGTTTCTCAGCCCGGAGAACAAAGGATAGCTTGGAGTCCCGGATCAGCCATCACGAGAACACTTCTGTCGTTATCGACGACCTCCAAGTTGACATGTTCTCCAGCGATCCGGTATCTATTCACCCGTTGCCTCTTTCTAGACTCGAACGACCGGCTACGCCGACTACTACTAACTGTGGAACGCCACCGCTCAAACTCGTTGCAATCAATGCCCAATCCCAGATCAGACATACTTTCCAATATTACTTCAACATATCTTGCTCCCTTTGATGACTTCAATCTCGACGACCTCCCAACCGCGATATGGGTTAGAGAGCTCTTGTGCCATTGTTGCGGCAGTCTCCGAAGACTCGTAGTAGACGTTCCCTTCCGGGCACTTTATCCGGAAGACGATCACCTTGGCGTCCGCAATGTGCTCCACGATGCGTTTGCTCAACTTTCCAGCCTCGAGGAATTCGTCTGTGTCAGAGACGAACTCTATCTAGATCTAAACACTTCGTTGTCTGAACCTCCAATCTGGAGCACATGGTCGGCTCTCAGGAAGCTGGCTCTATACAATGTTGACACTGAAAGCACACAATTCTGGGATAGCCTTGCAGGTCTGGAGCATCTTGACACGGTCATTCTTACCAGAGCTGATTCTCTCGGCTCATGCAACCCAAAGTTGGCCTGGTTGACACGAACCCACCGGCCCATAAAACTCATCTTCGTTAATGTTGAGAGAGACCATACATACATGTTCAAGCCTGTTTGGAAGCAGCAGGATCCTAAAAACCTTGTCGACGTGATGAGTGTCGACGTTGGGACCGCCTTTTATGGTGATGAAAGTCCTATTGAGCTCTGTCAGGATTGGATTAAACAAAATGCAATATGGGGTAAATTGTGGGCGTGCAATGCAAAGCCCATGAGACAGCCTGGATGAATATGAGATCTCGCTTTATATCCCTGCTTAGGAGATGCGTTGAGTTCCTTTATTTATAAGCGTAATTCAGAGCCGTCTCAGATTCACTCATGACACCTGAGTCTGGCAATATCTTCACTCTGTAGATATGAACATTAACCTCTTGTATACCCCTGGGAAAATGTCCTCTAATTGCAGTCTAGAGGTATGATCTCCGTACTGTTCGGCCAGACCCAATTCAACATATTATATAGCGTCATAGACCTTTGTATCCTATCATCAAGTCTAACCACGCAACAGTTGGTCTGTGATGAACCCTGTAACTACGCATGATATACATCATTGTTCCATTGCCAAGGCACATGCGGTTCCTCCTAGCTGCTATTGGCGATAATACGGGAAGGGGTACCGCGTGGATAAGTTCCGTCGTTCAGACCGTCTATGAAATCGCGGTCGTAGCGTAAGAACCGAGCAATGGAATTCTGTTAGACGACAGCAACCGTTTTCGTTTCATATTAGGCCAAGTCGATATTGTGTAGATGAGCTGTAGCGTGGCTTACTAGTAATCTCTGGCTCAAAGGACGCCTCAGTCTCTCTGCCGCAGAGAGTCAAGGCACCGTCATTCATTTTAATAGTGTTGGAGTCGAAAAAGGAGACTTGTGTCAGATACATTCTCCAGTCAGTAGAGACCCATGCGCAAAACACTGTGCACTGTTGCTGGACAAAGGGCAGAAACAAGAGAGATTGGGAACCTCTTAGGTCGAGGATGTCCGAGCTGTCGAGAAAAGGATATAATTAGATATACCGTTTGAGAGAATGATGGTATACTTTGGTCTCTTTCAGTAGAATATGTGGACATGACGAGTTGGAAGAGCTATATTAGATCAACAAGCTGTGCGCAAGAGACAGTGATAGCTAAATAAATCAACGGGAACTCTGCGAACATGTAAGCATAACTAAAAGCATCCATGGTCTATACGAAACCTGTACGGTATCCAAACACTATAAAATTGTCCTCAGGGGTGCACACCCGGTCATTTGTGTATGCAAAGCGTAACTGTAACATCTTAGCCGGGGGCAACATCGTAACTTGAACCCAGATCCATGAATCAACAAGCGCTATCGATAGTGACCGTAGGTTTCACTTCATTCGAAAAGCCACTGTTAGCACGAGAGGTAAATATCTACGCGGGCCTATTCGACAAATGAAAATTCGCCTCACAGAGTGAACAAGATTGTAGAAATTTAGCGTACAATGAGCAACTCGGTGACAGCCCGAGTGTAGTCGTAATTTCAGATAGCATTCCAAGTGAACTACGTATTTACGGCGATAAATCTTAAGAATAGGCATCGAAAGCTCCTGCCCGATGACTTGTACCTTCCCTTAGGCTCAAACTTGTTCAGATCTTCGTCGTCAGTCACGTAGCGACCCAAACACGCCTTTAAGCCACAGAGATGTCAGATTCCCAAGTCTCTCATCAGCCTGACGGTAGCCCTGAGCTGGCATCGTTTCCGTCGCCGCAGTACTCCGACTCCGACTCAAGCAGCGGTGGTGTTCCGGTTCCACCTGAAGATCAGCATGTGCAGCCATTCCACCGTGCCCAGCTTCCACGCTCAAGCTCTGCGAGCTCTATTAATGGGCTATTCGTGGCGCCTCTTACCGGTGTGGTCGGCCAGAATGCTGAACCATATGCCATGAACAAGCAGTTCCGCTCGTCGTTCGAACAGCCAGGTGCAGACTCATCATCAAAGGATATGAGCAAGCAGCAAAGGGGCTTTCAAGGACCCACCCCTCCAGATGACGACGAAGAAACCCTCGAACAATGGCTCGAGACTCAGTCGGTGTCCACCGATACGCAGAGTGGAGGAGCTATGCTTACAAACTCTGGTCCGGAACCAGTCAATATGGAAGTACGCGCGGTGAAAAGGTAGGTTGCACTATTTTCTTGCCTCGATTCATGATGAGCGTTAGTTTTTCACCTGCTAAGCACTCCAGTACATCACTACAGCCAGACTCGTCAGCTATCACACCAAGAGAGATCCAGCCACGCAAAACCAGTGGTATCTCTACCGACCATTCAGAAGTCCTCGCGGCCTGGTCGTCTTTTGCCACCCGAGCCCAAAGCGAAGAATTCGACCAATGTTCTGCCTTTCGTGCCAGAAAGCATGGTCCAACTACCAACGATGCAAGATCCACGCAAGAGCCGCGACGACGGATCGAAGAGACCTTCATTCGGACAGTAAAAGGTGCCCATCCAGGCGAAAGGAGAAAGGTCATGAAGGAAAAACGAATCATTATTGGATAAAGATGCATGAGAGTATTGAATTATGCGGTATAGATGATGGAAACCGAAGGCATGAATAGCAGGGTTTGATGCCATGACAAGTAGGCTCTGAAGGCATGAGTAGCATAGTTTGACACTATGATAAGTAGGCTCTGAATAGTCCGCTCTACCGACCAATTGAATGATTCACACTTTAGTTGGACCATGTTGATCTATGCTGGATAGACCGAGTCCGGTGGTGTGAATGAAGAAAGATACCATAAGGTAAGATTCGAGACTGCGCGGCAAAGCAAAGCCGTCCTTCATTCTGGCCACAGGCCCCTTCGTCCTGTTGTACAACGCATCCCGAGACACCCTGGCCAAGAATTTACAACGCTCTTTGTTATACTCTAGCACTTAAAAGACTAAGGTCTGGTCTTCCTAAGATGAATTAGGACCTCTATTTCGCCACAAGAGAGCTTATCTGAATAGGACATGGAATGAACAATCAAAGAAGGACCTGTTTTCTCCCAGAGATCAGCTTCGAACCGATCCGACAAGAAAGCACGCCATGACCATTGTCCCACAACGCAAAAAAAGGTAGAGCTTGAAGATAAGGGCAAGATGAAAGAGTTTAGGGGCGCAGCATCGGGATAACACAAAGAAGCACAGCGTTTTCGGAATAGCAAGCCAGGAACGACGCTTAGTTGATGGAGTAGGTAATCTAACAGAAGGAGCTGGCGACTACCAGGAATAGCATGAACACATTCGCAACATTTTGGCTGCCTACTTGGGAGAATCAAGGTCGCCTGGCAGAGAACATGTGCGGGATATGGGGAGTGCGGTGGTACGGCCTACCGTCAAGGCCCTCTATCCCCTGAATGTACAATTTGACTTGAGCCCAGATAGACCTGGTAAAGAAGAAATGCTGACATTCAAAGGCACAATCGCTGAAACAAGAAAATGCAATTCGGTAATGTAAGGTCCGCACGTTGTACATTGGACCTGAGCATGATACGAGAATGAGATAGGAAGAAGTATAGAAACATCCTACGGGTTGAACAAGGTCGTATGAAACGGTCCTCTATCGCGATATGCAGCAGCAGTAACAACAACAATGCCTCCTCACACAGACACGGCTTTATCTAGAAGGCGATTACAAGATCTCTGTAAACAGTCCACATTCCATGACTTGCAAGAGACCTTCACATACCATCACAACGTAGCATGACAACAACAAGCAAGGGGGTAACGAAGTCGGCCCTCGCAAATTATTCTGCCTGTTTTAACCACAATCGACGCGACATTGACAGCGCACATGACCCACCTCTATCAAATTATGTTGTTCACTAATACGAATACACATGCCGGTTTCAATTTCTATATTTGCAATCAATACGTAGCCGGGTCGTCGGCAGTGTTTGCTTTGCTTTGCTTTGCTTTGCTTTGCTTGCTGCACGTGCCAGGGACAAGGGTGTAGTAAACATTGCCTAGAGCCGGAGCTGAACAGCCTGGTATGTCCCGGACCCGGACCCGGATGGATTGTTTTGCTGGGATCAAGCTACAAAGAACGTAGCATGCTGAATCAGGCTATGCTTTCAGACCCGGCATCAAAGATCTCGAGATCGCCGGGCTTTCATGCCTTGTACTTTACTGTATGCCGTCACATCGGGTCCTCTATTACCTCCTACTTGCCTGCCCTGCAAAGAGGCATAATTACAGACGTGGAAACCACGCGAGAGATTGTCCGGCCTCGGTCGCATTCGCACTCTCGCCCCTCGATCGGCTGTTTCGAAAACAAAAAAAAAAACATATCCAACGCCGCAAACAAGCATCCCTGATATGGAATGGACATCGACATGGACTGTCTTATTCCACCAGAAACGTTTCCGGAAGTGGTGGCAAATCGTCAACCAGATCTGCACAGCCCGCCTCGAAACGTTCTGGAAGCAAGTATTCGCTCTCGCAGTGATATTTCATGCCCAGAAACTCCCTTGCTTCATAGCTGTCTTACCGTAGGCACGCTCTCGCAGTGGTGAAACACAGCATCACCCGCAAGCACTGGATAAATGCGTCTAGCGGTCTTCCGCAAAGAGATGTGGCGGAGGCGAATAGTCTGGAATGTTGAGTGGTCCTTGGACCACTTTCAGGATGTGAGATATGATGCATCTACCAATTCCGGGCATGTACATCCTTCTAGACACAGCGTCTATGTGATGATTGCGCCTATCTGGGGGGGGGGACCAGTTGTCAGTTGGACGCCGAGCACACTGCAGCTTGCATGAGATGAGCCCTTCAGCGGTAATAGCCCGAATCGCTGGCAAGGCAGCGAGCGCTATCTGATAGATCGGCGAAGTGTAAATCTGTGTCAGCCTTGCGGCCAGCGACTTGGACGGCGAGGCTGCTGACTCTGGAAACCTGTATAGTCCATGCCTCGAAGGGAGGGAGGAGGGGGGGTCTCACATCCAAGACTCGTTGACATTATTACAGGTCGCTAGCAATGCCTTATTTTTCGCAGCGGAGGTGGGGTGAGCGTCCTCGATCGCATACATGAACATACGCGCGGCAGTCTTCGGCGCTTGGCGAGTGTTTCATAACAATGGAATGATCCGAGAGTGGAATAAATGTATGCCAATAGATGCCTGAGGCCCGTTGACAAAAAAAGGTGGGTCCGGTACCCATCCATTCGGCAGATAGGTGGCAGTCGAGGCTCTGCATAATCACCTCCATTACAACCTATCAGAAGTCGCCAAAGCCGAAGAATTGTCAAATTATTATGCTGCGTCCGAATGCCGTTCGCAACGGGCTGTGGGACGGGGAGGATTGCATGCTACGCACAGGCTGCTCCAGTCGCCCAACAGGGCGATATGAAAGAGCGAGATTGGCGGGTTTTTTTGTTTGCCTTAGATCTAGCTTGCAGGCTGGATGTGGGCGTTTGTGGGCGTGTGTGTTGTGTATGCTCGTGACAGAGGGTTGCATGCGTGCTTGCGGCGTCATAACCTCGTTGAGTCCCCACTTCTCCAGCAAGCACGTTCTGGCTCCAGAAGTCTGGGGGATTGAGAATTCTTCACGGGCCCGAGAGGCTTGTCTTGTCGTTGCGGCGCGGACAGGCGGGCGGTTAATTAGTATGAAGGGAGAAGAGGGATGGGAAGGCAAGCAAGGGGGAGGGAGGGGAGGTATCTATGGGCTGGCTGGCTCGAGGCTGCGGCTCGCGACTGTCCGAGCCGAACGTGAAAAATTTCCGGGAATGCATGAAGAAGAAGTAGTATGGACGTGTATGCCTGACCCGCGCATGCGGTATTGCTGAAGACTGGGAGATTGAGACCCGCTGAGGTTTATGATTGCGATTGTCGATGACGCCTCTCTAGTTCTATGGCCTAGACGATCAGATTTGCCTCTTTCAGTGGATGATATTGAGGCATTCGAATCTAGATGGGAGGTCTGCCCTGGCTGAAAGAGATTGTCATCACTACTACGAGTCTTGCGTATGGGCGATTGGCTGCCCAGGCACGCAACGTAAGCTGGTTGTTCTATGAGTCATCAATATCGATGTCTTGGCCGCCCTCGTAGGGTTGACGGAGTACAGGGAGTAGCAGTCATGAGCAACGAGCATGATGACTTGGCTAAACGAGGCGCAAGCGACCAGATGGATTAGATCCTGTGTAGGATTTGATTCTGGAAGACTTCGGTATCATAGTAATGTAAACAGTGAATCACCACGGCCGCAACGAGCACCAATTGTGGCAATATCTCCATTCCTGAGTGGTATCAGTGATTCTACTCCCGCAAGACAGACTCCTTTCGATCATTTGATACAGTCCCGACAGAGGCGCCGATCCAGCCGACTTCTTTTGTCAAAACCCGTCAAACGTTGGGTGACCTCGCTCCATCTGTCCCAGAATGCTGACAGCGTGTTTGAAGGATCTGAGGCACCCTGGCATGGGATGGAGGCGTGGGGGAGACTCTCTTTCTCTCTCGAGAGAGAGGGAAGAGAATGTTAGGCGGTAGGGGGTTGGCATGAGGGGGGGTATGTGTGTGTGTATGTGCAGGAAGGGGGGCCATGAAGGATCTATGGCTGAAGTGGGTCCAGGGAGGGGCCGTTGTGAAGAGAGTGACCAATCATAAGTGCAGTGGTCGGACCGCTGCCGCCGGCCCACATCTTTATTGCTATTCTGGAATATCACAACATCACGCTCCGTCGCTTACGCGTGCCATTTGCTCGTGCGCCGTACTCCAACGTCAATCGTCTCTCTCTAGTTCCTCTTACTGTTCTCGAGCGCGCCCTCCTCTGCCCTCTTCTTCCCTGTGGTGCGGCCGGATCCCGAAGACGAGGTTTACGTCCTCGATCGTCGGATCAATTAGGCATACGGTCTAATCTTGCGTCTGGAGAGTTGACACACAGCTTCTCTATTACTGTACCGATCTTCTGCGTTGGGTATGTACCTCTTGCATCGCGCGGGGGAATGGGTGGAGGGACCCTGCATAGTAAACAGGACACCGTCAATGGGCGAACTTACGCCCAACACTAACAGTCAGCCAGAAGTAACCTTTAGTCCCGCGTTCCAGGTGCGCGGCGTGGTTGCGATGCAATTCGATGCTTAAACGACAGGTCAGGCGTAGGCGAGCGATGGACGCTTCAAAGCATGCATGGTGTGGGAGATGTGTGTACTGTGTGCGGTTGGAACAATTGCGACTGGACATTTCCATTCGCAGCACCGCCATGAACGGATTCATGTCGTTTGTGTGGTGAGAGTGAGAGATGGCTACTAGGGCTCGCTAGGCACGTGTAGATAAGATCCATGGTCAGCGTGCAGACCCAACATTGTCATCGCGAACGAGGCTGCGTCGGACGAGACCGGACGCCTAGAGTGAGTGCCCTGACGGTTTACAAATCAAATGACCAGGTGCCACTGCAATGCCCCGTTCGCTCCTCAAAGGATCAATAAAGCAGGATTGAGATACATAACGCCAGTGTCCAGCCCGGCTCCATATTACACGCCTTAGTGGCTGCAAGTCTACCACATCTCACAGGATCCATCCTTATCCCGCCCGTACAGGATCGAACACCTGGTACAAGAGCATGACTATACCAGGCGCAGCAACGTTTCACCATCCAGGAACAGGAAAGTCGTACAAGTATGTATGCGTGTGCAGAACTGTCAAACCAGCTTCATTGGAACAACTAATAGTAGCATCTGAATTAGAGCATGCTGGGGTATCGTTCTCGGAACTTCTAAACAGGTAAATACGACAGACTACGAAACAAACGTGAGTGAAATAGCTGTGAAATACTGCATGCCAGTCTGTCTGGCCCAGTTACATGACCCCATACCCAATGCATGTATATCCGTGATAATACGGCTCCCCTTACATATTCCATGGCGCCGGACCCAATGCAAGGTATCTACGCGCAGTCTATCAGCCAAACGAGAATAGTACAAACATGTCGTCAAGGAGACATTAAGTGTTGCAAATCCTCAGATAACTCCTTGCGGACCCAAAGAAAGACAAGGAGACCATGCACGCCGAATAAATGCTTTCCCCCTATTAGTACGCCTAGCTGCATCCTGCAGCATGCAAAGGAGACGGCGACGCTGTAGAACCATACAACCATATAAACATGTGCGAGATAGCAATCGTGACTATTAAGGAGATACATGGATGCGAGCAAACAATGCTAGCTGGATTGCCAACATGTACTACAGGAGCTGCGGTACAGCTGTTTGTCATAGAGTGAGAAAGGAAAAGAAAGAGAGATAGACCGAGAACGAGAACGAGATAGAGAAATAGAAGTAGAAACCGAAAGAGAAAAAGAGAGGGATGCGATGTGAAGACGTGCAGATGTCGAGGCCGAGAATGGTAAAGTAGTGTTGGCTGTGTGGGTGGTGGAGGTGGATGAGCCAAGGCTGAGAAGTGCGCTAACCGTATCAGGCAAAGGGTGTCGCGTCCGTCGCATGATCAGATCAGCTGGGACGAATGTGGATGAATGGATGGATGGACGCCCCCATCACAATCATCACAATCATCACAACCACCACCGAACCTTGTTTACCTTCCATCCACACACATATACACACGCACATACACACACACCCTCTCTCTCTCCCTCCCTCTCCCGCTATGTTCAGCTATCTTTTCCACCACAGTGTTTGTTGTTAGCCCTGGCTGGTCCGATGACCGTAGCCTGGCAGTTTGTAGTCACCCATATGACTCCCCACGTTGCCTCGTTGCCTGCCCACCTTCTCCACACCCCCATGCGGCGATGTGTGGTGTGTACGGGCTGATTGGTCGTGGAGTCCAGGCTCCGTCAAGAAGACTGCGTAATCGATGCTGGCTCCACGCCCATATGACGAGAGATTATCAGTATACGGCGTCGGCGCGTGCTGGGCCGTATGCCAGCTTGCCTGCGAGACTGAAGGCGTTCTCTGGCCTTGGGGTCCTGCTGACAGTCGCCCTGGTCCAGCTGATGGAGAGGTCACGCTGCTGTTCTGGTACTGCGTAGGGGCGCCTGATATCGACCGGTTCCTGGGTGATATTGTGTAGCGTGTATCGGTACCTGCTTCTGACATACTGCCACTGTTGTAGCTCACGGTCGAAGGCGGCATCGGCCCTGCCGTGGATGAGTAGCTTGCCGACTGTTTCCTTGGGTTAGATACTTGAGAGACCATGACTCTAACACAGTTACTCACATATTTGCTAATGATTTTCTTGAGCGCGTGCGCTAGGATCTTCCACGGAAATACTTTGACGTCCTTCTCAATATTGCGGGGCTTCGGATTCGGGAATCCCATAATGATCTTGAAAAAGTCCTCGCTATCAGCCTTCACTTTCGACACGGTGAGCGGCCGAAATCCCTCAAGGTTACGTCGGATCCGGTTTTTCTCCTCGACCGTAAAGCGAACTGCCACGAGTGATTCTAGTAAGAAGATCGTGTCGACGCTCGTCACAAACCAGTCTTGCTTCTCTGCCCACCATATGCAGCTGATGCATATGCTGTGGGGAGTTCGCTCTTCCGGTGTGACAGCATTGAAATTTGCTGTGATCGTGCTTCCAGTCTGCCTTCGACGGAACTGTACCAATCTCCGCCTCACCTCTTTCTCTTCGCGTGACCAATCATCTGCCATCCTGTCCAAATCGCCGTCGATCTTCAACACAGCCTTGGAAGGGTACAGGTAAGGATTGAAGGGGTGAGAGTTTGTTCCCGGAGTGGCCGTCGTCTGCTGCACCGTGGGCGTCCGTACCAGTGTGGGCGCAGTGGAATCACTTGACGAAGGGAGGACTGGTTTCCCGATAGGCGTTCCGGCTATTGAAGTGGCACGACCGGGCGGTGAAATAGGCATGTATGGACTATAACCTGTATGTGGTATGCGTGTCTGAGGCGGGACTGGTGCAGTGAGCTCAGGCATCTGTGGATACGATGAACTGGAAATCCTCTGTCGGTATGGTTCGTAGTATATTGGTGCAGTCGAGAGGTTGGGTGTTGGAGGTGAAGCTGGCAACTGCCCTACGGCTGGGTAGTATGTGGAAGTGTTAAGCCTGCCGCCACCACGTATATTCGCTTGTGATATCCGTTTTGCTGGAGATCGGGTTGAATCTTCGGAACCAGATCGCTTTCTCTTGCCCTTGGTCTGGTGGACAGGATAATTATCCATAGTCTCGTAAGTAAAGTCCCCGACTTCGACAACACTGATACTTTGCCCATATTCATCCTCCATGTGGAGCACTAGCGGCACTTGGCTCTCCAGACTTCCCGTTGTATCGAATGGTGGGATATCGGCTTCCAGAGCATAATTAAAGTATGGTGTACTCTGGTCGAGTTTGGACAGCGCTGCCTCGCAGCGCTTCTGGTAGTACATGACTGAGAAGCGGTATACAGTTGGTACTGTAAGGTCGAATTTGGATCTGAGGCGAATGTAAATTTTCTGGCCATTAGTAGCTTTGGAGGGCGAAAAGGAAGTGATCTCCAGGCGCGGTTGAGGCAGAGGGCTCAAGATATTGGAATACGGCTGCTGATAGGGAGCATCACGCGGCTCAAACTGTGAGCCCAGCAAAGGCTCATGGGATGCGCGTGTAGGTGCATCAGAATATGGCGAGGAAAACTGAGGCGTTGCGAAAACAGCATAGCTCTGGTCTGGTTCCGATCTTGTGGCGCCATATCCTGGCAGGCACTCTGGTCAGTCAGACTCTCCCACGCACACGTGCTGCATCCTTGGAGTAGTCATCTGGATACTCACCATACACCAAGTTTCCCTCTTGACCCTTCCCGTACCCCGACATTGACAAGAGAGTCGCCGACAGACTTGCTGCCGTCAGAGGACCCCCCTCGTAGTCCTGCCCGTCTCGAAGCACTGCTGGCTCCGAGGGCTCAGAGTCGTCGTCGACGATATAGGGTGCCCTGAGGCCTCCTTCTGCCTGCTGATGTATACTCTGTTAGCTGTCTGCTCGGGTATCAGAGCTCACTTGTAGAGCATTCATCGCCCAAGCTGCCGACGTGGTCGAGGCAGCGCAGCAAGGAGTCAGGGACCACTTGCCTGAAGGACTCGTCCTTGCACGAGAGCCAGTTTGACGACTGGAGATGAACGATTATGTGCCAAGTGGTGGTTTGATACCTCGCGTATACTGACTAAAGCTATGGAACTGCTTTGAAATTACCAGTCAAATATTATAGATTGTCGCCGTGAATACGTCGTGTGTCGTCGTGTAATGACTGAAGACTCGAAGATATCCGGTATTCAGCTCTCGATCGAGTGTGCCGCTATTAAGTAACTCCAACTACACACAGCAGAGCGGTTGACATGTAAATCTGATGTGACGATGGTCCAAGTTGAAGTGGTTTTGAACACAGAAGGTCTTCAAAACTGCTCTTTGTACAGCAATACTTACGCAATGACCAAGGTAAAGGTAGTCAATACAGGTTCTGAGTGTCCAAGGCCAAGATTGATACGGACTGGTGCCTATGTTGAGTCAGTAGGTACATTCTTCGATGAGAAATAATGCTGAGGATGGCAAGCTTGGTCAGATACGCCCGCCAGTGTCTCAATGGTCGGTATGTCTTATGAAAGCGAACGATGAGAAATGTCTGAGATTTGTCTCTAACCTTGGTTATGAACAAAGTGGATCCCAAGAATGCTTATGCCTTATCGTTCACAACAGTGAGTCCGCTAACGGTATTCCTTTATGGCCTCGATACAATTCAGGATCGTGGAAAATAGATATTGATACAAACTCTAGTCGTTGCTATCTGACGGAGCCCAGGAGCAAGGGACACTGCAGTATGGATGTGTGGAAAGTAGATAGGAGAGATCGATTGTTGACTCTGAACCTCCTAGACGGCTCCCAGGATTCGTACAGCGTTGAGTCACGTTCGATGGCCGAGTGAAACCGTCTGCAGGTCCAGTGGGGAGATGTCAAGTGAGGGATGACAGCCTACAAGGCAGATGTAGGAAGAAGTATGGAGTCCACAAGGGATTTATCGTAAGGATGAGTCGTATATACCAGCACGAGGATGAAGACCTATAATCGAGGACCAGGGAGATGATATTTTCGGCAGCCGGAACAGACAAGAGATCAACTAGAAGGACAGGCGATAGAGACTAAAGAGGTTATATGAATGGTGTACGAATTACGCTGCCGCCATAGATCGGGATGACAGCGGTGCCTGATCCGAGAAGTCCGCCTGCTCATCAGCTCTACGATGAGCCATTAGCAAGGCCAAGTAGATAAATTGCGAGTGCCTCCCTCAAGGCAGCCCATGCTCTTCTACTAAGCTTCGCCTCAGGAGCGCGTTGGAACAAACAGGCTACTGGGGGGGGGAGGGGGGGGGGCCTTGGTGACGAAAGAGGCATAGTAAACTCGCGCGTTGACAGGCAGCGAAGTCGAGCAAACAAAGAGAAGCGCGCCGATGCAGCACGGGCGAGCAGCTATTATCGGAAGTGCGTAAGGTTAAGTACTCGATTTGGCATGGCATAACCTGTGCAACGGTGTATGTGAGGCAATTCGGAACGACCATAGCAAGCAAAAAGAAGGCCGGACGAAGCCAAGACGATGACGAAGACGAGAACAAGTAAGGAGGCTATGATTAGGGATTAGTATAGCAAATGCGTGATGGAAGTAGAATAGAGGGCTGTGTGAGGCGCGCGAGAATGGGAGAGACGATTTGGGAGTGGAAGTGTGTATAATACTGGCTGTCTTCTGCTACCCAGTGTTTAGACGACAGCTCAAAGTGAACAGTCTTGGAAATGAATGATAACAACAACCGCACTGTCGGGGCGGGAAGGGCTGACTGGGGCCAAAGTTGGGGGCTCTGGGCGGGGATCTTGGGCTGTTTTTGGGGGGGATCCTCGCTAAATCATGGGCTGGCACCGCGCTATTCATGGGCAGGGGGGGCAGCTATTTTAGGGACCTCCTTGCCGTCAAACACGCCCTAACCCCACCAACTAATTACTTCCCTCTTCCACCTCCTCCTTCTCTTCCTCCTCTTCCTCATCCTTCTCCCCTCCCTCACTCCTCCTCACACAGACACAGAATTGATATATTCTTATATATATATCACCATTCGTACCACCAAACGCTCCTCGACTTTGTCCACGAGTCCTCCGTACGCGCCTGCAACCCATCTCACAGTCACTGCGGATGATGATTAGACTGGAATCGCCGTCGCGTGTCAATCAGTCAGTCGGTCTACACTACTGCTCTACGCCTCTCTTCTCCACAGTCCTTAATAACATCAGCCCCGTCTAGCCGTATAGACGGATGCCAATCATCGACCAATATCCGCTTACGCTCGCTGACCATTGTACTCCTCCTGTCTGTCGTCCAATCCGCCGCAATACGCGCGCGTGAGGCCTTCCCCTTCCAACGCACGGTCATCTTCAGCCTCTTCAGCTCCATCCGTCAGCCACCCCATGAAGCCTTGGCTGATTCGTCCGGAGACACTACAGCCTGTGCTACGGCCTGGTATTATTATATGCTGCTCACAGCCTGTACGAACTACCTCGTATGGCGCTTTCAAAGCACGACTGGCCATCACTAGTGATGCCAGACTCCGAGTATGCGAGACCGCCTGACTGTGTCGTATTATATGAGCACGCCGTCTGAGATTCGTACGTCTCTGTCGATCGCGTCAGCAACGTAAGTCAGCGTACGTACCCTTACAGCTCTCGCTTTCGCCCAATTCCACCATTCATGTCATTCAACGGTGTCCTAGGCTCCGAATTAACCTTATTTTCGTGCTGTCCATGGCCCGGCGTATGAATATATACGGTCAACTCCAGCATATGTGGCCTGGATGAATAGTGGCAGGTCTTTATGCAAATCCGTGTTTTCCACCTTGTTTGACACGGCTGTAGATCTCTGTAGGAAACATTCGGTGGCAATACCACCTCGAGAACTAGACACCGGCAGACCAGCCTCCGGTCCGTGGCTCCGCTGACCACTGAATTCTTTGCCTCCATCAAACTAATACGTGCATCTGAGCTGTATGCGTTCTGTCAGATGCTTGAAGAACCGGTTCCTGTCGATGGACGTGAGCACGCCACTTAACGAGTGGTTGTTGTGCCCACGTAAAAGATTCAAGCCACCTCACGATGCGCTCTGCTACCATGTCGGATCAAATGTTGTACAAGAAAAGAATATTTTCGAATCCCGTTCCGACAGAACCCATGATTGGTCGCCGACACCATATTTGAGAAGTCTTGTACATCTCTGTGCAACCACGACGTCCGAATTAAGCCATCTCATTTCTCACATGCCCATTTCTGACTTGAATATCTTGCGCCGTGTTGCCTCTGGCATGGTCATGACAAGCACCACCCTTAATATCGGATGGCGACTGCACAACATGATTTATTGAGCCTATATATATACTTAAACCAAACTACGACGCTAGCGCAGATTGGTGTATCCTTCACTCAATCACATATCTCGTGGTCCGCAGCACAATTCTGGTCTTGTTGATTCATAGGAAAGAGTGCCACCGACACCCACCTTGTCTGACCGGACGAGTGACCATTTGGAGCTGATGTAGAGCCTTGCTGTACACAGAGGGCACGTGAGGCTTCCACAGGCAGTGTAGGTATGACAATACTGATATCGGAGACGTTGAAAGCCAACAGAATGGTACTCGTGGATAAGAACGACAGATCTACTTTACTGCGGCATGCACGCAATTCCATCTGCCACGCCCTGCTGGCTTCTCTTAGATAACATGACAGACAGTAGCTCTAACTTAACCTCGTAGCAGAACTTGGAATCTGTTCATATAGTATCCATGGATGTCAACACATGGTTTGTAAGCACAATTGCAATATCACGGGTGTAATGCAGAGTTGGCAGTTGCTGGTCCCTCCGGGCAATCACTACTGGTGTTTGCTCTAGGCAACAGTTGTACACGAGCCGCGAGCGCAGCGCGTAGGACGGACGTCCTTCCGCCGCCTCTCATCAGCATTGCTTGTTAATCGATCATTAATCGAGATCCACCTGTAGCAGTGTAGCTTGGACATGATCAGACAACCCAAAAGTAATACGCAGAGCTACGTACGATTCGCTGTCACTCTGCAGCCGGTCAACAACGCAATAGTTCGGAATCGTGCTAGCTCAGGGGCTAATCTGAAGGATACGGGATCACGGGCAAGAACAGCATACGACTCTCGCGAGATCTATTAGCTGCACGTAAATACTTTGACATGCAGACTATAATCACGGAATCATTCATGTTCATGCAGGCGCTGGACGATCGAATTTACATATATGTACACCACTTGACATGATGTTACGCAATGTTCTAATCGAACTACATATCTTCTGGAATACAGTCGCCTCTCATTTGTCGTCTTGGCCCTCGGTGGTAGTAGTCAGGCGTGAAAGGTTAAAATACACAATCCAAAAGTGATAGTGACTCCACTTGCGGCTCGGAGTTGCCGTTGTGGATGGATGGGGCCGGATCGACGACGCATGGGGCCCGGCCGGCCGGAATTCCCATGCGCCCTAGTGCCCAGATTCTACCTAGATACGAAGTGTTTATATAGCGGCTGAATTGATCTAGATTATGCAGGATCTCGGGATCCTATTGCTGTCAGATTGCTGTCTTGGGGGCGTTGATCTGGTTGACATATAAGAGGGGTCTCGTCTATTGTTTATATAGCTTCGCACTTGTCATGGCGGTGTGGCGAGCTTGATCGAGGGTCTAACAACAGTAACAGTCACGACGAGATCTATGGTTCTGTATGGGCGCAGAATGTAGTGTTAGGATCAAGCCACTTTTTCGATACGGTTGTTCATTGCCGGCGTGCAAGGACATCTTCACTGTGGGATCTGGGTATTAAATTGCCAGATGATTGGACAAGGGTTTGGTACTCATATCTCATGACCACTAACAACATCCGATACGTTTTGTAGATGCAAGCCATGATTGCGCTTAATACTCTCGCAAACCCTAGTAAAATGCGCTCTGTTCGATCCACGCCTCGAACTGTCATGAGTATCCACACAATGCTAGAATCCAACTCTTCAGCTCGATGCTAATGCCCAGCTATCATTTGAAGCGTATTAAAGAATCAGATATCGAAATAACACGATTCGAGCGAGAGGCTAACGTGGTAACCATAAAGAGCTCTTTCAGTAGATAGCCCACACTTACGGAATGTAGTGTGTATACTACTCTCATAGGGAAGGAGCTTCTTAGGAATAGTACTGCGGAAGACAGCTCCTTCCTCGTCAGATCACTTAAAGACAACTTCCCCGACCTATGCCCACTTCTACTATACCTACTTTCCTTACGTAGGAACATATTGGTGTCTCTACTGCTACAGGATGAGAGAATCTTGCTATCTGAGACATGAATCTCTCCATCTGTCGATTCCTCTACTTCAAGGTTCCTTGAACTTGCGCCCTGTCTCCGAAAAGGTCAGATGGTTTTCTGACAAGGGTATGTTTGCAGTCTGGTGTCTATCAAGCTGGACTTGAGAATTTGTGTAGCATATTATCATTTCTCAGAAGCTCTACACTGGCTCCTGCTGATCTAATGAGACCTCGAGACAATGAAGTAGGAGTCTGGTTATGCTTAGATTAGACTGACAGAAATCTGATACGTGCCTGGTGTCATGGTCTTGGTATCTCATTAGTGACTGCATCCTACTAAGACAGCGCCATGAGTGATGTCAGTGTTGAGTGCATCATTGAATTGAATGCATAAGTAGGAGCTTCGCGAGATGGATGGTATGTTGGATGATTAGGAGAGTGGTCGTGGAGGGACATTCAAATTCGGTCGGGATGGAGGAGATCACGTGCATGGAGGGGCTCTCGTATCTCGTATCCAACAGTCCAAGGCGGTGCGGTGCGGTCGTCATGATCTTCAGGTACATTGCAGTCACGTGTTTATGCTGTTTGCCACACTGGATGACTATTCTACGTCTGGTCGCAAAAGCTGTTGCGAACTACTACTACTATAGCTATAGTAACCATAACAAGTATATTCACTCCGTCGCGCACAGCCGAAAGACACGTGTGCTCAGTGCCGCTCAGCCACACTCTACGCCGCAAATTCGGGCGAGTGTGGCCGAAACAGCAAAAAGTGGCCCGAACAGCTGCACGTCATAGGTCGATCAGAGCCTGAGGCTGCCGTCTTACCGCAGAACCGTCAAACACCGCAGCTCATCATGCCTGGATGTGAATGAGCTAATTAGCCAGGTAGCGTGACTAAACCATCGGTGTACTGTCCACGGTGTAAGCTATACATATATATATACCCAGCACTTCAGCCCTGAGCTATTCTAGCCACCCCTCCCCCCGCTCCGTCTCACCATTCCCTCTCGTCTAGCTCCAGTATCTCTATCAATCCTCTCACTGTAACCTATACACCCTACCGACGGCCACTTCGAACAACATCACACATATCCAGTGTAGCAGATTCTAGACAATGTCGAATAACGACTACTACGGTGGAGGTGGTGGAGGAGGCTACGGCCAGCACCAGCAGCAACCTCCTCCTGACTACGGCTACAACCCAGGCAACCAGTATGGTTCGCCTGCCCCTCAGCAGCAATACCAGCCGCCTCACGATCAATACGGCGGCGGAAACCCCTACCCACCTCAGCAGGTATGTCTGTCTATGTTGAATGACTTCAAGTTGCTCAAAGCTGACTTCTTCCCAAGGGCGGCTATCCTCCACAGCATGACTCGTATCAGCAGCACCAGCAACAAGGCTATCCACCTCAGCAGCCGGGCTATCAGCAAGACTACCAGCAGCACCAGCAAGTAGCTCCCTACAACCACGAGCAAGACCGTGGTCCTTCTCCATACCCGCCTCAGGGCCAACCTCACGGCCAGCCTCCGTATGGCCAGCAACAACATGGCCAACCAGGCTACGGTCATCAAGATCAAGCGCCTGGCGCATACGGACCCGGAGGTGCTCAAGATGGCGAGCGCGGTCTTGGTGCGACGCTTGGAGGCGGCGCCCTCGGCGCTTTTGCAGGCCACAAGCTGGGCGGTGGTGCGCTAGGGACCATCGGAGGTATTGTCGCGGGTGCCATAGGTGCAAACGTCCTGGAGAACAGCCATGACAAGTACGCACACCTGCCCTTTCTGTAACGTGTCCAACTAACAAACCCAGGCACAAGAAGAAGAAGAAGCACGGCAAGGAGCACAAGCATAAACACTCCCATGGCAGCCACGGTAGTGGATATGCAGGGTCTGCAGCTCTTGGTGGACTGGCCGCACACCATGGCCATGGCCATCACAAGAAGCACCGCTCACGTAGTCGCGGAGGAGGCAGCAGCAGCTCATCGTCCAGTAGTGACTCCGACTAAAGGATTCTTTGATACCCTAGCCACAATGCTTGTTGAAAGCCTCTTGCACTATTTGTACATACCTGCTTCGTGTATCCTATCAAACTAGATCATTCGGTTGATGGCGTGATGGACGTCTCCGGATTTAGACATGAATTATCACTGTCGACGATGATGTTGCGGTGTCGTAATTAACGATGTCCTAATGAATACTCCGCACCAAACCACGTGCCATACCACTCATCGGTCTTTCCTCGGCATTAACAATGATAAAATTGTCACAAGTTCACAATATCAATACGTGAAAATTTGTGCCAGAATTAAAATCTGTTGTTATTTCTCCCGGAAAGTAGGCAGCAGTGATATGGCTGATATCATAATACAGTATATACGGCAAACTCTGCCCGAAGAGCTAAGCGGCGCTCTTGAAAAGCATCTCGAAACTCTGGAGAATGGCGACTACAAAACACTACTCGAAAGCGAGCACGCCAAGGTGCTACTTGGCGACATTCGAGGACAGGACAACACGAAGGATATTCAGATATCGGATTTCCCACTTTGGAGTGACTATGTGCTATGCCGCCTCGAGGCCATTCTAGGAGACAGGAAATCCCCTCCTGACAGCATTGAGCAAAGCCCCGCATATCAGCAGCATCTTTACTTCGTCATTGGACTTGCAGCGTTTGGTGCTTTTCTACAAGGCAATGTAACTGGTCCTCCACTGGACTTTACCCTACTTTCGAGTGCAGATGAGAAAGCCAAGTCTGAAGTCGAAAGGACTCGACGGCAGCTTATAACCTCGCTCTCTGTCGACGGAGAGGCTGCATACCGCCTGACGCCCAACATAGAGTTGTTTTGTCTGGCGAAAACAATTTTGTCATGCCCACCCATTGCGCAGAATGTAAAAAGCTTCCCTTGGGCGCGCTTGAGGCTAGACTTTTGGCACCAAAAGCTACTGTCAGAACCCGCGCCTACCCTGCAGAAAGCTATATTCGAGCGACTCGACGAGCTTGAGAATCAACTAGGCACCTTGCCAGTCAACAGTGTACACGAATTACGAGTGGCTTTCTTGCTGGAGAAAGCCACCATCCATACCCATCATGGACTGGACAAGCTGGCTCGCGAAGACCTGGAACTCGCAACTAAGGAACGAGGCTTCGAGTTTGCGCTTACTGGACTGCTCGGAAAGCGGACAAAGTGGCAGCAAAAAGACACGAGCCAGCTTGTGGTGCTCGCAAGAAGTCTACCAAGTGGCAGTTCGACCGAGATGCCTGCAAATGGCACAGACGCAACAGCAGCAACAGCATCGAAGCGGCCAGACAACCTCGATCTCAACGACGACACCCTTCTGGAATCCATCTCGTTTACTAAGAAGCCGACATCGATGACTGATATTGTCAGTGACGAATCTCTGCCGAAAGCCCTGAGAGATTTGGACCCTGAGAAGCAACCCCTACTCGACCCTTTCGACTCCATCATCCTACTTGCTCTTGCATCGTCAATAACGAACACGTCTCCTGCAGACGGCTTGACGCGAGAAGAGACTCTACCATACGCCACTCGTGTACTCGAGGGAGGGAGCTCGAATTGGCAGGTATATACACAGGCCTTGCTCGTGCGCAGTCGTGTAGAGGGCTATAGATCACGCACCGTCGAGCGAGGACTGCTGCAATTACAAGTATTGGTGGATCAAGTCATTGCAGAGACCACCACTGGGAAAAGCACGGATGTCAAAGAGAACACGTCTTCGACTTTTCTTCCGAGGGCTAAAGAGTCCGAGTCTGCTCCTGTCAGTGAGCGATTGAAGTATGTCTTCCAACTCTCATCTCCCTCAAGATGGGAGCTGGAGGCAGAACTTGCTTCAAGATGGGTCAGTCTGGGAGGCTTGAGGTCTGCACTCGAGATATACGAGCGACTCGAGATGTGGGCCGAGGCAGCTTTATGCTGGGCCGCAACAGAGCGCGAAGACAAAGCTAAGATGGTTGTACGACGACAGCTTTTCCATGCTACTAGCGGTGACGACGAGAGTGCTGATCTAGATACGGAGAAGTGGGAAGGCAAGGCAAGATCTCCACCACCCTCTGATGCACCACGATTATATTGCATCATTGGTGACATTGACAAAGACCCTGCCATGTACCAAACAGCCTGGGAAGTCTCTGGAAGCCGCTATGCTCGTGCTCAGCGCTCGCTCGGAAAGTACTATTTCGCAGGCAGAGACTTTACAAAAGCTGCTCATGCCTATGCTCAGTCGCTCAAGGTTAACCAGATCAACCAGTCCGCCTGGTTTGCCATGGGGTGCGCTCTTCTCGAACTACAGGAATACGTAAGAGCTGCAGAGGCCTTTTCTCGTACTGTTCAAATCGACGACACTGACGCAGAGGCATGGAGTAATCTTGCTGCTGCCTTGATCCACGTCGAGCCCGACGTCACTGCCGATGGTACCGAGAGGCGGATGCCTCCGACTATACTGGATGATGATGATGAAGGCGAAGATGCTGCCAACCATTCTGCACAAGCTGCATTGTCCGATCCTCAGAAGCATCGCCGTGACGCACTCAAAGCATTCAAACGAGCCTCCACCCTCAAGTTCGAAAGCCACAAGATCTGGGCGAACGTGCTTATCGTAGCTACGTCACTTGTCCCGCCCTCATACAACGACATGGTCACAGCACAGGGCCGAATCATCGAGATACGCGGCAAGTCAGTTGGCGAGCAATGTGTGGATGCGCCCATCCTTGAAATGCTCGTCAGACACGTCGTTGCGCTAGATCAAGAGGAAGGAGGACTGGGCTATGACCCAAACAAACCGGGCCTCGCGAGGATGGTAGTCAGACTCGTGGACGAGAAAGTCATCCCGTTGATCACGTCGTCGGCACATCTCTGGAAGATTGTCTCCAAGCTGGCGCTCTGGCGCAAGCGTCCGACACGAGCACTCGAGGCAGAGGAAAAAGCATGGCGGTGCGTGACCAGTCAACCTGGCTGGGAGTTTAGCGAAGAGAAACAATGGGATGCTGTCGTAGATGCTACGATCGATTTGGTCGATGCCTATCAAAGTCTGGGTGAGATGGATCGAACTGAAGGCCTGGGCGCTGGAGATGGAGAGCTCGTCGCAAAAGACTGGAAGTTCAAGGCCCGGAGTGCGATTAGGGGTATCATGGGCAAAGGAAAGGATACATGGGAAGGAACAGATGGCTGGGACCGGCTGAAGGATTCTCTTGCAGACCTTAAGGGGTGAATGGAAGGCAAGTACAACGGGTTTTCTTTGGACAAAACACAAAATGGCCAGATGGATGCAACGTCGACTGGAAGTGATTAGGATGCTCCCATCTTTTTGTTCCTGTTCATTACATCCTCTTCCCTCCCAGTTCTACACACACACACCAGTAACATTCTTGCTGCACCAAAATCATCATCATGCATCGGTTCATCACAACCACTGCCCTCGTCTTCTTCTTGCACCTCCTCAACCCGCTCCCCGTCCTCGGCCTAGACAGCTTCAAAACCAGACTCCACGAGCACTACAAGGAGTCCCAAGCACGCATCAACACGGAATGCAACATCCCATTCTCGCCCTCAAACCACTCCTTCTGCCATGCTCCCACGCTCTTCTGCCCGGGCACCGTCACGCCAAACGGCGACTGTCCATCTCTCCACCACTGCTTCCTCCCCGCCAACCTCGCCGACGGCCCGTCCTTCTCCCCCAAGAACGCTACCGCAGCAAACACCACCACCACGACCAGCCTCACCGCCCACCTCGCCGGGGAATGCTCGCCCAAAGTCTCGATCCTGACCACCCTCTTCGTCATGAACGTGCTCGACGCCTCCAAGGAGCTGCTCACCGGCCACCAGCACGTGCGCGACAAGCTCAACCTCTACCGCCTCGTCCGGCCCAGCGCGCGATCGACGACAGCCTGGACACCTGCCACCGGGGCCTTCCACGCCGCGACCGAGATCCTCATGTTGCTGGTCGTCACCACGATTGAGCGTGCGGGCAACGCCGGGATGGGCTTTGGGCCCGCGATGACGCTGTGGCTGATGCGGCCGCGCTGGAGCTTCCTGCTGCTGTTCTTCGTCAAGGGGCTGGCGGTCAGCAACTTCAACAATACCGTCTGGGACGTTGTTGTGCAGGAGAGTATACTGAGTCTGGTGGCGCTGCCGGGAGCGCTCGGGTTCTTGTTTGGGAGTGGGAATGCGAATCGGTGTGGGCTGGTTGGGTGGGAGCGCAAGGAGGCGGAGCATTTTCGGAATGCGCTTGGGTTTCGGGTCTTTGCGGGCGCGGTGAGTGCGTTGGTGGTGAGCTACTTTTGTGTGCTGGCTTTTAATCGGAAGCTGGATACGCGGATGGAGAGGAGGGGGAATGGCGTGTTTGGGAGTATTGCGGCGGAGAAGAAGTTGATTTTGCCGTTGGTGGTGAGCATGGGCAACTATATCTGCGACTGGATACTTTGGGGCAGTGAGTATTGCTTGTTGTGTTGTGCAGAGCGGCTGGTCTAACGATGATTGCGTAGTGTTTGTTCGATTGGCGGGCGACAACTACTGCGACAAAGGAGGCGTCACGCTGCTCATCATCAAGGCAGTCGAAGTTGTCCTGGGATCAGTCTTTAGGCCAACATGGACCAAAGGGGACAATGGCCCGGGCAGAGCAAGATTCTCGGAGAAGTTTTCTACGCCCATGACATTCCGGTCCTGGCTGCCTACATCTCTCTCCTCGAAGAAGCGCCACGTATCCAACGCCGCGACTATATAATGAATCATGGCGCATGCAATGCCCTCGTAGAATAGCAATTCACAAACCCGTCTGCGTTAACTTTCAACGCGCTGCAAGTCGAAGTAGATTTGATACCCGCACTCACACTCATCCTGTCCTCCTACTCTCGCCAGCTTCCTCTCCCATTCGCAAAGCAAAGCTTTTCCCACAAGACTCATTCACACGCCGCTCTTCCTCCCAATAGGCGTGATTGTGAAGTACCCCTCTGCGCCAACACCGACATCCGCCGCCGGCGTCGGCGCCCTCGTCCACACCCGACTCGCACTCGGACTCGTGCGCGTCCGCGTCCGCGTGGGACTCCAGTCCCCCGCTACCGTACCCCCACTCGCCGTCAGCGACCGTCTGTGATGCCGTCGCCGCTGCGTCTCGTGCGTGGCATGGGCAGGCAGCTCGAGCCGGGCATTCATACCCATCCACAGCGCCTCGTCATCGTCGTCGGCGTTTCCTGCTACTGCACCACTACTAGCACCACCACCAGCACCGGCAGTAGTGCTGTTGTTCTTGCGACTTGTCGGCGGCGGAATGCGCCAGCCGCCCATGCCTTCAAAGTCTCGATCGGGCGCCGCGGCGACGACGATGGAGTCTGATTTGACGGCGCGGTGGGTTCTTTTGTGTTGCTGTGTGGTGGTGGCTGTCGCTGTGGATGGAGATGGAGATGGAGGTGTTTGTGTTGGTATAGGTGTGAGTGAAGATGTGCTGCTATTGCTATTGCTGCTCCGACGACGACGGCGACGCGAGTGCTGTGCTGAAGGTACCGTCGCGAGGACGGGTGGATATGCGTATATCTCTGTCTGTGAAGACGGCGACGGCGACGGCGATGGGATGAGGCGTGTAATGTAGCTGTGCAGCAGGGCGAGGGCGAGCTCGACGTAGACGACGGATACGCGGAGGAGTAGGGTGCAGATTGCGAGCGAGGTCGTCCAGGTTGCGAGGAGGGCGAGGGGGATGGAGAAGGCGAGGAGGATGAGCGGGGGGAGGAGGGAGAGGGGGTTGAGGAGGGGGAGTTTGGGCATGGTTGTGGGTTTGGGTATGGGTTTGGGTATGGTCGTGGTTATGGGGGGTTGTGTGAGAGGGCGTGAGAGGGAGGGCGAGGCGGCATTGTTGTGAGGTAAGGAGGAGAGGAGTGTGGTGTTGTGAAGAGGAGAGAGGGAGAGAGACGATGTATGGATGAGGATGTTCGGATGGAAGCTTTCATGTGAAGCAAGCCGGGGTTTGTACTGAGATGTACACAGCGAGTGATGGATGCTTCGGTTGACGTCACATCCATCCTAAAAATCAACATCCGATTCGATATCACAGCAAAATCGGGAGGAACACTCGATGCGAAAAGATATAAAAATGGCAGCAGAAAACATAGAAGAGCAAGTCGATGACTTCCCCTGGCATATCGGCGTCTATGACGCGCACTGCCACCCAACAGACACAATGTCATCCATCGCATCAATCCCAGACATGAAGGCTGCCGTCCTGACAGTCATGGCTACCAGAGCCCAAGACCAAGAACTCGTAGAGCAAGTAGCAAGTAAACACGGCGTGAAGTCACAGCCTCCAGACTCAGCACACGGCGACGGCAAGGTCGTGCCGTGTTTTGGCTGGCACCCCTGGTTTTCGCACCAGCTGTTTGACGAAAGCGTGTACGGCGGCGACAGCAAGGAGACTCTCACGCCAGAGGAGAAACAGCAGCACTACAAGACCGCAATCACGACGAAGAATGCTCAGAGTCTCAGTGACGAGGACCAGGACATGCTCGCGTCCTTTCCCGACCCAAAGCCGCTATCCCAATTCATAGCCGAGACGAGGAAACGCCTGGAGACATTCCCTCAAGCCCTCGTCGGCGAAGTCGGACTAGACAAGGCGTTCCGCATCCCATACCCCTGGGCGCCAGACCAAGAAGGCCAGAGAAACGACACACTGACCCCCGGCGGCCGCGAAGGGCGGCGATTATCGCCGTATCACGTCGACATGGAGCACCAGAAGAAGGTGCTTCTCGCGCAGCTACGGCTCGCGGGAGAGATGCGCAGAGCGGTCTCCGTGCACGGCGTGCAGGCACATGGCGTTCTCTTCGAGACCATCAAGCAGACCTGGACCGGGCACGAGAGACACGTCCCCAGTAAACGGGAGCGAAAGCGGCAGAAGGAGCATCCGCAAGCGGTTCATGCGGATGATCATCAGGGGGAGAACATACAAGGCCAGACCGAGGAGGTGACGTCGAGACCTTTTCCTCCGCGAATATGCCTGCATTCGTATTCTGGTAGCGCGTCTAATATAAAGCAATACTGGGACCCCAAGATCCCTATTGATTTCTATGCTTCGTTCTCGACGGCAATCAACTTTGCGGAACGCGAGACGCCAAAGAGATCCGGTATCGAAGATGTCATCCGGGCTGTTCCGGACGACCGGATCCTTGTTGAGAGCGACCTGCATACGGCGGGCGATATAATGGACGAGCATTTGGAAGACATGGTCAGGACGTTGTGTACTGTTAAACGGTGGCCGGTTCATGACGGCGCGCAGAGGCTCAAAGCTAACTGGATGGCGTTTGTGTATGGTACTGGAAAATGATTGCCTTTACATACATTGTGCTCATGTGTAGGCACACCTGTGAATATTATTTTCCAGTCTGCTCTGTTGAAGTCAGGTAAATTTATACCCGAAGGTTCCTCCCGAGTAAATACCTACCGTCCAACATCTTTAGTGCAGACAGGTCTTGGGGACGCGATACATCATACGAGTGGATAATAGCCAAGTTAAGGACGTTTAGTAGCACGCTGAAGTTATGCAAGTACACAAGGATATTGGCGTCCAGCCTACCATAATGCCATGTTGCTTCATGCTTCTTCCGTCGTTGACGACTTGAGCCATTAGTACACGAGCTTCAGCTAATGAAATCTCCCTGCAGTTTCACTGAAATCTCTTCTCATACTGTCATCATCTTCCATACATCCTTACGTCCTACACGGAGTACAGAATGCTGAGATATTTATATATGTCTATCAACCGCTAGGATTCCGAACACACACCCATCTGGTGCGCCCCCAATATGCATCAGAAGACAGGCCCAAGAACGCCAACAAGCCACTTCTCCAGAGTGCCTGCAACCTCTATCTCCGATCTAGTCTCCATCTCGGCCATGAAGTCACCCAACACCATCTCCCACGCTTCCCTTGCCTCCCAGCCCGCCCCTTCTACAAGTCTGTTAATTTCGAGCTCAATATCCGCTGTTCTCAGGTACGCCAGTTTAGTCCCATCAACATGCCAGTCGAGATCTCTCAAGGTTGGTCTCAGCACACTGCTTGTATCCGCGTCCTCTGCGCTCTTTCTTGCCTTGATCGACAGAATCACATCTTGCGCCCGCTCTGCCTCCTTTACATCTGGCTTGCAAAGCAAGCTTGCACTCTCTTTGGATGCAGCAACAACAAGAAGGCACTCGAGAACTTTGAGGACCTGCCATGCGTGATGACGGAGAACATGTAGCGCGAAGAGGGTACCATCAGCAGCGCTACCAATCACTGGCTCAGGTTCGATGCCGTCTAGAGGCTGAGCATTCCACGGAGGAAGTACTTTCACGCTGCGCATACGTGTGATGCTACGCGGGAGGCGAGCAGAGAAAGCGACGCGTAACGCAGTCTGTCTCGACGAGGAAGCATCAGAGAGAAGGCCCGTGACGGTGGCAGACTTGTCAGCAACCAGGAGGAGCTTAGGTGCGGACGGTACAGGCGCACTTGGTGAGTATTCGCTATGAGATGGTTTTGGGGAATTTATAGCAATCAGGTGATGTGTGATGGACTGGCGGTGGGTGGTGTCGGTGAAGGTTGGCTCGATGTTCGCAGCAATTCCTGGCCACATATTGGCGTGTCCGACATGCATGTCAAACCCAAGGACAGAGTGCTTGAGAGTTGTGACGTAGCATGGATCGCCACGCATGTGTCTGTCTGGTTCATAGCGGTGAGGCTTCACTTCGATCCGGACTGCCGGTGAGGGAAGGCTGCGGTAACGAAACACCGTGTTGAAGCTGTGGTGAGGGGTCGATGTCAGTAGCAACTAATGAACCGCAGTAGGGATATACATACCTCTGTGCTTCCTGGTCATATTGTAGAATGTGTAATGATTGACCAGTGCCGATGATAAGACTGTCGTTCCGGTACGAGGCGAGCGCATGAATCGGGCCCTCGTCGGACTTGCCGTAATATATATACTTCACCTTGCGTAATTCAAGCCCACCTTTTTGTCCGAGTGCGCCTCTAGCCGATGGTACTTTGCGGACGATCAGCAAACCTCCTGCTTGGCCGCTTGCGCTTCTCATGCCCGGTGACGGTTCCCTCAATGAAGCCGTGGTGCCTATGGCGATCCAGTTGTATTTGAACATCCCACAGTGTGGCTTCCACGTAGCAAGACAGTTTGCCTTTTCTTTCCGAGGGAGCTGGAAAGAGGCCAAGACACCTTCAAATTCCGTCTCTTCTTGTGTTGTGTAACGCCGAGGATCGATTACTTCCAGACAACAACGAGTCTTGGAACTTGCGTGTAGACCATTCCGCCACTCTGTCTTTCTAGTCAAGGCTAAATAGTGCTCATCGTCGACGATCATTCTATACGGCGTACCATCTATTGGAAGTCTCTTAGGGATGACAGCAGAGCTCTCATCAGGCACTGTAGATAGCAGCTCACCCTCAGATACGCAAAGTAGCGACTCCGAGAGACCTTCCCCGGCGAAAAGCATGTTACGTGGGAGGTATAGCGTAGTATATATGGGGAACGGTCTCAGGTTATCCTGGTATACATCTTCGAACAGGAGTGTCCGGACCTCTAACAGAGCGTTATGACGGGTCAGTCGGTCAATCCGACAGAAGATGTTGTTGCAGGTCATGAACAATCCAATGGGCGTGTCGAAGAGTCTGACTGAGGTTGGTCCGACAGTAAGTTCACGCACGGATGATACTCTGAGTACGGGATGGTTTATACCTTCCACGGCCACAAAACTTGGATCGAATACAGGCGAGTCGACGTCAACCTCGAAAGACAAGACATGTCCACTGCGTAGACCGCAGACTAAGAGGTCCGTACACGGTTCAGAATGCAGGACAGCGAGGCTTTCGCAAGTCGCCGAGGAACCTTTGTCCTTGGGCAACCGATGTGCGGATAACAGTCGCAGATTTGAACTAGAAGAAGGCAAGTCGAAGAACAACAACTCATGGGCATGCGTACTGACGGCAAGCACAACCTTCTCAGCAATTGTTATAAACTTGACGCACGTAGGCTCACTAGAAAGGTCGAAATGATGCTCGCTTCCAGTCAAGATATCAAGTTCTCGGTTGAATGTTGTCACTGCAAGTCTCACGCCACCACTGTCTACTGACATGTAGGCGTAGACAAGGTAATTGCCTTCCAACGTAGCAACGGAAATGGCCGAATCGGGAGATAAGCTAAGTCGAGCGGTCTCCCGAAGTGTAAGTGCTTCAGTGATGATTGCGCCCCTCCTGGTCACCTGAATGGCTCTATCTGAACCGATGGACGAAGCAAAAAGAGTTTCAAGCCCAAGATCCAAACCAACATTATCTTCCTGCGCTTCCGATAGGCCAACTTGAACATCAAGGACCTCTTCGCCAGCCTCTTCGACGACAGAAAGCCGAATCAGATCGCTGTGCGTGGGGAAGGACAGAAGGAAGACAATCTGATCTGACTCGGGAGTGGAGAGTAGGTAGCCACCGATGCAATTCGCCACATCCATGTCAGCACCTATTTGTGCTCGTATGTTGGCGCTAAGTCCTGATCTGAGGCTCGATACACATCCACGTGGTGCCCGGCCACTAGTGACAACGATACCATGTGGAAAAGTGCCTTGTGATTGTGTATTGCAGGTATCCTCAACAAGATCCATCGTAGGAGCCCAGCTTGGTAACTGCCCGACCAAGTCTGGTTGGAAGACCTTTTCGCGTCGGGGTACTTCAGCCACTTTTCCAGACATGCCTATGCGCAAGATTCCACCATGGCCACCAATTCCAGCAGCAACAACGTGGTCCGGCTTCCTCAGACCAAGAGGTAGATTGGTAAAAGCAGTATCCACATTACAACCAAATGAGCCTGCGTAACTCATTCCGCAATATGTCTCTTTGCTCTTGACTTCCATATAGAAGAATTGACCGTCTTCGCGAACAAGGTAAAAGTCTTCCTGAACCCTATTGTGGAAACGATGTGCGCGCTCGACCCTGGTCCATGAGGTCCATAGTGGTGGTCGTTTGTGCAGATGTTTCGATATGACAGGGTCGTGGCTGTCAAAGACCTTCTTGACCTTATCTGCACCTGCTAATATCTTCTGGAAGTAGTATATACCATCTTCGGTAACGATCATGCAGTCTGGCGAAAACTGAAGAGTGATTAGTAGTAAGGGATATTCTTGACCTGAGAGAATTAGAACAGGAAATAAGCTTATACTGAACGAGGAAAAAGGCAGGCTAGAGATCGAAAGATGAAAATGCCTTACATTCAACTAATGGGAGAGCCTTCAGACGCCGTTGTCTTGACGTCAAGCCAATGGAAGCGATCCAGTCGAAACAAGTGATATATACACGGCTATTGTGAGAATGTATGATCAGTAGGGCGATGTGATCATTATCTTGTTCTGCGGGAAAGAGAAAGTCCATCTTCAGTATGACGCCAGGAACCTGCTCAATGGCCTCGCTCTGTATGAAACTCGTCATTTTGGAGGACCCTTGCATATCCTGGGGAGGATTCGTAGAGTAAATGACTACGTTCTTTTCCGACGCTGCAACTGCGATTGCCCTTGAGCGAGGATCGACGGCGATTTGATTGCCTGGATGTTCGAGAATCGATTTGCCAGACATCAAAGCAATTGACTGAGCATGGAACGATACTCTGTTGTTTTCATCGGATTGGGTATATACGAAGAGGAGTTCTTGGGTCTCCAACGCAAGCAAAAGCAGTTGAGGGGGAAAGTTTGCCTGGGATGCATTCGAACTACTTTCGGAGAAGGCAGTCGACTCCTTTTCCCAGACAGTATCAATGTCAGGTGACATTCCGTTCTCAAGTTTAATCTGAACATCCGAAAGTTGTTGCCATGGTTGTCCAAATGCTTTTGCAGCACGAATACGCGGTAGTCCTTCTCGGCCGACGACAAAATCCAGACTTCCGTCATCCTGGATCTCGTGTAGGCGGAGAAAATCTTCACCTACATAAACGAGATCGTTCTTATTCTGATGTCGGATGCGAACAGGTATGATGTGATTGATGGTGGGACTTGGCACGATTGTCCTTGAAAGCAATCCTAACTGTGGAGCTGCTTTTGGCTTTGTTGGTTCCGGTAGCAGCTTTTTTTTGCTCGCACTTCGTTCAGCCATGAGCTGTGCTACGGTCATTTGACGTCGTTCGTATTGGCCATCCACGACCTGGTCTATTTCGAAGGTTTGATCCATCACTGTGACCGGCTATGGGCCCCGAAATCAGTGAGTGAAATGACCGAGACGTGAAACTACCACAACAACAGACGACTGTGGCAGATGAAATCTAGAACAAAGTGTGCAGAGTCTTTCTGCCAAAAGCATTCCTCGTCAAAGACGCAAATGATTTCTGCAAGCCAACAAAGAGTTGCGGCCAGATGTTGGCGCAAAAGCTGTAGTGCAGCTGCCGCAGAAACTCGACTCTCGCGTCGCTGCGGGCCAGGCTCACCCTACAGGAAATAGGCTGTGTGACCGGTCAGCATTTCTCGAAGTACGGCAAGAGTACATCCTCGGTGTGTGTGTGAAGATAATAGTATGCTGCTTGTAAGAGAGAGTAGATGCACGTCTATCACGCAGGATATAGTATAGTGGTGCAGGATGGCGTTTGGGGTAGGAAGAACGATGGTGGTGGGAGGGATAGCTTGGATATCGCTCACTAGGTATAGTCAGAAAAGGCTTATATCAAAGCGAAAGTAGTGAGCAATGCACAAAGAATGCTTAGAAGAGCGTGGCCAGTATATGCATCTGCGTGTATGACGGGCATACACCAGCGCCAATCAGGACTGGAGGTTTTCAGGAAGAAAGGCTCCGGTGGAACTCGAAATGACTGACAGTGCGGCGAGGTCCGAAAGCGAAAGACGGGAGGAAAGCAGTAGTATGATAGTCAGTAGTATTAAGTATGGGATAAGTGTACAGTGTTGCATGCAGGGAGAGACCTGGCTGCAGTGTGGATGGATGACACCTCACCCCAAACTCTCCCCCTACTACCTTCTTCTGCGCGTCGCTTGAAGCAGCAATTACAGTGGCTCGATATCAAGCCTCAACAAGGTCACGATCGCAGTAATCCTGGTAGCATATGTGCACGTGACTGGCAATATCATTTCCTATGTAGGGGGTCGAGAGGGCAGTTGGGTGTCGAGGATCATAGAAGGAAAAGCTCCTTAAAGGCTGATGTTACGCCGGTATTCTTCAATGAAGCCACAAAATGTGTATATATCACTTATTACTCCATGACTACCATTATCCTATCGGAAATGACTTCGCGATGGGCCCCATGATCGCCTCTCAGCCGCTGAACCCGCCGTGTCAACGTCGTCTCGCTCGCTTACTCGCTTGCTCGCTTGCTTACTCCTGTCAAGGGTGATGACGTCTTCAGTGACAACAACGAGACGAATTGCTCTCGTTGCCAGCGATATTTTCTATGCTCTATGGCCAGGCTAAGATGACACGATGCTACATCGGAACTCTGGCGAGAACAAGACCGGAGCGATGATGATACAGTCTCGTTCTCATAGTTGTGGTGTGGCTGACGAGCCCTGCCCCTAGCCACACCAGCCACCAGCCACATCTGCTTTCGCATCAGGCATACTAGTCTTCTTACTCTGTGATAACTGTAGATTGACTATGACCATGACAACGATCAAAGCACGTCTCATATGCTGAGGCAATATCATCCGGAATGGTACTATCTTCCTCATAATCTTCCATATGAATTACCCAAGGATTGCACCAGACATAGCACTGGACGAGAAGAGCGATACACCCAAAGTCTCAGATGCAACCTCTATCGCAGCCGCTGATCCAAATATCGATGCTCGCGAGGTCAAAGTGAAAGAGGTCCTCAAAGCTTGCGACTCAAAAGACCTTGGCGCTCTTGTACGCCACGCTACAAGCAAGTATGGCTTCGTGAAAGACAACGTGCGTCGGGTCGCATGTAAGTCCAAGGAATGGTCCTCGAAGTAAAAGGCATTTGGCCTAACATAACACTATTAGGGCAGCTACTGCTCGGAGATCGAAATAGTGCCTCACGCAAAAAACGGGAGTCTTGGAGCTCCTTGCCACCACACAAAGACGAAGACCAAGTCCAACTAGACGTCGACCGATCCTTTGTATATTACCCCAATGGTACGAACATTTTGATATCGTTGAAGCTGTGGAGCAGACTGACGTTTACTGCAGATGAAAACACAGCCCAGATCGAGCGCAGAAAACACGATCTTTCCTACGTAATCGTTGATGTGCTGCGAAAACACCCCGACCTTTGTTATTTTCAGGGCTATCACGATATAGTACAAGTGATACTTCTCGTCTTCGATGACCGCAATATTGCTGCATATGTTGCCTCCCGCATGTCTCTCCTCCGGATCCGAGACTTCATGCTTCCGTCAATGACCGCTTCGATATCCCACCTTCGACTCCTGCCTCCTATCCTGTATACTGCCGATCGCGAGCTATACAACCATGTTCAAGGTGCGCAGCCATACTTTGCACTAGCTGCAACGTTGACAATGTATGCGCACGATATACAAGAGTACGGGGATATTGCTAGGCTATTCGACTTCCTGATTTCCCAGGAAGCGGTCATGTCAATATATTTATATGCAGCAATAATTCTCTCGCGCAGAGCGGAGCTTCTCGAAGTTCCTCAGGACGATCCGCAGATGCAACATTTCATTCTCTCAAAGCTCCCTCAACCTCTCGACCTCGATGCCCTCATAGCCCGCGCTGTTGAACTATACAAGGCATATCCGCCAACATCGCTTCCCTTCCGTGCATGGGCCAATGTGTCTCCGTATAGTGTTCTGAAGACCACGACTGAACCACAAAAAATATGGTCCCAGACTGATGAGGCTTGCATGAGGAATTTCACACAACACGCTGCTCAGGTTGCACGACAAGACGCACGCCAGAAGGCTCTGTCGAAGGCCAAGTATATGGCTTGGGCGTATAGAAAGCCAGCCAGCGCCGTTGGACTTGCCATCGTGGTCGGAGTATTTGCACTTTGGCTCGGACGTAATGGCAATAGCAACATGTTTACGCGCAGTCCACTGTTCGGAACATTGGCGTACAAAGTACTTGGGGTTCGATGAGCTTTGCGGAGATTACCAGTCAACGAAGAGAATCGATGGTCAGATCCATCATCGTAGGCTTGTGAGTGTTACGCGAGCTATAAAGGACAAGCATGATGTCGCGAAAAATCAATGGCACACCGCTCACCGCCAATGCACAACGCCACGCATTTCGGATGAGGATAAGCGTAATGTGGAGTGCGTTCAACGGCGGGATCTAGGCTGCCGACGAGCATAAAGTCTGGGGTAAGGTCTGCGTCGCAAAGTGAAGAATGCGGAGTGTGAGGTGCAAGCATCAGTGCGGGCATTAGTAATACCTTGAATATGCTGGTGCCCGCAATCACACTGCCAACCTTTCATCCATACACGCGGAGATCAGGGGGAGATTGGAGTATATAGAAATCAAACGACTAGATGAATACTCAATGAGGGAGGGATGGTACGTTTCCAACGTGAGTGTGATATTGGTAAAGTGTGTGTGAACAAGTTCTATACGAGTCGGAGTGAGCGTGCACGGTGACGCCGCCCGATAAGGCCCGAAGTGGCGGCGGGAGTCGGGCCGGCAGCGATAAGGATAAGGGTTGTTCTGCGCCTAATTAAGATATGTACCTAATAGGTATTCTTAGTAGTATTATATATGTACTCCCTAGGTATTAGCCTTCAATTCAACAGAGTACTCTATAACTTCATGCTGATGAGAGATCAGAGTGGTCACCCTGTGAGACATATGATAGAGACAACCCACCATTGAATCTCCAGCTGAACCATGTGTCTTGATATATGTACACCAGCATGTCTACATATCTACTATGTCTACTAGATAGATACACTACCAGTGTGGGCGGGAGAGAGGCTGGTCCAATGCCCATCCGATGTCTGATACACTGCCGCTGGCATGTGTTGCGTTTTGCCGCCTCGTATGCAGCAGACATAGGATGGATGGTGCAGTCAGTCTCTCACCATCTCGTTGGCTCCTACATATAGTATGTAACCATGAAACTGACTGACCACGCGGACAGACAGATTCACCACCACTACAGCAGATATCCATCTTGAAGAAACCGATTCAAAGTCACAGCAATGGCAGAGTCTGGTCGTTGGGAAAGGCTAAAAAGACGCCTGCAAGCTCACTGCTAGTTGTTATTCATTTTTTTGCCCGGCAACCAGTAGAAGCGGTGAAGGTGGCCTTAGCGCCTGCCCCTCGCTAGTCGCCCGAACAAAAATTTATTCCAGCGCCCACAGTTAAAACTCGTCCACAGCCCCTCCACCACTTTTTTTATTACCCTCACTCCCTCCCCCCAAACTCTCCACTCACTCTCACTCTCTCCAGGACTCGCTCCTATACTTACTCTTTTCCCTTCAGTCTTCTCTAGAGTCTGTCGTATTTGCCGTTTGCGAATCAGAAAAGTGGCGACATTGCGAATCTCGCTTTCGTCGCGACCGCTTACGTTTGATACCCTCATCTCATAGATTATTTCCTCTGCGCTTTCGACCAGATCAAGCAGCCTTGATCTCAGCGTCATCCGCATAGCATATCTTACCGCTATCTGTGTCTAAAAGAAACTCTCAAAACTCCTTAAAACATGGCTCCCGCTGCTGAAACTGCGTCCTACAACGCTGCCTCCGTCAAGAGCGAGAACAGGACATCCGTCAAGGTCCTCGAGGAACTCGTCTCTAAACTCAGCATTTCGAAAGATGCCGCTGAGATCACTGCTACCTCGCAGAACCTCGCCGTTTTCATTAACGGTGATATCGAGGAGGCTGATGCTCCCACCAAGTAAGCTTTTGCCACTCCACACACGGAGGATTTTGGGCTAACAGTACCGCTCTAGGGTTGTTGCTCTGCTCCAGAAGCAACTGAACAACAAGAAAGATGCCAACGTGCGAGAGCGTGCGCTGGACGCCATCAAGGCCATCGCTTCGCACTCCACAGTCTCCCCCGCCATCGAACCATACCTTGTCGCCCTCCTTCCCGCCACTCTCAAGGCTGTCAGTGACAAGATGAACCCAGTCAAGGTTGCTGCGCAAGCCGCAACTGAGGCCATCATCAAAGCCACAAACGCCAATGCCGTCAAGGCTATCATCCCTCACATCACCGTTTCGCTCCGCGAAGCGCTGAAATGGCCCGAGAAGATCACCGGCCTGAACTGCATCGAGGCGCTAGCCGCAAACTCTCCTGTACAGACTGGTCTGCAAGTCCCAGACCTGATTCCTATCGTGTCTGAGGCAATGTGGGACACCAAGCCCGAGGTCAAGAAGGCTGCGTACGGCACTATGGAAAAGATTTGCGCTTTGATCTCCAACAAGGATATCGAGCGTTTCATTCCCGAGCTCATCAAGTGTATCGCCAAGCCAGAGAACGTCCCTGAGACTGTTCACTTACTGGGTGCCACTACCTTCGTCACTGATGTTCACCAGCCGACACTGGCAATTATGGTTCCTCTCCTTGAACGTGGTCTTGTCGAGCGCGAGACTGCTATCAAGCGAAAGTCTGCCGTCATCGTCGACAACATGTGCAAGCTCGTCGAGGACCCTCAAATTGTTGCATCTTTCTTGCCCAAGCTTATGCCTGCTCTTACCAAGAACTATGAGACAATTGCCGACCCAGAAGCTCGCGAGAAGACCAAGCAAGGTCTCGACACCCTTGCCCGTGTTGGTGACGTCAAAGATGGCAAGATCCCCGAGGTGTCTCATGCTGGTGACATTTCCACCGTTCTTGGCCATCTCAAGGAGCTCTACGGCTCCAAGTACAAGGATGCTACCTCGGACAAGTTCGAAGCCGTCAACATCTACATTTCTGCCATCGCCGGTCAGCTCATCGATGACAAGGACACCGAACAGGTCACGTGGTTGACCGCTCTGTCTCCCTACGTTGCCGTTGTCGTTGGTGACGCAGATGCCCCTGGTATCATTGACTCTCTTCGCAAGCGTGCCTCTCCTGGTGTCGCTGACGAGGAAGAAATGGAACCTGATGAGGAGGAGGGCGAGGATCTATGTAACTGCACATTCAATCTTGCCTACGGTGCAAAGATCTTGCTCAATCAGACCCATCTCCGCTTGAAGCGTGGCCAGCGTTACGGTCTTTTGGGCCCCAACGGATCTGGTAAGACCACCCTTATGCGCGCCATCAACAACGAGCAAGTCGAGGGCTTCCCCAAGCAGAGCGAAGTCAAGACTGTTTACGTCGAGCACGACCTTGACTCCGACGATACTGAGTACACAGTCATCGAATGGACTCAGAAGAAGCTGCAGTCAGTCGGTATCACCAAACCTGATGCAGATGTTGAGAAGACACTGCAAGAGTTCGGTTTCGTCAAGGATCAAATTTCCTCTCCCGTCGGCTCCCTGTCGGGTGGCTGGAAGATGAAGCTGGCCCTTGCCCGTGCCGTCTTCGAGGAGCCTGATATCCTCCTTCTGGACGAGCCGACCAACCACATGGACGTCAAGAACGTCAAGTGGCTGGAAGACTACCTCGTTGGCAACCCTTGCACATCCATCATCATCTCTCACGACAGCAAATTCCTCGACAACGTTATCCAACACGTCATTCACTACGAGCGCTTCAAGCTTAAGCGCTACCGTGGTACATTGAGCGAGTTCGTCAAGCGTGTCCCATCTGCTCGCTCATACTACGAGCTTGGTGCTTCCGAGATGGAGTTCAAATTCCCCGAACCCGGTTTCCTTGAAGGTGTCAAGACAAAGGCCAAGGCTATTGTTCGTGTCACGAACATGTCCTTCCAATACCCTGGTACTTCCAAGCCTCAGATCCACGGCATCTCCTTCCAGTGTTCTCTTGGCTCTCGTATTGCTGTCATTGGCCCCAACGGTGCTGGCAAATCAACTCTTGTCAACGTCTTGACTGGTGAACTCATTCCCACATCTGGTGAGGTCTACCAGCACGAGAACATCCGTATCGCATACATTAAGCAGCACGCTTTCGCCCATATCGATCACCATCTCGAGAAGACACCATCTGAGTACATTCAATGGCGTTTCCAGACCGGTGAGGATCGCGAGACGATGGACCGTGCCAACAAGATTGTCACTGATGATGATGTCAACGCCATGAACAAGGTATACAAGATTGAGGGCACTCAGCGCAGAGTCATCGGTGTGCACTCACGCAGAAAGTTCAAGAACTCGTACGAATACGAGTGTTCGTTCGCCCTTGGTGAAAACGTCGGAATGAAGAACGAGAAGTGGACCCCCATGATGACTGCAGACAATGCTTGGATCCCACGTAACGAGATCTTGTCATCGCATCAGAAGGCTGTTGCCGAAGTCGACCAGAAGGAGGCTCTCGCCAGCGGTCAATTCCGTCCCTTGGTCCGCAAGGAAATTGAGCAACACGCTGCCAACTTCGGTCTTGATGCTGAGCTTATCTCTCACTCTCGTATGAAGGGTCTGTCTGGTGGTCAGCGTGTCAAGGTCGTGCTCGCTGCCTGCTCATGGCAACGTCCTCACTTGATCGTTCTTGACGAGCCTACCAACTACCTCGACCGTGACTCACTAGGTGCCTTGTCCAAGGCCATCAAGTCTTTCGAGGGTGGTGTCATCATTATCACTCACTCTGCCGAGTTCACCAAGGATCTCACCGAGGAAGTGTGGGCCGTTGTTGACGGCAAGATGACACCTTCTGGACACAACTGGGTGCAAGGACAAGGTGCTGGACCTCGTCTGGATGCAAAGGGCGATGACGAGGAGGTCAAGTTCGACGCCATGGGTAACAAGATCGAGTCGGGTCCAAAGAAGAAGAAGCTTACAAGTGCTGAGCTAAGAAAGAAGAAGAAGGGTGAGTCGCAATGCTGTACCTGCATGTTGAAGTGTCATCTGCTAACGTTTCCACCAGCCCGTATGGCCCGCAAGAAGGAACTGGGTGACGCCTACGTCTCTGAATCCGAGGACGAATGAGCGACTCGCCTGTCATCTATCAAAAAGTGTACAGGGGGTCATCTGGAGTCGAAAAAAGCGTAATGATGTTCACGTACAGAGACGATATGGGCTGTGTGCGTGTTTTTCTTAATGCATCGGATTAAGTTTCGGACTGGCGTTTCTATTGGTCTTCTCCCGGGTTGTAGCTAGACTTCGCGCGCGCTTTTTGAAGCTATTGACCGCCGGTATGTAGATAGACATAAATCTTCTTTGTCATACCAAGAACCAGAATAGACGTTTGATCGAAATACATTTCCATCTGTTTCTGCGGTGTTCTATTGACGAGGACGCCAGTGTGTTCAAACCTCGAGTATCAGAATGGCGACTTCGAGATTCACTAATCCGTCCTTGCTTAGAGTCTTCCCATCGACCTTCCACCCATCACCGCCCCAGATCTTCTCCTTGACCCCCTTCGCCCGAACAGGCAACTCCACACTCACCAACCCCTTACTCGCATCATACTCCATACTCACCACACTGACAAGCATAGCTCCCTCTCCAACCCACCCAGCAGCATCAACTCTCTCCCTACCCACGACCCTCAACCCCACCCCTTCACCCCCGAGCACCAACCCCGTAACATCCCCCCTCGTCAACACCCGCGCCAACGCCCCCGTCACATCCCTCAACTCCCCCGTCGTCGGAAAACTCCACGCCGAAACCCCCTTCGCCCCATGATTCACCCCCAGCATCACCAGCACGACCTCCTCATCCGCCCGCGGATACCGCGGCCAATAACTCTCATTCCCAAACGCCTGCGGCACAACCCAAAACGCCTTCTTCCCTTCCCCCTCCCGCGCAATCCACGTCTCGTAGCGCGCCACCGCGTCCATCCGCCGCGCTACATCCTCAAGTCGGCCTGTGCAGCCATCACACCCGCAGTCGCCGTACGTGCGGTTGCACGGCGTGTCCCAGACTGTGCTGTGCTGTGCGTTGATACCGACGGGGTATGCGTCTTGCAGGAGGATGTCTGCGCCGGCGGCATAGGCAGCGTAGTGGAAGTTTGCGCAGTTGAGCACGAGGCTGACGGGGTGGTAGGGGTCGAGGGATTTGAGGAGGGAGTAGGCGTGGCGGGGGCTGTCGAGCGGGGCGCCGATGCCGTCGGGCTCGTCGGCGGTGTACCAGAGGAGGAGGGATTTGTGGGGTGTGAGGCGGTGGAGTTGGGTGGTTAGGGAGGTGGTGTTTGTGTAGGTGTGGCGCATGTCGTAGATGAGGTGGAGGTTGAGGGCGTCCATGTGGGAGAGGTAGGATTCGAAGAGGGTGGGGTCGAAGGGGTCTTGGGTGCCGGGGGGGATGATGTGGATTGTGTTGTAGCCGAGGGCTTTGTAGGTGTCGAGGGAGGAGGGGGAGGGGAGGAGGAAGCCGTCCCAGGAGGTGTAGAAGGTGAAGGGGATGATGGGTTGCCAGGTTGTGCTGGTTTTGGAGAGCTGGTCGCGGACGTAGAGGCCGCCGTGGAGGTTGTCGAGTTTGACGACGGAGCCGTGGTCGGTGCGGGCGGGGAGGTAGGTGAGGGATGTGTGTGTGGTGTAGGTCTGGCTGCCGTCGATGGAGGATGCGGATAGGGTTATGTTGTAGGGGGCGAATCGGGGTGTGAAATGGTCGAGGGAAAAGGGGAATATGTTTGCTGTCGAGTTGATCTTCACGCTTCGGTCGCCGCTAATGATCTGAGCGCCGGTGTGCGTGTCGGAGACTTCGATGATGAGATAAGTAAAGGGAGAGACCGTGTTGGTGGTATTGTCGATGGTTGGGTTTGAGTAAGGAAAGCCGTGGATGTAGGATATGGGTGCGTCAATTACGAAGGATGCGTACTCTTCGCCCGCGGTGTAGATGTTGAAGTGTGGATATATATTCAAGTCTAGCAATGGGTGATCTGATCTGGGGGGCTCAACGAGTTCTCCACCGGGTTCGAAGGATGCGTTGCTGTGAGAAGTTAGTTATTTCGACGTCATGTGGGTGAATATCTCTCTCTGACGTCTTCATGTACGCCTTTCCGCACCAGATCGGAACGTCAGGCGGGTTGTTAAATTGGCCACCAACTGCAAAAGCGTGGTTAGCTCTCGAGAGGGCCATACCAGCCATACCGACGAATTGCTGGACTGCCATTGTGATGTTTATAGCATCGCAAAGTAGGTTACTAACATGAAGTTCTTATTTGGAGGGGTGAGGTGAAATCCCTCACCTGCTGAGGGCCCAATAATCTTGGCACTATATACATGTGTCTCCTTTTAGACAAGTGCTAAAATAATTAGCTCGCAGGTAAGTAATACAATGCGATTCTTAATGTAAGAGATCGACCCGGAAGGCATGTCAGCGCGACACTTGAAACGATGTTGCGAAACATAGTCAGACAGAGCTTCGATGGCTACGTATACTCTCCGTCTGTGTGATAGTTTGGATGTCTCATTTGAGGTATGCCTAAGGATCATAGTGGCTAGAGAATATGACATTCGAGACAATGACATCTCTGCTGGGCGGAGCACATTGTGTACCATATCACCGTGAACGTAAGAGACAGCCAACCATCGTGTCACTTCTATACCTCTGTATAGACATTATAGCAGTTTCTGTACTCGAGATATGCTCTACAAGTTTGTCAAGTAATCCTCCACCTCTTGGGAAGTAAGCTTCCTGAACCGTGGACCTTGTGCATGCTCTACCCCTTCATATCCCAATAGACGATCCTCTGGGGGTCCTACAATGCCTGTATGCAGTTAGCGAATTACGCAGCTTTGATTATTTGATTCGCTTACCAATCTCAACTGTATCGCCGTTCATCTCACCCTCTATGGTCTCTTTCAGAGTTAGGAGAGCGATGTGAATAGCATCCTCGAGCTCCAATCCCTCGGTATATCTCTTCTCCAGGAAGGTCTTTGCACTGGTTGCACTCTTCCCAATCGCCGTGGCTTTCCATGGGAAGTAACTTCCGCTAGGATCAACTTGATACAGACTTGGTCCGCCCTTGAGAATACCCCCTGTCTTGCCCTGCGCGGCTTTTTTCTCTTCTTCCGTCTCACCCTCCTTCGCTGCTTCTGTCTCCGGCTCAATGCCGTCATCCCAACCAGCGATCAGTAGACTGACGCCGTATGGTCTTACACCTCCAGACTGTGTTGCCTCTTGCATGACCCGTGCGATGTCCTGAACGAGAATCCTAGTCGGAGGGTATTCGTTGTACACACGCTTATAGCCAGTATGAGAGACTTTGCGAGCTTTGTCGACCAATATCCTGTAGTCCGGACCCATGCCTGAGTAAACCATACCGATATTCGGGGTGATGAGGCTGACTTTGGACGAAGATGAGGCGTCGACAAGAGGTGATGAGGATTTCTTTTCGGTCGCTAGTACAATGCCATTCGTTGCTAAATCGATCAGAGTGGTAAGTATTGAGCTTGGCGACGGATCATACCTTTGATACCCAGGGAGGTGACACCTTGGTTGACGGCATTGAGGGCATACTCTGTTGCGGTCAGTTATCCGGCCCAATACTAAAGACAGGGTTTCGCAAACCTATCTGCACCAGTTTTCCCCTAGTACACAATTAGTCTTCTGTTCTATTTGAGCATCGTGTATAGAAGAACTCACGTTGGAGAGAATGTCGTAAGTGAGAATGCATAGCGGTCCGCCATTGCTACGGACTGAGGAAATCGGACTTCGAGGACCTGATCAGCGGAGAAGCACCCAGATAATAGTTTGATAGACTGGCAGTATATTCGGCAGCTTGGGAGTAACAGTGAAGAGTGGGAGTATGCTGCAGTTCGAAGCCGATATGATTTTGTGAAAGTGAAGCTCCAGGCAAGACAAACAACCAAAGCTACAGCTCTGGAATACGCGGCGAAGCTACCAATGAATGCCAAGACATTACGGTCACGTGCACTCAAGGTCCGGCGCCACGACGAACGGCAGTAAATTCTCCCGTCGGCCGTCTCGTTCCTTCCACGATTGGATTCTTGTTTGGTCGATTCCCCCAAAGTAGTTCACTCTCCTCTCTCTACGGCCACCGTGTCTAGATTGATCACCCCCTGAGTGTGAATCATGTTTGACATCCGTATTCTACTCACATGAGTGTGAAGGTTTATCTTGGCCGAGCCACCTCTTAAATACTCATTCATTACCGCTGTCATCGGCGGACATGACTTGTCTCTTTATACACTGACCATACAGATTCCTCGCAGCGAGCGTATATCATATAAAATGGATTCTCCAGAACACGCACACTCGACTGGCTATGCTCATGTTGATCCGACTGATTGGCATACATTCACTCAACGTGCAGCGAACCCTCAAACTGACCACTCTGAGTCCACGAGACCGAATGAACAGCATCCTCCGCAGGAGCATTTCTACCGTCCACGAACGTGTCGTATCTGTTTTGATATAGTCCAGCCAACATTACGCCCGCCTATGGAGAGTTTGCCCGGTTTCCTTCAACCGAGACCGGAAGTTGTGTACGAGGATGAAGCAGGGCGTCTCATCCGACCATGCAAGTGTAAGGGGTCATCGAAATATGTACACGATGGCTGTCTAGCTCAGTGGAGGATGCGAGATCCTACTAGCAGAAGGAACTTCTACGAATGTCCCACGTGCGGCTTCAAATACAAGCTTTCACGACTTGGATGGGCCGGCCTCTTAGCGAACCCGAGTAAGTTTATATAATGATACGACCGTACTTCTTGGTCAGCGATAAGTTTGAAATCAAATGCTAATGGCAATATCCCAGTACTACGAGTGGTACTCAGTATCACCGTGCTTACTTCCATCGCATTTATTTTGGGTTTCTTCGCTGAGACCATCATCCGCATTGGGCTGGATCCGATGACTATTGTGACGGACCAGCTCTTTGAAGACTCACGCAATCGGCACCACCAAAGGCCTGCTAATGAGCCCGTCAGCTGGTACGAGCACTTCGCGAATGGATTCGTGTCCATCGGCGTGGTGGGCTTCTTGAAAGTCCTACTTAGTAACCCTTGGAACTGGATCAATGGTTTGCGTGGCGTGCCTACTGGCGGGCGGCAAGGTAGGACTGGACGAGAGCGAATCACTGGTATTACATGGATAGCGATCATGATTGGAGTGATTACAGTCCTTTATGTAAGTCTACAACCCTTATCAAGAAAACAGAGCTGATCGAGAGCAGGGCATATGGAAAGCCGTCCAAGCCTGGAGCAAACGAATTCTACGTCGGGTCGAGCAGAAAGTTATGGATGTACATGACGCTGACGATGGAGACGATGAAGACGACTAGCTCAATTTAAATCATTATCTACAGTGAGATGAGGCATACTCACAAACCTGATCAGAGTGAACCGAACCGCACTACTTAAGTTGCCATGCCCATCTCTCCCATGGCGTGCCGATTAGTCAATGTGCGAAGATCAAACGCTACGTAATTTGAGCCTACTTCGAACGTCTTGTTCGGACTGGCTTAAGCTACTCGCAGTTCCAGCTTATTTTTATTGACCTTGGCGCCGCTCTTCCACGAGCAATGTTCGTTCGTCGATGTGTTAAGGAGGCCTGGTACATCTGAATCAAAGATTGTGCTTTTCGACGAGACCGATATGTATCATCTAGGAATTAGAATATAATGCGTGTTGTCTGACTTATCATATGCTCAGTATTAGATAGTTTTAAGAGAATAATTAAATTATGCGTGGCTTGGAATGATGTCCATCGGGACGGCGGTGCACGGGCCGCCGATCCCTGCATCCCAAAAGATTTCTATTCTTTGCCTTCAAGCTCTCTAGACGTCACACTCATCATCCATCTCCCACACTCACACATCACAACATGATTCAAAGAACATTATTGCGCACCTCGCGCGTCGTCCGTCCCTCCTTCCGCCCCCAGGTCGCACTTCGCACTTCCAGTCCCTCATATCTGCGCGCCACGCAGCCCGGAGTAGTTTCGCGATGGTACTCCGAAGCCAGCGAGTCGAAGAAAGAAGACAACGCGAAACCCGCTGAGACAGAGACCAAAACCGAACCCGAAGACCCGGTCAAGAAGGAGCTCGAGGCGAGGAACAAGGAGGTTGTCGAGCTAAAGGTACGCAATTGATCCCAGTCCTGCCTCGCACTGCAGCGCACGCATCACGCGAGCTGCGAAACTGCCCATTCCAAAGCTTCCGCTAATCCAGGCCTCTCAACACAGGACAAGTACCTACGCTCAGTCGCCGACTTCCGCAACCTACAAGAGCGCACCAAGCGAGAAGTCTCTGCCGCAAAGGACTTTGCCCTCTCGCGCTTCTCCCGCGATCTCATCGAGTCCATCGACAATCTCGACCGCGCGCTCGAGAACACACCGCAAGCCGCGCTCGCCGAGGGCGCGAATACCGATCTGGCCAACCTGCACTCCGGTCTGCGCATGACGGAGACGATCCTCATGGGCACGCTGAAGAAGCATGGGCTGGAGCGGTTCGACCCGAGCCCTGAGGGCGAGAAGTTTGATCCGAATGTGCACGAGGCGATATTCATGACACCGCAGGGGGATAAGGAGGATGGGACGTGTTTTACCACTCAGCAGAAGGGCTTCAAGTTGAATGGCAGGGTGATACGGGCGGCAAAGGTGGGCGTGGTGAAGAACTCATAGATGGTCTCGTCGCTTTGCCTTGTTTTGATAAAAGTGCTGTTCGGCTTGCTAAGAATGTTTCTCCACGTTTATACTTGCTGTTGCAGCATAGCTTGCAGGCTAATCCTACTTGTACATATATTCCTCCTCCCTCACGACCGATCTGTACTACATAGATGAGAACCTGTAAAAGTAACATTATAATTGGATAAGGAAAAGGACAAAGGGACTTGCAGTCCTCTAACTTCAGATGCCCTCCATGAATGTTTAACTTTGGTCTTTCGTGCCTGTACGCGAAGTTGAAGAGCACGTCTATCTTTTTGTGTTCTTGTTTTTGAATGCCAATATCGAATCCGCGATAGGTTGCGCATATGCTCTGAAGGTTGAGGAGGCGCCCACAATTATTCACACAAGCCCATTGCCTAAACGCCTTGCTCCTTCCTATGCACCATATTTTACACCACCACAACGAGCGTAACAGGAACAGGAACTACCAACCCGGATTCTGCCCATATGGCGTGGTACTACTCTGTCCGTATGGCGTCGCTCCGTAAGGTGTCGTGCCGCCCGCACCAGCTGCACCACCACCCGCACCACCCCATACACTATTATGCCCTCCATATGGTGTATTAAAGCCTTGGTCTGCACCACCGTAGCCGTTGGGCGCACCGTCAGGGGTTCTGCCGCCGTCGTTGTATCCCATTTCTTGGTCTCCACTGGCACCATTGAGCTCCTGAATCACGCCGGCGAGCTTCTGCTGGAGAACCTTGATGCCTTGTTGCATGACAACATCAGGCTCGAGCGAACCGACGGTTTCGACGTTGAAATAGAAGCGTGTGGGTTGTTTATTGAAGTCGAAGGAGTCGTTTTCGGCGACGGGTTCCTCGAAGGCGGCGTTGCGTTCATTGATGGGCCTGGGTTTCATGTCAGCGATCACAATTGGAAGAATAGCTGGCATCATCTTTGCACGTACCATTCCTTCATCGCGTCCTCCTCATACCAATAGCTGACGTGCCGTAACCGGTTGTATGGATCGTATTCAAACCCGATTGCGGCTGTTGGGGCCCATTTCGCATGCTCTTTTGCTATACCCTTCTTCGCTATACACTTCATTTTGATCTCTTGTCCTTTCCTTAGCTTGCAGATAATCGAGCCGTTACCGTCTGGGTCCGACAGCACAGGTGTCCCAACCCACTCGTTCGCCCGCATCTCCGAAACTACCAGGTCGCGCGCATACACGCGCATGATATCGTCGCCGGTGCACTTTGCCTGCAGCGTGAGCATGACACTACAGTTCTCACAGTATTGTTCGCATTCGCAGTCGCGAGTGTAGAGAACATCCTCGACATTCTTTGCGGAGAGAGGGATCAGGCCCAAGCGATGGCAGATGAACTCATCCGCGAGGTACGAGGTATTCTTTTCGACTTCAACTACGTCTATAGCGAGAGTGGGCACTTCGGCAAGCATCACACGGCGGAGGGAATTCGCGGTCGCGAGATCGAGGTTGTCGATGTAGAAGTCGGCGACGGTGGGAGTTGCCTGTGCGCCATCGCGGTTAGTACAGCAACCATGCGACCGTGAGCATGCATTGAGAGGCTAATGAGATGTACCTCGCGAATCTTGACACTGAGACCCTCGGCAATATCGCCGTTCAGGCCATCGAAGTCGTAGGCCATTCTGGCAGAGACGTGCTACGCGGCCGTCGTGGCTTTGCACGCGACGCTGTGCGAAGCTTGGGTGGCGTATTTGATGCGCGCCTGAGCCTTGAAGTTGAAGATGGGCTAGTTAGGTGATGTGTGGAGCCGAGCGCGGTGACGACTATGCGGATTATGGGGGAATTGAAGGATCCGTGGATCTACTGTATTGTCGCAAAGTCGACGTCTGAATATCTTCGGGATGCCGATCAGTGCCAAGCGGTCGTGGCTTGGTACCTCGTGCACTGCCACACCTCCCGACAGACTGGTCACGTGTAAATATACAAATCAATTGTAGTAGACTGTATTCATCAACTTGAGTCCAAACAGCTCAAATGTGCATTTATGCAAGTATCGAATGTTGCTTTTGACTATCTCGATTATCTAGCAAGTCAGGTAGTCGGTGACTATTCGTAATGATCAGAGTGTCATCATTAACCTAGCCTGTGTCTGACCGAGCGCAATTTGTTGCATGACTATCTCGAACAATGAAGGGAGCATACTGATCTCGCCAATGCTCGTCTGCGCTTTGTGAATTTTCGTAGTGGCACCAGCTGCATAAATAACTTGCATCAACATTCATGGAAGCGTAGTTCAAGCTGTTGTACAACACATAAGGAGCCGCTGACTGTCGACACCTGAGCCAGCCAGGAATCGTATTGAGTGGGAATCGGATTTCCAAAGTCAACCTCGGCGCACACAGCTCGCCGCTCCGCCTCAGACATGAGAAGCTCAGCAGACAGCAGTATTACAGGGGCAGACAAGGTGAGACTAAGACCGATCAATAGACAGACAGGAGATTGACCATAATCCTCACGTGCCGTAACGCGGCATTGCGAATGACAGCATGTCGAATCTGTCGTGGAATGACGGCTTATACCTCCGCCTTGAGCACTTGGCGGCGGAGTGAGTTCGCCGCCGTTGACAAAGCCACCTATGAGACCATGTATCATTCCGCCGAACGAGGCTTGCCGCTTTGGGTAATCTGATTCCATGACGTGCAATTGATTCAGTAGATGTTAGCGATGCCATGGCTGGCTTTCGGTGGGCTCCTGTTGTCCGCTGCTGAGATCATGAGACATTATGACTTCACGTTGGCTGTCTCTCTTTCTTTCGGGACCGGAATGTAGCTGATCCTCTCATCATTGCAACCGACGTAGAGGAAGGGAGAACAGCAAAGCAAGTGTCCACGCAATATGCCTAGGCGCTCCAGTGTTTAGTAGCTGCGCCCTCTAGCAAAAGGAGTCCGTCTCTCATCGACCGTAGACACAGCCTTGTGAACGTGGTCAAACTGCGACTACGCTTGGGACTAGACGTCTGATTAGCGATTAGGGCAATTCCATGGGTGGGACATTCCCGGTGACGATAGCAATTGGTAATGAAAGGGGGCTCGGGTTGGACGTGCATGCGATGGGAACGAAGGAGGCTGTGTTAAATGTGTTAGACAATCTCGAACATCATGCCGCTCCGCCATTGGTTGATGCTTAGCGCGCCCGGAAAACGGTGGCCAAACCTTCCATGGAGCTCCGCCATCTTGCGTCAATACATATATGATTCGACTCAACGCTCCCGGATATTGTACTTCCAAGCAAATACACACCTACAACCATATAACTGCTGAATTACCAGCCGCTGCCAAACCACCCAACATACCAAACAGTAATATGGCATCTGTGGATTTCTCGTCGCCTCGGCAGAGCCGCGCATCAAGCAATGCGTCCTCCAAAGCACCCAAATCACCTCTCTCTCTCGACCTTTCAGACCTCCCACCTCTCATAACACCATCAGAACCCTCAAATACTCTCATCATAACTGTAAGTGCTCCGGCATATATTTTCCACCTGAACCGTCCCATTAACAGACTCTAGAACCTCCACGATGTCGCCATCTTCCACCCAGCGAATCTTGCCACCATTCGCGACAGTATTAATGAGCGCGCCGAACTCCACTCCTTCGCGCCTCTCAAGTCCTTTCGCCGCATAATCGCTTCGTTCTTCAAGATAGAGGATGCTATATCTATACGTCAGCAACTTGACGGTACGCACTTGATGGGCTGCCCAACGCGCGTCTTCTTTGGTGAACCTACTCCAATCAACCCAGCGGACCAACATCTCGACCTACCCAAGAGTGCCAGGCTCTTCTTCATCAGCCCTCCTCCATCGCCGCCGCATGGCTGGGAGGTGCGCAATGAAGACCCCCCAAATAAAATGGTTCACGCGGAAGATTTGGCAACTGCTCTGGCGAAACTGAATGCCAACACAGCAACAAGAGATATAGGCATCGACTGCCCCTCGCCAACCACAGAAAGCGGCAACCCGGAGACATCACCTCGAGCTAAGACGAGGAAGCGCGGAAGTTCCACGGTCGTGTATCACCCTGATGACCACGGCGACAGCCCTCTCCTCCCAGTAATTTCCGTCGACGATACGACTGGCCTGTCAGGAAGCCCTGGTATCCTTACTCCCCTGAATGTAGATCGCATGAAAGAGGTCAGAACAGAGCGACCTCCTATGGATATTATGACTGCATGAGGGTTTTCTTCTTTAGATCATTGTTATACGATAGTCGTCAGACTACATCTTGGTCATATCACAGGACGGCGTTACAAAACAAGACGGTACAGAGCTGTCTGTAAGCTTATTTTAGACGGCATCAGGAGCATCATGGGCGTTGGAGGTAGTGGCCTTTCAAATCGCCCGCATTCATGCTTGTAGAAAACATGTTTATGATACTAGGATTAATCATGAACTTAGCTAGTACTGTTAGCACATGTTCACACATGATAGCATTATCTAATAATTCATCGCCCTACGCGATCATACCTCACGTTATGGAGTGTTATTCATGTTTGAGCTGTACAACGGTTACGTCATCGTGCTTACGTAGAAATGCACAACCACAAGGCCAGCGTGTCTATCCTTAAAAGACAATTTCACATCGTATACATGTTACCACTAACGTCGTTGTACTTGAATATCCACTAATAACAAATAGTCGAACAAAGATTAAGAAACGCCACCTGCCTACCGTTTGGCTCAAACGTGGCTGATCTAAGAACTTACTTTATGATTCCATTTCGCCTCACCCAGGACAACTCGTTGACCTTTCCTATGTCCTTTTTTAATTACCACGGTCATTGTGTGAGCTAGATTTGCCATCGAGCCATCATGGTATTGCCATAAGCAACTAAACACGCTCTGGAAAGCATTAAGATATAGTAATAGGTTTCGTCGCTCAAGAATACCGTTTCAAGTTACATGGACCAGGATATGTAAAGTGGACCCTCGATAAATGGTGCGTGGTGTCTTAAGGCTTTGATAGGTTGATGAGCAGTACGTCTCAACGAGCATACCAGTACGTCTCAACGAGCATCATTAATTACCTGAGTAGTCGTTCCTGTCTCATGCGCCCAGCGTGCGATGGGACCCTCAGTGCTTCCAGAAACTCATCAGGATGACTTTCATGCAGCTAAGAATTCCCGGTCTTCGCTTTCTGTCCGCGTAGAATGTACCAAGACTCGATGACTTGTTGCTCAACTACATCGAGAACAGAAGCTGGGCGTCACAAGGCGCCATCTGACCCACTGTAGACAGATCAAACATGCAGAGATCCACCAATAAACGTAATGCAAAAAGATGTAGTAGTAATCAAGGGATAGTATTACATGCAGCCGATAGCGAAAAGTCTCGAGCACGAGATTTCGCCAAGAACTGGCCGTGAAATGGACGGACTTTGAGATCATTACAAGTATTACTCGGGTCGCTCGATGCTCTGGTGGTTATGATAAGCACAGCTTAGACATAAATGCGTCGTCTCCAATTCGTGCATCATCAGTGTGGACTTCCAGTAAACCACTACAGTCCACGATGTAGATAAGCATCTGAAGAATTCGAAAGAGGGTCATTTCGCCGTCAGCCGTTCGAGGCTCATGCCACCCTGTAGATCCCAAACACTCCTTCACTATCGCGTTGTGAAGTAATTAACCTAGCGAGAAGTGGCCTAGAGAGAATGTTTAGGTCAACTTAAGCTCGTTGATCTACCATTAGCTCTCTCTAGACAAACACACCTGCCGAGGCTTGCTTACCCCACACTCTCTTCTTATTGGACAGAGTCCTCTTCTTCTCTATCACGCACTGCTCTATTGGCTCAGCACTCAAACACGATGGGGCAATGTTTGATCAAGTTCACTGATCGACGGCTAGGGCGCACTGGATTGTGCCCCTGTTGACCCTCAACGGTGTGGGGAGATGTGATTGCTAAAGATTGGCATGTGCGCCAGGGTATCGCCCAGCGTTATCACAGCGACAATTGGCATCTTAGACCTGATTTTGGGCCAATAAAGACTGTATGCGACAAATCACTGCCTCGGTCAGAATGTGCGCAAGACTTCGTGATCGTCTGTATAAGATACAGTGTAGATCCGGACGATTTTGGGACGCCCTGTCCTCCAGCCTCATCACAGTAGACCCAAAGAATTGTCAGACACCATGAGATCAATTGCACTTCTGGCGCTTTCAGCGTCAGTCACAACGGCTTATCCTTTCATGGGCATGCCAGACTCAAAGCTCTTCCCTGATGGTCATATCGAGCGTCGCCAGACTGATGCTCAATGCCCTACCACATCAGACCACACTGGTGCTGTACCCTTCAACCCCAAATATCCTTACACAGGGGGAGACCCGTCCAAGAATGTCAAAGGGACCGGTAAAGGAGGCATTCTCGTTCCAGCCCCTGGTGATGTGGACCACGAGTTCCGTCCCCCAGGTCCCAACGACATCAGGCAAGCAACCCTTTACTTCAAAACCATCTTCACATGCTGACATGACCCAGAGGACCTTGCCCTGGTCTAAACGCCGCTGCCAACCACGGCTTCCTCAGCCGTGATGGAATCGTCACCTACAACGAGCTGATCGCTGCCCAACAAAACATGTACAACGTCGGCTACGGTCTCGCCAACCTCCTCGCCTTAGCCGGCGTCGGTCTCGACGGCGACCTCGTAACCGAAAAGCTATCCATCGGCTGCGACGCGACTGCCCGAACCGCAGTCACAGGCTCAAATCTTATCCAGAAAGAGCCCGGCCTGAACGGCCACAACAAGTTCGAAGCGTAAGATAAATTAACCGTATCCAAAGTTCAAATCACTTACGATAACTGCAGTGACACCTCGCTGACCCGCAACGACTACTTCACCGCAAACGGCGACAACTTCCAGTTCAACGGCACCCTATTCGACATGATGTACAAGTCGACAGGAGGCGACTTCACCCGCCTCCCGCTGTCCAAATACCGCGCCGAGCGCTGGGACCAGAGCCGTGCCGAGAATCCCAACTTCTTCTTCGGCCCGGGCAGTCTGCTCCTCTACGGAGCCTCCTCCTTCCTCTACGAACTCTTCCCCGGCTCAAACTACGCCGCCGACCTAACGACGATGAAGTCCTTCTTCGGCGCCGAAGAGGACGGCAACGGCGGCTGGACGCATATCCCCGAGCGTGCCCCCCCGGGCTGGCGCAACCGTGTCAAGCCGTACGACCTCAACGGCGCGGGAAGCGAGATCTTTGCGCAGTATGGCGCCAACCCGAAGCCATTTGGTGTGAATACTGGCGATGGGAATTTCCTGTTGTTCAACGAGGATGGCACGCCTGGGTTTGATATTAGTGATGCCGATAATGTGGTTTGCGCGCTGTATCAGCTTGCGGTGGGTGTGGCGCCGGCGACTGTAGGCGGGGGTCCGTTGAATACGGTGCAGCAGATTAAGCTGGCTGCGACGAAGCTGAATCCGATCTTTGCGGATTATCCATGTCCGTTGATCTTGGTTTAGAGGGGTGGACTGGGGTCTGCATGTATATATCTGGTTGATGAGGCTGTATATAGGAATGAATGACGATTGCACGTACCAACTTATTGACGTTACATTCAGGTGTTTAAGAAACCTCAATCTCGGCCTCAGAACGATCTTTTCTTCGTGACAGTGGACATAACGCAAATTTTCCCTCGCTTGCAGGAATCCTCTCATCCTTGCTGCGATAGATAGAGCTCTGTTACATCTTGGCTCAAATCTTGAACCTAGATCTTACCGTCTTGTTATGCATCCAATAGCGTGACCAGATATACGTATCATAATTCATTCTTAAATGGTTTCGATCTGTTATTGTCGATACCAGAGCACACCAGCATGAGCGTCTCAATCTCCCTGTTCCATCGACGGATCATATTTTCCCAAATCAGGCCTATCATTCGTGGGTCTTACAAAATCCTTCGATATGTCCGCCACCACTGAATGTGCCTCCAACATCTTATTCAACTGCTCGCGCTGCAAGCAATTATCAAAATGAAAGCTCCTCGCACACTCGTCCAGTTCCTCCACGCTCATATCCTTGAACAACTCCGCAAATTCGTCCGACGTACACTGGCTCATCCACATCTGGTTTATCAGCCTGGTGACCTGTCTCTCGGTACTCCAATTCGGCGGATACTGATTCGAACTCGTCGGACACACGCTATCGATATACTTGACCAGTGGGAAAATGACATCTTCGACCTCCTTGCTTGGGTGCCGACCCCACGCGTCGAGTTGCAACTTGCGTTTGCGATCGAGCCAGGAATTAATTGTTGTCATGTACTTGCTCTTGGGGTCTGTGTGGATCATACCCTGGAATCCAATGTCCTGCTTGCCATTAGTAACGAATGAGTATAGAGCTATTGTGCGACGCTAGCGCGAACCTTATATAGCCAGATGCTCCAGTGGATCTTGTACTTATCGTAGATGTCCAGCTGCGCCCCTAGAACGTTGACGCGTGCTTCATTGGTCTTCTCCGGGTCGTCATCTAGTCCGTCGAGGGCATATACCGGGCCGAATTCGCCGTTCCAAATAGGTGTCTTGTGTGCGTACATGAACTTGGCCTTCTCGAGGAACTGCAGCTCGAGACGGGCGAGCTGGGAAGAGGCGCCGGTGAAGCGTTTGCCTTTCGGGAAGCCATACATCTGGTCTTGTTAGCGCGACTCCGCTGCTTTCTCCTGTATCAGATAGGAAGCGTCGTACGGTATAGTCATGCAGCGCATAAACGCAATTCGGGAGAACGGTGTCAAAATACTGCCATTCTTGGGCAAACGTATTACCGTCGAGCCATAGGATGTGGTTCGGATCGATGGCTCGGATGGCAGGTTCCAGCCGGGCGTAGAAGGCGGGTAGACGGTGATGCTCTGGGTCGCAGGGCTCGTTGATTGGATTGTAGCCTGCAACCCAGGGATTGGACTTGTAATGTGAGGCAAGCTGTTCCCAGAGCCAAATGGTGCGATCCTGGAAGTCTTTATGTACCCAGAATGCGGCATAATTTGTCGGATTGTCGGAATGCCAGTCACCGTTGTGGCCGCCAGGCAGGGCATGCATATCAAGGATCGTATATATCTTGTGATTTGCGCACTAAGGACACCATCAGTAACCTCCATGTGTCCTTGTTGAAGCACTCAGAATCGCATACCAGGTCTACGACACGATCGAGATGCTTGAAGCCTCCCTTCTTTAGCACTCTCGGGTTATCATCATCCTCAAAGTGACGGTAGTTGAACGGGATGCGCAGACAATTCAGACCCTTGCTCGCAAAGAACTTTGCATCAGCTTCTGTGAAGAAGTACTCGAGCCATTTGTCAAAGAAGAACTCGTACTTCTCCTTTCCAAGAACTTTGAGCATGGATTTACGATGCTGGTGCTCGTGTCCTGGGTAACCTGTGATGAAGTTCTCCATGCTGGAACTTGCTCAGTCTCTGTAGTCTAGGCCCCCTTATTCGACTCACTTCATCCATCCTCCAAGACCGGCGCCACGCAGGATGACAGGCTGGCCATCATTGCCCACAATGTTCTCTCCTTCGACTTTCAGAAATCCAGTAGCCATGACCGTAAAGCGTACTGTGAACTTGTAGCCCAAGAGCTCTAGCCATGACTATTTACTTGGTCTATATACCTGAAAGCCACGAGGTACAGAGTGAGGAGTCAAGTGTGGGGTGCTGAGGGAGACAAAGCTGTGAATGGATGGATGCACGTCGATTTAGCCTGAATGGAGTGAAATGTGGTGCCTGGTCTCTGAGGCAACGAGGCATCCATCATATGCTTTGAGACGACGTGGGCGCCTATGTACGCAAGCAGACTAGTGTAAATAAGCGCCAACTTAGCGGCCAATCACAAGACAGGCGACTCCTGACGCAACCCAAAACACCATCCCCAAAGTTGACTCCTGAAACTGCCCAGGGCGTTTCACGGGCACCATCGGCTGCGAACACGCAGCCATTTGCTGTAAGAAGCCCATGCGGATAGTAGAGTGATCGTACCACGAAAGGCAATGCCTTGTCCACTTGGTAATTTCAACCTGGACGCGGCAAGCTGCCTTATGCTGACCCACACGGGGTCAATCTGAGACAGGCTCAACTTCATACATGACCGAAGAGCTTGCAGCATCGGTCGTGCAATCGTAGGTTCACTGAGACTCCCTTTTCCCAAGTTCTCACGTTTCTTTTGAGTCGTGTCTTGCTTCTTGTCCTACTTTTATGTCATCTTAACTCACTTCTATCTCGCTCCTGCATCTTTCTGTTCTGCTGGTCAGCCTCTCGTTTAGTCGTCTCTCTTTAATCTGTAGTTTCGTGTACCTGTTTATTTCCTTTAATACCCTTGCTCCGCTACTCTGCAATTGTTTTGAATGCTGGAGTTCCGTGGATCCCTTCGCTGTGCATATATACCCCAGAACGAACTTTGCGATTCCACAGCAGCATGGCCCTTATAAGAGCCAACAGGCCATATTCATTGAATCTTCTTGCGAGGAAGGCGTTGGCTATAGAAGACTACACGAAGACTCCTGGCGACTCGGCCAGTCCGGCCACACCTTCTCCAACATCCGGCTCTTTCCCGCGCCCATCAGCAACAGCTATCAGGACCACGGCCAGTTCTGTAGCTCCATTACCTACCGAGACTCCCGAATCCGACTATGCTGGGCCAACATGGGCATTTGAGGAGACTACATCAATCTCACAGTCTGCCGCAGAGGCAACAGCCATTACCGAAGCGTCTCAGAACCAACCTCCAGCGTCTGCCATGCCCGAAGATACCAGTCAAGGATTCATCAGTAAAGATCCTATCCGGCATGACGAACACATGAGTCTATCACCCGTAGCGCAGGGTCTACTGGCCACGTTCTCAATTCTTGGTATGTATGGTCATTTCGAAGGATACTATCATGTCTAACATGTCGACAGGAGGTCTATGTCTCATTGCTTTTCTGTGGCTTCGATACTGCCGCAAGAAGCAATCCTCAGACTCCCATACCCAAGGGAGGAAAGGTGTCGCCGGCCTCGGTCTCAACCTCTTCTCATCAACGAAGCGTGGCAGCCGGCCACCTGCAACGTCACCCTCATCACCATCTCTGGAGAAACGCATTGCTGAGCCAGACTCTACGCACGTTCCAACCTACCGCATCACCCGCGCTTCAGGAAAGATTGCGGGCTGGCGCGCAAAGTCATACATCCGCGGCCGCATCTCTCTGCACGACAAAGCACGCATGACCATGGTGTCATCCAGCGAGACCGTATCAGACGAGGAGACAACAACAACACCCACCCCAGCCACAATCAGCAACCCATTCGAAGATCCACAGCTGAAGAAATCATACGACATGATCCACAATAGACCGCGGAGCACGACGTTGACAGACACAGGCGACTGGCTGAGGAACCCGTTCGAAGACCCACGGGACGAGCGCTTTGATCCGTTTGGCACGTTGCGTGAACGTGCGCAGGAGGAGCGCGAGAAGTACCTTGCGATACTGCGGGCGGAGAGGGAGAAGCATAAGAAATCGAATGATGAGATGAATATTGATGAAGCAAAATGAACACCATAGATTGGGGACGCAGCTTTGACAGCAGCATTGTACATTGTATAGGTGCCGGACTGGGCGTACAGGAATTTAATTCAAAGGAAAGTACTGAGTGTCTTCACTCGCATTTTACTTGCCTCTTCAATCCCCTCTCTACCGTGTTGTAATTTCTCTACTACGCACAGTCGGCCCTAGAGTTAAGAGTTGGGTAGTAGCATCGTCCATTCAAGCATGGCCAGAACATAGCTTGCCGAAGTCTTCCAGGCTTGTCCTGTTTACCTTGACGCGACATGATTGATAAGTACTCAAAATGAAGACTTCGGATTGACACATCAACTTGTGCCTCACGCAATAATTTGACTACCCAAGGCCCCGATACAACGAGCACTAGTAAAATCCAAACTCCATACCTCAACCACCCAATAGCCTGCCTATGCCTCCCTCTCCTCAAAACAACAAACTCCCCGTCAACCTCAACGGCCCCCAACAACGCCTCTCCACCCTCACCTCCGTCCGCTTGATAGCCTCAAGCCTCTCCCGAACCACCCTCTGCTGATCATCCGCCGCAAGGCCCACCAGAGTCCGCTTTTGCAAGCCCAACGCATCCTCCAGCTCACCCAAGTCGCGATCTATCCTGGCGCAAGCGGCGATTGATCTCAGCTCTTGTGCGACATACTCTGCCAGGAGCCGATCGATGTTTTGCATGGCCTTTTCGTTTTGGGCTTGTGCGGCGGCGAGGTCGGCTTTGGCTGCTTCGTGCGTGGCGGTGAGGGTTGTGGTGGTGTTGTGGAGATGCCAGTGGTGTGTGTACTGGGCGCGCCATTCGGAATGGGTGAGGGGAGGAGGTGAAGGAGGTGGTGGACTACGTTCGGTGTCTCCGGTGTGTTCGGTGTGTTCGTTGGACTCGTTGGTCAGGGTTTTTCCAGACTGTGCACATATTTGGTGAGTATACATACACTGCAGTGTCGAAGAGGAAGAGGGGATACGTACAGTTGATGCAGACATTTCGACTCCCGCAGTATCAGAATCCGTAAATTGCGGAAGCTCTTGTGGTAAGGCTGTATATGTAGAGAGCTCCTAGAACTTGAGAGATCGTAGAAATATTATGAGGATTTTTGGTTTCACGTGCTATAACAGAGGAGTTGTGACTGCCTCCAGGCTGTTCATTGTTAGCGTGTCTGTAATTTCACTTGTGACTACGACAATTCAAACAGCGTGGGAATCCAGGACAGTGCGCGCTCCTTTACGGAGTCTTTTGTACTAGATAGCTGTATCTTACCTAGCTATATGCACGTAGAATAGTGAGAAATTGTTGTCTACTTATCAGGACTCTCAACGTTTACACGCAAGAGAATGACACCTATGCTCACCAACTAATAATGAACTGTTCTAACACGGGCGCAGGCTTGTTGATCTGGCAGTCTTTGCTCCAGATCTCCTCCCCCTGTAAAATCATGTGGTATAGATGAAAGGCAGACAGAGCAGCGTTGGATATTATCAATCAACAGCGATTGTGAATTCTGTATAATCTTCAAGATATAAGTATTTGTTGTGAAAGAATGGTATGTCTCGCACTGCGTGTTGTGCGAAGAATCATGCTGTGTGAAGCACTATGCCTTCAGCTGTAGCTCATAATACCACACTCCGACCCTCCCAGCGTCAAATCGTATAACGAAACTTGAGGCTGACAAATGCCGCCCGAGAAATTGAGAGTCCCACCCTGACTTTTCTACTCCAGTCAACAAGATACAGCCGTATCTTCAGCGCCAAGGGTCCCGCAACGAAATCAGAAAGCAATTGCTCTAGTCCTGCCCGTCAAGATTCCTTGCATACTCTTCTGCACCCTCTCGAACCTCACCGCCCCGCAACTTTCACTTTCGAGATGACTGAACAGCGCTGCCAGTGCAGTGAATTCCTTCCCACACCTGCGACTGACACAATGATAGATTCTTTGCTTGTGGGCCGGGCTGCTTAGATGCTGATTCAAGCCACGCAATGTGTTGAAACCACGGTGGCACAAGTAACATTCGAAGCATTCTCCGTTCCAGGATGCGTTACTGGCCTCAAAAGAGCCATTCGATTGGGAGTGCCACTCGATGGTTTTATGAGTGATCACGCCAGAAGTGTCCCTTGCGCGAATTGCACGATAGATTACCTCGCGGTTGACATTGGTTGCATTGGGACATGAGCCGGATTCGAGATGGTGCGTGACGCCCGTGGCGGTGGTGAAGTTGCGTTTGCAGAATGGACAATCGATTGAGTTAGCGCGATGCGCAGCACCATTGAGATGCTACCCAGGTCAAAAACTGGAAGACAAAAGGATGTTCGGTCCGGAGTGGCTTACCATGCGTAATTTGTTTTCATTCTGGAAGCCTCTCTGGCATTTATCGCACCAAACACGTCGCCAATGATCCAGCTTGTCCATGTGCGCTCGAGCAGCCTGAGCCGAATAGAACATCTTAGAGCATGCCTCACAGCCGTGCTTCGGAGCATAATGATCATATTGGTCCATGTGCTCTTCACACTCATACTCGTTGAGAAAGACGTCGCCGCAGGACTCGCAGGGATAGCGTTTGGCCCAGTGACCGCGCGCATTCATATGCTGACTGGCTGCATATTCGCTGCCGAACTCGCGATCGCACGTCTCGCACTCGAAGTTGCTGGACTGATACATGCTGAAAGCGTGTTGAGACAGGTCGAGACGACGACGATGATGTAGATATAGACTGAGCTTCTCCTTCGATACCGCGTTAGACAACGGAAGAATTTATGTCCGTGGCAATCTGAAGATTAATCAATTATTATGTCATCTTCGTTGAACTAAAATGGAAGGAATTGCTTGTTTGATGTTTCCTTATTCAGGGGCATCATCAGGTAATTAAGGCTATACCCAAACTGGAAGTGTACCCACGGACTATGTACTATGTACAGTCAAATCCCATTGCGGCGATATCCATTATAGCGATAATCTCGTTGTTATAACAGGCTTTCCATAGCCTCTTAAAAAGGTACGTATATTTAGAGAAAACCGCGATATCTAAAGAATTGTCTCCTTCCCCCCTTAGTTATCGTTGGAGGGCTAACGTATATAAGAACTGAGTATACAATAATCTCGCTATAACGATGTTCTTGCCGTGGCCGTCTTCGAATCCTTATAACGGGACCTGATTGTACTGCCTTTCGTCCTAAAGGCTTAGCGTTATTTGTGGCTCTGGGTATTATCCTATGTGGTCGGGCCGCAACCGTACATGTCCATGCGACCATTGTGAATATTTGATGGAGGAGACTTCTTCACAGGGTCAGGAGACGATTGATTCAACAAAGTTACCTGGCCCAGATGGCAGCGAGCACGACCTCATCTCGTGTTCTCCTGCGAATGGCTTTCCTTGGGAAGCCATCAATTCTATTGGATTCAAATACATTGAGCGCCGGATCATATGCAGAAGAAAGACCATATGTACATGAATGCGACTAATCGTCTATCGTGTTGTACAACAGAAGAGCCTGGGCTGTTCAAGCTTCTTCTGGATCGGAGGTGCTCATAAAGGGATGCCCCTCAAAATACCGAAGGAACTGTTGATATAATACAAGCATCGTGCCACTCTGCACGCTCGTCCACACAAAGCGGGGGCCAACGCCGCGGAACAATCCCCCAACACCTTCCGTCTTGTAGATGATCTTGAGACCCGCGATGACAGAAGAAGTGTCCAAGGTTGCGGCCGTGTGAGAATGGAGTGTCGTGGATGGAGAGGAGGTGGAGATAGGTCGATTCAAGGATGGCACTTTTGGCACGCTGGCCTGGTGTCTGCTAGACGAAGACGGCTGGATTGCCGGCTGATTTATACCTGTAGTACTTTTCTGTGATGCAGCAACCTGGGGGTCCAGTTGCGTCTGCACACGGGTTTTGACGACATCCAGAGGACAAGTGATAACACCAGCCATTCCTCCTGCCGAAGCACCAGTTAAGACTTCTAGCGGCAGACCAATCTCCTTGGAGCCCTTGTAGGCCCTCGCTAGCTTTTGCTCCTGTTCATAAAACGCGAATTGCAGGGCCGAGTACGGTAGATCTCTCCAAAGGGTTGCCTGGAAGCCGTGGAATAGCGCAGCGACGCCCTCTTGGCGAATTATCGTTCTTGTCGCATGTATCATCGATCTGTAGTTGTATCCGGAGTTGAAGAAGGGGTTATTATGCCGACCCTGAAGTTGCAACCTTGTCTTGAGCACCTCCGAAGGTACGTATATGGGAGCTGCGGCCAGGTCTGCAACGAGCCCGGCAACGAAGTACGACACCGACGGAGCGACCCCAAAGTCTATCATATATCTTTTGCTCCATTCGTATGTGCCAAAGAAGGCCACTGTCCCAAAGAACGAGCCGAGGAAGGCAGGCTGAACACCGCCGTATAGCCCACGCCTTATACCTTCTTGCTGGAAAATTGTGCGATATGAGGACCCAAGTGAGGTATATTTTGGCGGCATGTGCGGATCACCTTGCTGCCTCGTCTTAACAGTGTCCAGAGAATGCATTAGCATATCCCCAGTAGTACCACCAAGGCCACCTGCGAGCATAGCCTTCGATAGATTAGCAGTCAGTCATTACATCGATACGGAGGCACACAGTACATGACTATATGGCGGTCTTTTGGCCTCTAGATCCTCCTCCTCCGGTCCCATATTGAAATCCCTTGTGTTGTGTTTTTGTTTGTCCGTCTGCCGGTCATCATCAACCGAGTCTTGAATCGAGCCAGGGAAGATGTAATTCGCCAAGCGGGCGAAGACCATGGACGGGAATGAGTCGAAGAAAACAATTAAGAGCTGTAAGGAAGTGCGTGGGCTTAAGAGGCGAGTTGCTTCCCGGGTACAAGAGTCGGATGCGAACAATGAACGTCGCGAAAAATGTTGTATAGGGAGCGAGCGTTCGGGAGCTATCCAGTAGCGGTGCTGCCTGAGGCCGACTCCCGAGGCTGCAGGAGGGTTTGTTTTGATCTGCCCGCTAATCATTACCAGCCACTCCAACCACCCAAAACCACCCAATCTTCCATCAACACAGACCCCCGCACCCTTCCCCAGTCTTTGTGTTTATCCTTTTTATTCCTCATTTCACAATACACACGGACCTTCGCGATCATTGCTCATAGTACAATCAATCATGTCTACCTGGCTCTCCCGACAGCGCAAAAGCGATTTGCAGCGTTATGCTGATGACGCCGGTCTCAAATAGTCAGTGCCGTCGTCTTGATTGCTGCGCGCATACTAAGACGCGATTCTGACCACTGCCACAGCAATGATAGCATTTTGAAAGACGACCTTTCCGCGCTCTTGGACACACATCTGAAGGACAATGCGACGTCGCTTTCCAAACTCCCCTCGTTGCGCGAGTACTATGATCGCACCGAGCGCGCGTCGCCTATTAAACGCGCTCCCAGCAATGCGCCTGCGACTGCTGCGGGCGTAAACTCCGAGGGCGACACTCCAAAACCCCGTAAACGACGCGTAACAAAGGTCAAGGAAGAATCGTATGTACTCTCATGCGCAATGCCATCACATTGTCGCATCCTTCTGCGCCGCCACCGTAACACTGACTAATTTGTTTATCTCCACAGAGAAGAAGCATCACCGGATGTGAAAGCACTCGCGGCGCGCACCCCTCGCGCCGTGCAGAAAGTCGCCGCACGCGTACCGCTTCCGCCTTCCCCGGCGGTCGTTACTGACGCGATCGAACGTCAGACCGCAAATATCAAAGCGCAGGGTCTCGAGCTCTGGGAGAGATTAGGCCTTGATGATAGTGTCGAGGACATCCGCGAGAGCTTGAGCTCCGTCGTGGCTGTACAAGCTTTGGCTTTCATCTTGGAGGGCGCTGGTATTAGGCGCGAGACGCTCCACATGCGCCATGCATTCAACACGCCGTCCATTGATGCGTTACGGCTTCCGTCGTATCCAGTCAAGCTGCCAGACTTCTTCGAAGTCTTGACAGGCGGCTTCTGGGCGCCCACCACCCTTTGGGCCACGACCAGCCTGATCGTTCCTTTGATCTTCGCCTATTTCTTCAACCTTACCTTGAAGAAGTCCAGTACGGGCTTGAAGGTTTCCTCAAAGTCGTATCAGGCTGACCCCCTGGCTTTCAATATTGTAAAGGCCTTGATCACCTACCTGGTCTATGGCCAAGCTTTCCGTTTCTGGGGTTTGGTCGACGACACAACTGTTGCAACTGTAGATAGAGGCTTTTACGGTAATTACCAAGGTGTGTTGATCAGTTCTGGCATTGGTGCTTTGGTCAGCCTATATGAGGCTATTCTGAAGAAGTAGACTGCGATGAATGTTTGGGTAAAATGGTGTGGATCCGGTGTCGAGTCGTGCGCCTACGAAGTGATGTCTAAAGGTGGGCGGTGGGCTGGATGCGCTTTTGTGATTTGCTTCTGTCTTTGATACTGGGATTGCACGTTGGGAGTAGAACGAGGCCCTATCTGGAGCTCTTGGAATACTCAATTCGAGGCGTTAGATGTTATGCCTGATACCATTCTTCTGGGGCAAATTGGAGAGCATAGGATATGTTAGTTATATAGTCTGAAGTATCGCGCTCTCAATGCTCATTGCTATTTCTGCTTGAGGGGGGCGGTCGGTCAAGCGACACGCGCATTTTCTGGTTGCCTTAGGCATTAAAACCAAAATCTAAGACCCCACCACAGAGTTATTATATCCGAATTTCTTTGGTTTGTGTTTGGAGTCAGACAACTTCACACTGCCTCCTCGACGACCAGCAGCGATTTCTTCGTCTACCAAGAATCGTCCGTCCTTTAACTACTCAGCTACACCGGTACATATTAGGGCGCCAGCGTAAACGCCGCAGGCCCCCTCGTGACCGCACAGCATCCCGCAAAGCAATCTCTCGACATACGTAACTGTCGCCTTAAAACAATACTGACCCAGGGCACCATTACACATTACACTCCGCAAGACTTACAGTCTCATACATAACAGTCATGTCGCTCACGAACTGTCGGTTCTACGAGGAGAAGTTCCCAGAGGTGGAAAGCTTCGTGATGGTGAATGTCAAACAGGTAGGACATCACATATTCGCATCGCACGGCAGTTGACGCCCACCATAGATCGCAGAGATGGGCGCATACGTAAAACTCCTTGAATATGACAACATCGACGGCATGATCCTTCTCAGTGAACTGTCAAGAAGACGTATTCGTAGTATCCAGAAGCTTATTCGCGTTGGCCGTAATGAAGTCGTCGTCGTCCTTAGGGTAGATAAAGACAAAGGTATGTCATGGCGGGGTTCTCTTATGAGTGTTGGGGATCTTTCTAACAGGATCAATACAGGATATATCGACTTATCGAAGCGTCGTGTGTCACCGGAGGATATCGTAAAGTGCGAGGAGCGCTACAACAAGAGCAAGATGGTACACTCCATTATGCGCCACGTCGCCGAAAAGACCACTACGCCCATTGAAGAGATATACCAAGCTATTGGCTGGCCCCTGAATAAGAAGTATGGACACGCTGTCGACGCCTTCAAATTGTCCATCACCAACCCTGATGTGTGGAATGAGGTCACATTCCCAAGTGATGTTGTGAAAGATGAGCTTCAGTCCTACATTCGGAAACGTCTTACTCCACAACCTACAAAAATTCGCGCAGACGTGAAGGTCACTTGCTACGAGCCAGCAGGTATTGACGCCATCAAAGACGCACTGAAATGCGGCGAAGCTAGAAGCACCAAGGACAATCAGATCAAATGCCGACTCGTTTCACCACCACTCTATGTCTTCACGAGTTCATGTCTAGACAAGACTACAGGGATCGATTTATTGGAGCAAGCTCTCAGGGACGTCACTGCGAAGATACGCGAACACTCGGGCGATCTTGAGGTCGTTATGGCACCTAAGGCAACGACTGAGAACGACGATGCTGAACTCCAGGCGCTCATGGAGAAGAGGGAGCGCGAGAACCAAGAAGTTAGCGGAGACGAAGATGATAGTGAGAGTGATGAAGGCAACATTGCGGGAGATGCATAGAGGCGCGAACATATCTGCATTGGTGGACATCCTTGAGCATGCTTTAGGGACTCCTATCGAGCATTCTGGCGCACAAAAGTAGGGCACGGAAGGATCTGGTGCATACGAACACCTAGGAATGAATATTGGGCGACTACCACGCTTCTATATGCATGGAAGATTCTACACCAAAGAATAAACTTGTAAACTTGTGCAATCATATTAAACACGCCAGTACATTTGCGCGCGAAGTGGTACGGTCCTACCTCCAACGGATCAGCATGCATGGCATGGATGGATTGATCATAGCGGCCTTCTGTTCCACGAGTTTAGCTAATTAGAGCTCTGGAAGTTGGAGAGCTCCGCGCCTTCGCCCCGCCCGCTTCCAAGATTCCTGCATCTTAATTCCATCCATCTTTCCCTGGCTCGTTCTTTCAACTCTTTCGCAGTCATTGGTATTTAGTTTAAATTGGCACTGGTGAACACACTGCTCTCTGATCATGCCTCGTAGACACAGCGAGGACCGAACGCGATGGACGAATGTGAGTTGCCAGGGACAATTGGAACCTCGAAAGCTTTCGACTAATCACCAACAGATCTTTAGTGGTGGTCGTGCCGGTCAGGACACAAGGCATCATTTGCGCGATGAGGTGCAATCACGTCAGTACAGAGACAATAGCGAAGGATATCTCTAATCCGCCAAAGTCTTGCCCACGCGCCGCAACGAGCTTCCTCCGTCCCCAATTCCTGCCAAGGAAGTCACTACTGTAGCTTTGCGTCTGAAGCACCAGATCGAACAAGTCATCCCATGCGAGCTAGAAGAAGATCTGATCACGAAGCCGCACAGCGGGATTATCACCGATGCGGTCGTCAAAACGGCTTCGGAGGCTGGCGGGCAAGACTACAAATCTTGTGTTGTATATGGTCTTTTGGTGTGCAAGAGATGGTTCAAACGACAAGCCTTGCTTGAGCTATGGGACTCTGACATGCACGATGTGAGAGCAGTAGCTTGCGAAGTTATTGCCAAGAGACTGTAAGCCCTAGATCACGCTGCATCAGCATGACCTAATGAACGTGTAGCATTGAGGGGGAAGACGATCAAGAGTATCTACTCGAGGATATATTACTCAAACGATATTCAATACTGATAGATGGGGAAGAGTCTGTACCTGCTAATGTCGTTGAGCGGGCAGTCGATCTCCATGCGCTTCGCGTAATCGGTTCGTCTGGCTATCAGAAATGCATCCAGTATCTGTGGCGCGGCTGGTTGGTCCAAGACGACGATGACCCAGCGCGCTTCGTTGACTACAAAGAAAAGACCGACACCAACTATTGGTCACATCTGGATCCAGACAGGATGCGAGTCCCTCGTTATCAGAATGCCCTACAGGTCATCTTCTCCATTGTTTACCTTGCTCTTTATACTGGTGCTATTAACACCGTCAACCCTACTGGAGATCTTGACGTGGTGGAAATTGTCCTGTATATCTTCACTCTTGGCTTCATTACCGATGAATTTTCCAAGTTCTGGAAGGTCGGCCGCTACTATCTTGGATTTTGGAACATCTTCAACAGCACCCTCTATACTCTTCTTACGGTCTCATTCATTCTTCGGATGGTTGCACTCGCACATCCCTTACAGACTCACGACCGACACCGCTTCAACGAGCTCAGCTACAATTTCCTAGCGTTCAGTGCGCCGATGTTCTGGATGCGACTGCTGTTATACCTCGATACATTCAGATTTTTCGGTGCAATGCTTGTTGTGCTCCGGGTGATGATGCGCGAGTCGCTTATCTTTTTTGCACTTCTCATTGTTGTACTCATCGGATTCCTGCAAGGATTTATCGGTATGGACCAAGTGGACGATAATTTGACTGCCACGGGCTTCATCGTTAAAGCTAGTGAGTCAAAACCATGCCTTTCTGGATATGAATTTGACTGATTGCAATTAGTGCTGAATGCTATCATGACCTCTCCTGAATTCGATGGCTTCGACAACTTTGCTCCGCCCTTTGGTCTGATTCTCTACTACATCTTTACCTTCGTTGTTATGGTCCTGCTTCTCAACATCCTCATCGCGTTATATAACTCCGCTTACGAAGACATTGCCGGTAATGCGATCGACGAATACATGGGTCTCTTCGCACAGAAGACTATGCAGTTTGTTCGAGCCCCGGATGAGAATGTATTCATTGCCCCATTCAACCTTATTGAGCTCTTTTGCCTCGTATTGCCCTTTGAGTGGTGGATGCCGAACGACCAGTATCAGCGTCTAAATGACTACGTCATGGGTGTTATCTACAGTCCTTTATTGCTCGTCACAGCAGCCATCGAGACATCGCAGGCGCATACTGTGAGGGGCAACAGGAGCAGGAACGAAAGCGACGATGACACAATCGAAGAATGGGAGCAGGTGGACGTGGACTTTGAAAGTGATGGCTGGGATAAGAAGGTCCAAGCATCCAAGCCAGATGTCGCCACTGATGCAGCTGTGGCGGAAGTGAGGAAACTGAGGGCGGAAATGCAGGAGCTGAAGGAGATCGTATTGAGCCTGAAGAGCGATAGCCGTGCAAGTCACCAGGACGGAACGAACGGGGCTTAGGATCGAGAAACAGTAACACTATCATTCCCTCGATGTCGTTATATTACCAAGGTAGCGATATTAGAGCATGTGGATTTCTTACATTTAGTTTCAGTATTCATGAATGTAGTCTGAGATGCTACTACACTCAACATCTACTATAATATAATAATGGGGCTTGGGCAGAAGATACACAACACAAGTTATACACCAACACGGTAGACCCCAAATGAAGATCAGCACTCTATGTGGTGCACAAACAAAAGCATGGATGTCCTGTCTACACGTTTGAGCCTGTGAGGACCGTGCACGTACCTTCCACCTACGTAGTAGATTCATCGATCACGCTGGTCCGTGCATCATCACAGACACCCCTGCTGTGCATCCATATCCATTTCTTTGTATCAAGGAACGCGACTTCCTCCACTATGGTGTCGTTTCTTGGCTGGGCTTTATACTCCTTTACTTTGTGATCGACTCTTCTTTGCTGTGATGTTTTTCCACCATTAACTTTCCATAATTGTCTAATTACATACAATCAAATGTTGGATCGCGAAGAGGAGCGTCCGCGTCCGCATCATCAATACAGCCAGGTGTATGGCCTCCCTGCCGATTCTCACACAGCTCATAGACTTGTGAGCTAGCCACTGCTGTCTATATATACTATTACCGCTGACATACGCACCAGCGACATGCTACTCCGCAACATTTGCACCAAACCACACGACGATGTTTCATAGGGCCGATTCCAGAAGGTTGGCTCAAGAGCCATAAACATGATTGGTATAAACACCGCCTCCACAGCAGTCACTCCTCTCGAGCCGTTCTATCCCAAGCCTCTACGCACCACAGCAAACACAGACGTCTCTCCGGGCTAGACGGCCCCAGCACAACTGCATTATATGGGCATAGCTTCCCGCCTCCTGATGATCTCGAGGCTGAAGAGGAGATGCACTTGGACGGTACTGCTTTGAGCCAACCATTGTCTACCGAAGCGCAGTCAGCGTTGGGAATACCCAGAACCTCTTCACCAAGCACATTAAAGCACCCAGATAATGAAGAGACGGACCAAATAGAGCAGACTTCTGACGTCCTACCTCCACGTCCGCCATTCCTGAGCATGCGGTCCTCTTCGTCTCGTATACGGACATTGAGGGAAGTTGGAAAGACGAGGACCAAATCTGGCGACAGTTTCGTTACTGCGAATGAGTCGCTGCGAGAGCTAACACCTGGCTTCAGTGTCGATGACGAAGAGGAAAATACCGCGATAACGAATAATGAGACCAGAATTCCAGAATCCGGACCTTCCTCAAGATCTCAGGGTTCTCCTAATCTACGCCCAACATCAACGTTGGAAACCGATCCATCGAAGCAGAATTCCTTTAGTGAAGCCCCGGGAGACGCCATGTCTACTTCGCACCTAATCCAAGGCAAGGATCAAGATGAGCTGCTAGATAATGCAGAAGGCAGCTCGGGCAAGAGAGGCGAAGTGAAAGGGATTCTATCGCGGGCGAAGTCGAAGTTGCAAAGTAGGTCCGATGACTCAGAGGATGGCCATACACCGCGGGAGACATTGAAGAGACAGCGAAGCTCTCTGAGGGCGCTGGTACATTTCGAGGTACCTGAGGAGTCGAAGCGCGCTGAACTACAACTTAGAGCTAGGGCGGCTCAATTATCTATTCAGCGAGCGTCCACAAAGTTACGAAGAAGTCGTGCGAAAGACGGACAGATCATCAAGATGGAACGTATGCTTGTGCGTGTAGACATGACGACTCACAACCTCCCTGATGAATTCGATGAAAACGAGATTCAAAAGGTAGAGGCGCGAACCACCGAGAAATGGAGGGAATATATGGTCGTATGTCGACAAAGCACAAGTGATGATGCCGAGTTCGTTCTCCAGATGTATAAAAGTCGTGTTATTCCGGAAATTGAAGGAACCAAGGCGCCTAAAAGAACGAAACATCAGATACCGCTTGGCCGCAAGATTTCGAAAGTTAATCTCTTCTCTTCCCTTGATAAGACCATCGTTGTCTGGGTTCCAAGTAAGAAAGGTACGACAACGTTCTATATAATGCAAACCCAATCGAGCTCGAATGCTGTCGAGTGGTACACATTTCTGCGCAATATTTTGGGTTGGAGTAGAGCGGAAGAGATTCAAGTCACCGTTCCTGATATGAGCGTCAGTCTCATGCTTCAGAACCCTTTTGAGAGAATCGAGGCATCACGAGATGCTGTACGAGCGGTGGAAGGCAGTGACGAAGCGATAGTCAGAACTATGCGAGAAGAGCAAGCAGTCGCCGGTAATATAATCCAGAGAAGCCTTGCTATGCTGAAGCACAACCCTGAGTGGGACAACATCATGAAAGCATGGGAGAAGGAAAGGATAGGACTATGTTGGAAAAGGTATGACCGACTTGAATGGATCCATGGTGAAAATGAACGAAAGATGTATGGAACTATTGCCATGATGAAATCGCACGAACTAGAACTTCGTCCGAAACAGCATTATCCTACTGCTATTCACGATCACACGAAAGGAGAGCGGATTATCGAGCCACCACCCGTGGAAGGCTTTTTAATAAGACTTACTTCTCAACGAGGTGCTAGCAAGAGACTGGGTAAAACATTCTTCAAGAAACTTTATTATTCGACGTTCGACCAGTATCTTGCTTTCTCTAATCCAGTACACGCCTATCCACCTCCGCCACCAAAGCTTCCGACAGCAGATGGAACCCGCCCTCCGTCTTCGAGACAGATTACCGAAACTATGCCTCTTATCTACACCGTCAATCCATACCCTGTCAAAGCTGGGGAGATCGATTGGTTGTCAGACGGACACATAGAGATGACTGAGGAAAGAAATCTTCGCGATCAAGATGCCCTGGAGGAACATGAGCGTAAATTGAATTTCTTATTTCGATGTCAAGGCTTCATCAACCTTTGCAACGTCGAACGAGTAAGAAAATTCAAAATGGGTGCCACATCCGCTGATGAAGCACTTGACGACGACGGATCAGACGTCGACTTCGATCAGAATGACCGTAGCAATTCTCGCTACGATGGCACTACAAATAGCATTGACGACAAACGAACGTTCGAGCTCGTCATGAGCAATGGTTTGGTGGTTCGCTTGCAAGCCTACGACGAAGAGACGAAGCGAGAATGGATTATTCGTCTCCGTGACCTTGTGTACTACTGGAAGAAAAGGATGGCAGCGGACATCCTACTCTTGAAGAACGTCCGTCAGCAGAACCTCGAGGATCTGAAGATCGACGAAGAAGCTGAAGCGTTTGTCGGCCAGTTCGCGCGTAAATGGGAGGTCACACATTCCTATGCATCGCCTGAACTCTATAACTTATGTGGAATCTCCCGGTGCCGTACCATCCATTTGTCGGGAATGCTGTACAGAAAACCTCGTCGCCATGCCACATTCTCGCGCTGCTCCGTCCTGCTGGTCAGCGGCCGCTTGCTAGTGTTTCAAGACACACTGAGAGAACGCAGTGGCCGTGTCATCCCGCACATCCACCAGGAACGGATCACGTCCCTCGACCTCAAGGATTGCTACCTGTACTCCGGTCTTCTAACTGAGTCCGACCTGCTTTACCAGAACCGAACGTTCGACAGCAGCAAGCCAGGCCATCATGCGCTTCCTCGGATATACCTCGAGGATGGTTGGACTAGTACGGATGAGGACGTCATGACTTGCTTTGTGATATGGCACGGAAAACGAAAGGCGTGGTTCAGGAGTGAAGATCACGACGAAGAGACTGGGGAGGGCAAACGGAGCAAGCTGAAGCTTGTCAGTCGGCTAGGTGTGACCGGGCGCAGTCTGGTGTTCAGGGCGAGAAGTCGCGCAGAGAGAGATCACTGGGTGTTGGGTATACAAAACGAGATCGAGAGGCTGCGCGAACAGGAGGATTTCCGTATTGAAGACAAGAAGAGTGATTAAGGCAAAAATAGAGGCGAAGCAGCATCAGACAGCTTCTTGGAAAGACCTTTCTTTGGTATGACATTAGAAGGGCAGCATGAACACGGCGAATTGAAGTATTCACTATAGTATATATTGACAGTCTTCTTTTCCACTCCACTGTAGATATCCCTCTATATGAATAAGTATACACCCAATCCATGACGACCAAAACGAATCCAGGTCCTATATCCTACATGTAAATCACAAAGACTATGGCTATGATGATCGCAAGCGCACACTTATCAGAGCCTCTGCCTGTAGTCACCGTCGCATCATTCGCCAGCATCCGCACCACGGTCGGAGCTCGCTTCGACTTGACATAGCGATTCGCACCAGCAATCACGACTTGAAAATGCTCTCTCCACTGGCCTACATTTCGACTCTTCTGGTTCACAGCTTTCCAGTCCCATAATGAGCAGCGAATCAGCGTGCTGCTCGGTGGGTCCTTGCAAGACAGGCCAGGCGCAAGGATTGGCGAGCGCTCGAAATCTGTATATATCGAGTCAGTCAGTCAGTCAGTCAGTCAATCAATCTAACAAGCCACACAGAGTTCTTTCTGTCGATTGTTGTGTGGTCAAATTTAATCATCATCGGGGCAGGTAGACGCACATAGTTCGAAAGCGCCGCACCGCGGGGTGTTGTCGCAGGACAAGGCGCAGAGTTTCGGGCGATAGGCTGCGAGCTCGGTCGTGCCCAGGAAGCCTGTACCGTTCAGCGTACTTGCCTGGTTAGTTGAATCGACGACATAACCGGCGGGCGCTATAGCTGCTGATGCAGCATTTGACAGGGAAGTCCATGAGAGGAATGCGGATGCGGTGTCTGGTGAAGGCACTGGGCCTGCACCGAGGGGCTGTCTAGCGCATGTGTCTGGTCTCAGGGTTGTGGGATCTTTATCGGAACGGAGGCGCAGGGCGCGGAAGTGGCGGATATGTTGACTTTGTAGATGTGATTCTGGAATGTGGAAGGGATTTGGGAGGAGAGAGTTGAAGTGCGATAGGATGGTCGTGAGAATGAGGTATGCACATAGGACTGAAATGACAATGAGGAAGGTGGAGCTGAGGTTGTTGTATGCCGTGTGCATGCGGTGGCGGGAGGAGGCGGATTTCGTAGAGAGTTGGTGCATGCGATATGTTCTCATGATCAATAGCTAGATAATTTAGAGAAGAAGACAGCAGGTCTAGGACGAGTGTTAAGATATTGCGTTCTGGGCTGGGATAATACTTGAAGTGGTATCACCAGGTGATTGCGAGCAAGGGATGTCAGAGGAATGCCAGAGAGGAATGCAGGTACGAAAGTCTCGAGAAACAGACCTGAAGGAATTGAGGGAAAAAGGTAATAGGAGGGTATATGAAGGAAAATATCCACGTTTTTTTATTTATTTCGCCTGCACATCTTGTTTTGTGCGGGGTTTTCTTGATATTGATAACATTGATGGGACGTCCGTCTATGGTCGAGATTATGGAAGCGTCCCAATCTTTAGTTAATTGCCAAACGCCAGTACTCCTGCCGGGACCATCCAGCCTAACGTATGATTGAATGTTGCTTTGAATAGGGGTATCTTTCTTGTCGAAAATGAGCGCAATAGACCTCTTTGCAGAGTCGTGGACACCTAAATAATGCCGTCGGTAGTTGTGTATTTACAGAATGACTCATCGAAGTTCGGTGGTTTTTCACTGTCCGATCGATATGTAGTTGACTGAATGGATGCATCACTAACTTTCCTTCAGTGACTTTAATTTCTTAGCATCAGGCTGGCCTTCCTCGGATGGGTTCTTGGTAGGCGGATCTGGTAGCTGGGCCGCCAAATCTTCACTCGTCGGGGCAGGACTCTCCTCATCCTTCTTTTCCACTGTCTGATCGGGAGGGAAGAACTTTCTGGAAAGGTTAAGCAGTGTACAGAAGGGGGCAATATACTTGTAGCTTACGGTATCATGTCGAAGTATGCCTTCTCGTCCTTCTCCGTGAAATTACAGAAAACGATACGTTCGAGGGAGTCTCCTTTGCCGCTATCAAGAAACTTCCTAACCTCCCCGATAGCTGTTTCAGCAGCCTCGTCACTGGGATAGCCATAGACGCCCGTGCTCAGAGCCGAGAAAGCTATGCTCTTTAGTTTGTTGTCAACGGCCAGCTCCAGGCTTGTACGGTAACAGCCTTGCAACAGCGATGTATGCTTCCCTTGCCTCTTCGTGGATTGGTAGACAGGACCTACGGCATGTATGACGTGTTTCGCTGGAAGTCTATAGCCTTTTGTGATCTTGGCACTACCTGTGACACAACCATCCAAAAGTTCACACTCGTCGTAGAGCTCTGGGCCGGCTGCACGGTGAATGGCGCCGTCGACACCACCACCGCCTAACAAAGAATTGTTTGCAGCATTGACGATACTATCAACCTCTAGCTTTGTGATGTCATTTCTTAGCAACGCGATCTTGTCGTTGTATGTGCTGGAAGGCGTGTACGTGCTCGACTCGGCGGGCTTCAGGCGATCGAGCTTATAGAGGAGGCTGACACAAGGTATATCGGAGACGGGTATAGTAGACATGGTACGGAGGCCTCGAAAACGGGAGATCTGGAAGAGCAAATGGGTCATGCGACTGTGAGTGGTGATTGAAGCAAGTCGAGAACAGATTAATGGGTTGTTTGTATACGTTTGGAAGTAGTAAATGAATGAATGAATGTGAGTGAAGTGCGTGGTGATAATTAGATCAATGGATTCGATTCATACCTACCCCACCAGCACCACCCCGGTCGTACCTGCCCCTCTGCTGCTCTGACCACACAACACACAATCCATACACACACAATATACACACAATACACAGTCAGGTATACCACTCAGTCCCCAAAACGCAACTCATCGTCATGCTAATCTTCAGCTTCTTCATTCTCAGCCGCTGTCGGAGGAGATACCTATTGCTCCAATACGGACCTGCATATGTTAGAAGACCTTTGACGAAACCCACTCTCGGCTGTACCTGTCCAGATTATTCTCGCAGATCCAATATGGGCACGCCTGTATCCGATGGATCTGCCGTAGCTTCTTGAACGTCTGGCAATGCTATGATCTTGAGTCCGCCATCGGCCGCCGCCTGAAACGAGATGAGCGCTGTTTGAATCGTACGACAGGGGCGATGCGCAGAGAAGGTCGATCTGTGCCATGCCCTGCTCATCGAGTTGCTGTCTGAGCCGTTCACACTGTCTGACTCCATCGAGAGTTAGTCTCGCATCCCGAATGGAGGTGTCGGGGATCCGCTATCGTCGGTTTCGGCGTAGCATTCAATTTGCTTGACCGGCAAATGTCGGCCCCTTCAGACGAGAAGAGTGTGTATAGACGGCCTTGGACTACCGTATCTCGAAAATTGTATCCGTCCAGAATCTAGGAGGCTTACGCCCTCCTTGAGGTTCTTCTCCCTTTTCTCGTTTGAGCCTTTCTGTTTTTAACCTTTCTCGTTCGACTCTGTTGTGAACAGCCTTTGCTTCGACCGCTTCACCGTTCATCTGACCATGAACATAGCACTCTCCGATCCACTTCATGTACATCCAGTGGGGCCGTTCCTGATCCAGGTGCAACACTCCTCCATAGTCGTGTACACTTTCCTTCTTCGAATGTTTGTCTCGGTGTAGATCAACCTTTCTGTGTGTTTTCGGCATTTGACCTGACCCTTGAATGGAATGCTGCGGCCGCGGTTGAGCTGGGCCATTCGGCTTGGACCCATTTGTAATGCTGCTGGTCGGTTTACCAGTATCTTGACCGTTGATGCCATTCGCGACGCCCTGCTCCCTCTGTGGTTTGCCGCCACCAAGAGAGAGGACACGTTCAGCTTCTTCAGTAGCCGCCGTGTACTTCTCTTCAAGCTTATTCAACATCTCTTTGATCCTAGGGGCTGGCCTATTCTTCTCCTTGCAGGCAAAGTATAACACCCAGAAGACACTCAAAACAGCTCTGATCTTCTTCATCCATCGGACGGCCTCGAACTCTCTCACTTCCTTTTCATGCCTTGTACTACCTTTCTTTACAGGTCTCAGTATGACTGGTACGCTACATCCATATAGGATACAGACTAGATCGCCTGGTTGAGCGGCCTTGGGGGCCAGGCCAAGATGACCCTTATCGGTTTTTACGAGTCGACGATTCCAGATAACAGCCTGAACACGACGCAAAAACTCGCCCACGATTTTCGGCCCATAGTGAATTAAACTTTCAGTATTTAACGTGTCGTCAGCACTGTTTCTGAAAGCGTGTACACATGCTCGTGGGTAGAATGGCAAGGCGTTTCGTCCGTCAGGGCCACGATCTCCGACAAGTGTGCGCCAGAATGCATCCGGGGGTAGTTGATCTCGCTTCAGCCATCCGCCCATTTTCGGCCATTCAGGAGGTATTTGTCCCAGCTGTGAAGATTGCTCAACTTGAGCGAGGCGGCCCAGTACAAAGCCCTCGACTTTCATATTATGAAAATCCGTTCCAACGACGAAATCAAATTTACTACCCAAAGAAGTTGACCCGGCTGCATTGTATGACTGTTTTCCGGGGATACCCACCAAGGGGTCCGCATATCGCCTCCATGTCCTCATGCCAAGGCCATCGCGTTCGGCAAGCTTGAAAGGGGCATTCTCAAGAGTTGATACCCAGGATGGGAATACATCTATCTCTTTACCTTCATGGTCTTTTCTTGGGACTGGTGCCCAAGGTCTGCAAAGCATGTCTAATGCGCGCCTTTGATCCGCGTTTCGCGTGCAGAATATGATGAAGTCTTGGTAGACTTTATTCAGCGTCGTTTCGTAATCGACTTCGTAGCATTGCCGTTTATATTTACGGCGAGCCCGCAACCTTAAACGATTCTTCGTCCATTTAGCTCTCTTGGCTGCCTCTTCCCCGACTAATTCCAACATCGCCTCCGCTCCGGGTGACGTGTCCTTTGCGATTGCCAGAAGAGCATAGATTGAATCCCGGGGCTCAGAAGCCTCGAATACGGAAAGAATGGAGACAAGATGCTCCAGCGACAGTAGTGGCTGTCGCTCTTCTTCAGATGATAGCCCACTGCGGACGCGGAAGATGTTGTTGGTTGCTTCTACGAGTTTTGTAGCTCCGAGTTCCGGTACGTGTCCAAAAAAGTTGGGAATGTTTCCAAACTCTTTCGCAGCCTTCATCAACCTGGAAAGACTGTGTGTCCCTGTTTCCACCTCGTTGAACAATGAGACAGCGTCCGCAAAATCACGCCAACACAAGAAATCCTCGCCACACTGGATGATCGCCTTGTTATAATCCGATAGGGCGATCTCCTGGACGACCCATCTTCGATGAAACTACCATTCGGATCAGCAATGCACACTTTACTTGTCATAAATACGACTTACCCATGGGCGCCGCATTAAACTTATCAGAGCATCCCATTCGGTTATGAGAGCCTCATCCTTGCATAATTTGTCAAATTTGCGGAGATCCAGAACAGATTCCTTGATGAATTTGATGGCCAATTTGCTTTTCTCATCACTTTCCCCCAACCATATACACGCATTCACTGCTTGGGCATAGATTCCGGCCATCATCGGCACCTGTACGTTCTTTTCTCGCATGTCGCTCTGATTGATACACAAGTAATCCACCCAGAGCCATCGATACACACTCACGTGTCGTAGATTGCGCAAGGCGGAGTCCAAGTTCTCCGTTACCATGAAGCAGAGGTCCTCATACTGGTGCCGTACTCGAACATGTTTCTTCGCATGTTGGCCGCCCCAAGACCTATGTTGGTGTTACGTGTGACTTTGGTCAGCTCTGGATTGGAAGCCTTACCATGATAACGCCTCGTATTTCCTGTGGGTATCTTCCTTCTCCAGGGTATCTTTCCTCGCGAAGATCTCGATCACGATATCAGCATCAAGTTGGCGTGCCGGATGAAGCTGAACCAGCCTCAGAGCAGACACCTCCAATGCGGTATCTTCATAAAGCGGCGCATGGTCGCTGTACCTGAAAATCTCGAGACCGCAAGCCTTGCACCTTGGATGTTGTTCTCCGTTTGCACTAACCATTGTGTGAGTCCTAGAGAAGTAGATGTACTCTCGGATGTACGGCTGGGTAATGGCTTCCTTATATGTTTCCCCGGGGCATCAGGCTGAACGTTTCTATGAATAACAACCAACTCCCCATCGCAGCCTCCGATTGTAGTTGAGTCATTCATTATCACAGTTTGAGGTATGATCACCGAATGTGCGTGCCCCTGGTCTGATCAGGCTGAGATGGCAAGCCGACGCACGACTCGATCAAGCACGTACATACAAGGATGAGAACGCACTCATGCGACCTAGGCTCTTGCTTGCCTCGAGTATGCGACGTATTTTTAGCTTCGTTATCTGCACCTACATAGGTTTGCCTTGCCGGCTGTGCGAAAAGTTATTAGTTCGGCACAATTATAGTAGGTCGGTTGTGGAACCTCATAGTCTTTGCAGGACCTGAAATAGGACACCGTCAAAAATGTTAACCAGATCATAAGGCTCGGGATTAAGTGATGTGATCAGATCAGACTTATCACAAGACCAAGCTATTGAATGTGATAGTGTGTGGTGTGGCACAGGGACAACACAAGGCTGGCGCATCTTGAAACAACCAGCTGGGGAGCACAGCAGGAGCATCAATTGCAAATGAATGCTTATGCACGACGTACCCGCTCACACTGAGATGATGGGATATGTCAGGAATTTGGGTAATGCCTTCTGATCTCTTAATCATGCGAAGTGTCGACAAGGTGGATACCAGATTTGTCCATTAAGCCACCCGAGCAGATAGCGACTTCTCAGCCTTGTCTAATCGACTTTTGGGCCTCGTCGCTCTACACCCTATGCAGACTTCTGTGACCGGAAACGTCTTGCTTTAAGGTACTCGTAATCCTCTGTCGCAGCTCGCACGTCCTTCTCCAGACGTGCGGCCTTTTCTTCGCCGAATTCCTCCTTCCACTTCTGCACTTCTTCCTCGATGTTCAACCCCAACGAAACCTTCCCTTTGATGATACCTGACGACGCGTTTAGGGTGTCCGTCATTCTACGGATCTTGAAGTTGATCGCCTCTAACTCCTCGGTTGTCTTCTTGTTCCATTCGAATAACAGTTTCGATGCGTCGAGGCCGACCAGCTGGCTGTACTCTATCAGGAATTCTGGCTGCGCAATGAAATCGTCAGCATCGAGTATGGTCGGGAACGTGCTGTCGTCCTGGTTTCTGTTCTGCACGAACCAGTCATACAGAGATCTCGACCATTTTAGTGAGCACTCCTTATGAGTCTGCCGATCTCCCCCGAGATCTCTGTGGGCACGGTAGTACGAGGGAAACATCACGAGGGGATGGCGAATGAGAAACGTTGGACGAATGGTTTTCAGGAATGAGTCCGAGAACAAAGTCACGTTGAGTGGCGTGACGTCTCCTCCTTTATACGCTTTGCCGCACGCCTGGGCGGTGTATCGCGACCCGTGGTCACCGTCCTCACCAAAGAAAGCCCGGGAGACAACAACTGGGTCAGTGATCAAAGGCATATGTTCTTTAATATAAACGCTCTTGCCTTGTTGCTCAGCTGAGTCGATGTGCTGGATCATTGCCTCGGTTCCGCTTTGCAGGGCTTCTCTCACCAGTTCACGTTCTCGTGTAGACCAAGTCCTGACGTCGTTTGTGAGGCGGAGTTCACCATAGATCTTTGCGTGGGCGTCGAAGAAGTAGTAGCCACCACCACTGTTACCGCGGAGTATGTCAGGTTGTTCCGTGAGATTGAGAATACGGACCAGCAGATTTGATCCGCTCCGGGGTATCGTCAGAAGGAAGTTCCGTTTATGGTTCGTGTTCGGAGACGCCATGATTGAGTGTTATTGAATTCCAGTCGTCACGTGTAGATCATAGGGCAGTGTACTGAGAATGATGAAGTCTTTACGAGGCTTTACGTACGTGAATACAACCACTCGATCAATGTGAGCCGGGGGCCTTATATACTGTGAATGATGGTCACGTCCGTTCCGGCTTTGAGGCGGAACGCTACGTTCGATGCACTTCACGGTTGGAATCCGAGGTGACTATTATACGCAACTTGGTGTAGTCCTATAGTTTAGCGGCGCTTATCGCAAGTGAAAGCGAATGGATTAGCATCCCGTGACGGGAACGATCTATGCAGTCAGTGGTCAACACGAGAAAGTAGTGCCGAGGTCGATCTTGTCTCTTTTCGAGTAGAGCCGCCGCGATGGAAGATCACGACTAAATAAGCTATATCTAATATACATTGATGATTTCTATACTATAACTACATGTAGAGTTGTATAATTAGATCATCCTTATCACTGAAATATCACTCCCAATCGATCAACTGAGTGTTGGAAGTGCTAATCGCGCTGGCACCTAGACGGCACGGCTATGGATCTAGTTAAAGTCATGCACTCTCTGCATGTATAATTTATCAGAATAAAAGTTATGTGGAAGGACACACTCCCGTGACGAAGACCCGATTGTCCGAGAAGCGATGAATGTCCCGGAAAAGACCAGTCTTGTCCTGTGGGAGCAGAGCCACCGTTACATTGCGAATATAATTTAGGGTCGCAATCTATGAAGTCGCGAAAGCCGATTGCCGGCCAGGCCAACACACTACAAGGCTGCAGGCCGGGAGGTCAAAGGGAACAGTGTCAATGAATGTGGTGCCGCTCTGTGGATCCGAACGTTACACTCCACCTGAGATCCTTGCAAGTTTACCAAAACTTGTGGTAATCAGGTATGCTAGTTAAGGCTGAAGCTGAGAGTCTTAATGCGACCAAGGTCATCACCCACGTCTTTACACTAACCCTCTACATGTCTGGTCTCCATCGTATCTGTTCGACGACTTTCAGCAAGTCTAAAAGAAAGTGCTGTTGTAGATGTTGAGAGATCTCTACCAAGGCATCTGATTGGCTAAACTCTAGATCTACGGCCGGGTCAAGGAGCGGAATGGATTGGCCCCCATGAATAGTGTGACTAGGCCCTGGCCATTGGCCTGAACCGAAGCACGATGGATGATGTCTCACTGACAACAAGATATAGGACGCCGTATTCTAACAAGTGTATAAGTAGCTTTCATAACTTCAAATCTTCATGGCTTCTTCTGTGTTCTGTCCATATAACTCAGTGCGGGCTCTTCTAGTTCACTATGGATGCACTTATTGCTTCAGCTACTGCCTTATTCAAGGCCGCGGATGAAGTTGGTCGACAGACTATCCTTGATGGTCTACGAAATCTGTCTGTCTCCCTGGAGACGGAACAAGATTCCATGCAGAGGGTGCTTTACGCAGTCAGTATTCAGATGAGTTGGGCATGAGTGACTGGCTAAGTTCCGACAGCAACTTCAATTGCCCATCGTACGCATAGGTTGCGATATTAAGCTCTTCAAGATCCTTGCAGACAGTCATGAGGCACTAGATAGTGCAACATTGGCAGTCAAGACTGGTGTAGCTCCGGGGTTGATGAGTGCGTATTTATGGGCCTGAAATTCCTTAAAAAAAATTGTTTACTGACTGACAGCTGTCCACAGGCCGGATTCTACGATATCTAGCATCGAATGGGTACGTTGCTGAGACCGCGAAGGACAGATTTGCCGCAAATACCATGACAACGCGTTTGACCGATCCGGGGTTCGAAGGAGGCGTCTACCACAAGTAAGTAAACAATTGGGAAGATCTACAGTAATGCTTACGTTGACAGCTCTAATACCGTTGGCCCTGCTGCCAACGCCCTTCCAGATTATTTGAAGAAGAGTGGCTACAAAGACGTCGACAACGTCTTCAACACTCCACTGCAGGTGGCGCATAAGACTGACCAACCCGCATTCATATGGATGCAAGCCGACGCCGAGAGGTTCCAGTACTTCGACAAATTCATGAGCGTTACGCACAAAGGTCTTCCAAGCTGGCTTGACGTATACCCTTATCAAGAGAAGGTTGCATCCGTCGGTCCAACTCAGCCTCTTTTCGTCGATATCGGAGGCGGCATCGGTCACCAGAGTGTTGCATTTCGTGAGAAAGTGCCAGACGTCCCCAATACGGTCATTCTTCAGGACGTGGAAGGGACCTTGGCCCATGCTATCAAGCATCCGGGTGTTCAAATCACCGCACACGATTTCTGGCAGCCTCAACCAGCTGGCAGTGTAGGCGCGAAGATATACTATCTCCGTAATATCCTGCACGATTATCCAGACGTCAAAGCACTGGAGCTCCTGCAAAACGTCAAAGATGCTCTGGCTCCGGGGTCGGTAATTCTCATTGATGACATGGTAATTCCCAATGCGAAAGCTCACTGGCATGCTACTCAAGTGGACATCACGATGATGAGCTGTTTGGCGAGCATGGAAAGAACGGAGGATCAGTGGTTTGCTTTAATCGAGAAAGCTGGTTTGAAGACGAACAAGATCTACAAGTATACGCAAAGCCTAGGCGACAGCATAATTGAATGCGTTGTAGCGGGTGGTGACTAAAGTGACAGACGGGGACTGGTAATTACAGATACTCCCGATCCTAGTGTCAGTTCTGGCATCAATAACAACGGTCTCAACCAATTGAACAGGATAGTAGCGATAAAGCTTTCGTGTTTGCGCCATTCTTACGTTGTGAAAGGACATGCCATGCGTCAGGTATAAAACTAGCTCTACTTTTCTATGCGAAACCCACAGGCAGAAACAGATGTCTCACCATAGAGCTTTAATGCTTACACCAGGGTTCCGCAGGGTAGATAGAGTGCTGCCAGTGTGGTCGACGCTAAGACATATCCGCATTGAGTCTAAACTTCGAGAAGTTGAAGACGTAAATGTGCATACATACCAGTATCTCGGTGCTTTGATGTTCTGCTGAATGTAGATGTCGCAGTCTCAAGATGACCCTTGCAGCATTTCACTTCGGATATGGGCCTTGGAAATTGGCCCGAAGCCAGGAGTTTATCAGTGTCTTTGTGTCGGGACTTCTTTCGTTAATGGTCGCACGGAAATGCTTGGGAAGAGGTCTCGGAATATTTGTCTCCGTTCGTGTATTTGTCGGCATCAGGCCGCCTTCGGTTTCGCCTTCTCGTCTTTCGGTTTGCTCTCTTTCAAAGGAACGATCTGATTGAGCACGATCTTATCGCCTTCTTTCTCTGGATCAATGCAGAAGTACCCCACGCGCATTCCCTGGAACCTGATGATATCATCGGATCCTGCATCAGGATTTTCTGAGACAGGCCTGTCTTGCTTGCCAAGAGAGCTGAATCCTTGCTCGATAAATGCATTGCTGAAGATCAACTCGCTGTTAGGGTTGATCTTGTCAACATAGCCGCCTTCGCTCCAATCAAGGTCGCCAGAGTTGAAGAGTGAACTGTATTTACGAGCTGTGACAGGGACGGCCGTTGCTACATCGACCCAATGGATCGTTCCGGAGTTTGACTTCATGTCTGCCTCCTGGCCTTTGACAGCGCGAATTTCTGTAATATTGCCATTCAAGTCTTTCGTAAATGTGGTCGCTCGAATAAGCATGGCGTTGATCAGCCGGACAGTCTTACCAGGAGCAAGCCGCTTGAAATCAGCATCATCCTCTTCTTTGAAATCCGAAGAATCGATATATATCTCTCGTGAAAACGTTACAGGCCGTTTGTGGGTGCTTAACGACCCAGTCCCGAAGGCTATCTCCTTTGTGAACTCGTCGTCCGGAGAGAGGTCTTCTATGACCACTTTCACTGGCTCAAGAACGAGCATCAGCCGGGCAACCCGAGGATGAAGGTAATCCTGGATAGTAGATTCGAATTTGTGTACTTCAGTATCAGTCTTGTTATCTGTAACGCCAAGATCCAGGACGAACGTGCGCATTGCCATCGCAGGAATTCCACGTCGGCGAAGAGCGACAAGAGTGAATAGTCTCGGATCGTCCCATCCTCGGACTTGTGGCTCGATTTTGCGCATCTCGGTAGTACCGTCTGGTAGCCTTTTCTCGGCCACAGTTCCCTCCACGAGCTTTTGAATGTTGCGTTTCGAAAGAATGGTACCTTGGACATTTAGGCGGCCGTATCTGTTATACATTTAATTGAGAATTGGTAAATCACTGGGTCAAACTTACTCTCGTTGCATAGGACCCTTTTCCTCGGAATTCGGAATTTTCATGTCCAATTGCTCGAGCAACCAATCGTACGACACACGCGACTGTCTGAATTCACTCGTGCATAGCGAGTGAGATATGTTTTCAAATGCATCACATATGCAGTGTGTAAAGTCATATGTTGGATAGATCCGCCATTTGTCTCCGGTACGGTGGTGGTAGTTCTGGTTCTTGACACGATACGCTGGCAAGTCCCACATTTGAGGATTTCCCTCCTCGGGGTCGGTTAGCTTTTGCTTCATTCGAAGGAAGGCTTCCCCTTCCTTGTACTTTCCATCTCTCATCGCACGGAATTCAGCTAGCGACTCCTCCACCGGACGAGATCGGTCAGCACATGCGTAACGCTTCCCCCTATTGTCAGGTCCACCACGCTGAAGATTTATCTCCTTTGCTGCACGCGCCGATCAGCTTCAAGTCGAGGCGGTAGCGCGAGAAGTCTTACCGCTGCAATGACATACGTATGCGCAATCTTTCGAGATCAACTTCTCGGCGAGATTGTACAGCTCGTCAAAGTGGTCGCTGCTATAAGTGATTGCGCATGGTTCAAAGCCTAGCCATTTGACCATATCCTGGATTGCAGTAAAGTACTTCTCCTCTTCTTTCACCGGATTGGTATCATCGTAACGAAGATAGCATTTCCCCTTGTAGTGTTGCGCAAAGCCGAAATTTACGGTGATCGCTTTCGCGTGCCCGATATGCAGGTAGCCATTTGGCTCAGGAGGGAACCGAGTGATGACATCTGGCCTTGGCTTTTCATCATAAACAGTTTTGAGCCATGTGGTATTGAATATTCTGCTTTGGAGGTCCTGCTCTGGTTCCACAGTCTTTGTTTGCGCCTCTTGAGGCTTTGGCTCTTTCGCTCGAGTAGGAAGGCCAGCCGCCTTGTTCTTTTCCGTCAGCCTTTTTTTCTCAAGCTTCTTTTGAAATTTCTTCCATTCGCCCTTTGAGATTCCTTCAGGTTGTTTTGAGGGTAGCACTTCCAGGGAGCTATATAAGACTTCGTCGAACGGTGGAGGGTTCTCCAAATCAATCGTTGGACTCGCTGCTGCTGTGGCCATCATATGAAGCAGCGTCGTGGGTGTTCGGGTGGAGTAATGCACTTCCGACACTTTGCCTCAGTTACAATATGAGCACGTCGCGTGAGTCAACAGTCGGAGGAATGCAGCTTTGCTCCCCCGCCGTCAAATACCTTATCGATAAGCCGGGTTCCAAATGACTAAGACGGATCGATTAAGCCACATATTGTGGCGTTATAACCCTCCTCCCAAAAGTTAATTCGTGTCGCGTCAAGAACACGGTCTCATCATCTGCATAAGCCGTCAATCCGCCATCACTCATGATGGCTCTTGTCGACGATCCTCAGATCAAGTCGGCGAGCTTGTACAACCCTTTACCGACCTCACTACACACTTATGTTTGGCCGTTTCTACTCATCTGGCCTGCCTTCCTCGCCTTCTACCTCTCCCCCGAGCGCTATGAGAAGCACATACAATCTCAAGAGTGGACATTCGTATGGTGTGGATCCATCGTAACAATACAGTCACTTGTGTGGCTTTCGACGCACTGGAATGTTAACCTGAAGTCTCTCTTCACCTCCTTGGGCGCAAAAGACGTCTATACCGCGAAATTGATCAAGGTCATACCCATTGCGAACGCCGGATCAGCGGAGATATGTCAGCTCAAGCGGGACACTTTCGATGGCAAAGAAAACATATCTTTCCTGTTCCAAAAGCGCCGATTTCTGTACGAGCCCGAGAAGAAGACTTTTGCGCCATTAGCCTATGCTTTGGATGCGGAGCCCAAGCCTCACTTGAAAGCATTCCAGCAGTCTAAAGGTCTTATATCGCCTACAGAAATCGCGAGGATACAGAGATACTACGGAGACAACTCGTTCGACATTCCCGTTCCGACCTTTACCGAGCTCTTCAAAGAGCATGCCGTCGCGCCGTTCTTCGTGTTCCAGGTATTCTGCGTAGGACTGTGGATGTTGGATGAATATTGGTACTACTCGCTATTCACGCTGTTCATGCTTGTAGCATTCGAGAGTACTGTGGTATGGCAGCGACAGCGAACTCTGAACGAGTTCCGAGGCATGAGCATCAAACCTTACGACCTTTTGGTATACAGAGAGAACAAGTGGCAGGAAACACAGAGTGATAAACTGCTCCCAGGCGATCTCGTGTCCGTCGGGAGGACCAAAGAGGACAGTGGCGTTGCTTGTGACATGGTTCTGATTGAGGGAACGGCTATTGTGAATGAAGCTATGCTTTCTGGAGAGAGTACGCCAGTATTGAAGGACTCGATCCAGTTACGTCCCGGCGAAGCACGCATCGAGCCCGAAGGACTTGATAAGAACGCATTCCTGTACGGAGGAACCAAAGTCCTCCAGATCACCCATGGCACCACCAGCGAGGACGCGCCTGACGTAATCCCACAGCTGTCTTCCGGTGTCCCTCCGCCTCCTGATAAGGGTGCTATAGCCATCGTTGTCAAGACGGGCTTTGAGACCAGTCAGGGCAGTCTCGTTCGCACCATGATCTACTCGACTGAGCGAGTATCTGCTAACAACATCGAAGCGTTGTTTTTCATATTGTTCCTTTTGATGTTCGCAATTGCTGCATCTTGGTACGTTTGGGAGGAGGGTGTCGCACGAGACCGGAAACGGTCAAAGTTGTTGTTGGACTGCGTTCTCATCATCACAAGCGTGGTACCCCCTGAGCTGCCCATGGAACTTAGTCTCGCAGTCAATACCAGTCTTGCTGCTCTCAGTCGATATGCAATATTCTGCACAGAGCCTTTCAGAATCCCATTTGCTGGGCGCGTTGATGTTGCTTGTTTTGACAAGACCGGTACATTGACAGGCGAGGATCTTGTCGTTGATGGTATTGCCGGGTTGTCTCTAGGCAAGTCTGGAGCGAAGCAAGAAGCTGATGGTGCGCAGCCTGAGCTTGTTCCGATCCCTAAAACGGGACTTGATACCACTCTTGTCCTTGCTACAGCGCATGCTTTGGTCAAGCTAGACGAAGGAGATATTGTCGGAGAACCGATGGAAAAGGCCACACTGCAGTCGCTTGGATGGACTCTGGGCGACAAGAACATCCTCACGAGCAGAGCTAAGAGCGCAGTCCATGGCGAATCATATGCAACCCAAACCGACTCTGTTCAAATTCGACGCCGCTTCCAGTTCTCATCCGCTCTAAAGAGGCAGAGCTCTGTCGCTACCGTTTTTACGACAAACAGACAGACGCAAAAGAAGACCAAAGCTACATTTGCGGGTGTCAAGGGAGCGCCTGAGACAATTCGAAAGATGCTGGTTGAGACTCCGCCTAAATACGAAGAGACTTTCAAGTACTTTACCCGTAATGGAGGCCGTGTCCTCGCACTTGCGTACAAGTACATCTCAACTGAAGCCGAGATTGGGCAGAACCGCATCAACGATCTAAAACGAGAAGACGTGGAGTGTGACCTTCACTTTGCAGGATTTTTGGTTCTACAGTGCCCTCTTAAAGACGACGCAAAGAAGGCTGTGCGGATGCTCAACGAGAGTAGCCATCGAGTTGTCATGATCACTGGAGACAATCCTCTCACGGCTGTACATGTTGCCAAGCAGGTGGAAATTGTGGATCGAGACTGCCTTATCCTAGATGCGCCAGAGAATGACGACTCCGGGGAAAAGCTCGTGTGGCGGAGTGTGGATGATAAAGTCAACATTCCTGTCGATCCCAGCGCGCCCTTGGATGCGGAGATCCTGAAGACTAAGGATCTATGTGCAACTGGGTATGCTCTGACCAAGTTCAAGGGACAAGCGGCATGGAAGCAGATTCTTCGCCACACTTGGGTCTACGCGCGGGTGTCGCCTAAGCAGAAGGAAGAGATTTTGCTCGGACTCAAAGACGCAGGCTATACAACACTGATGTGTGGCGACGGCACGAATGACGTTGGTGCATTGAAGCAAGCCCACATTGGAGTCGCGCTCCTGAATGGTACGACTGACGATCTGCAAAAGATTTCGGATCACTTCAGAACGACAAAGATGAAGGAAGTTTACGAGAAGCAAGTCAGCTTGATGAAACGATTCAACCAGCCAGCACCGCCCGTCCCGCCCATGATTGCCCATCTGTATCCCCCCGGCCCTTCGAATCCACACTACGAGAAGGCTGTGCAGAGGGAAGCCGAGAAGAAGGCCAAGAAGGAGGGCAAGTCCGTCGAAGAGATGCAACAAAGCAATGGTATCCCTACCATCACGAGCCCAGAAGCGCAAAAGCTGCAACAGTCCCAAGCGCTTAGCCCTCAGGATCAACGCAAGCAGAAAGCGCAACAAGCCGCGCAGAGCATGGCAGAGAAGTTCACGACTAGCATGATGGAGCAAGAGCTCGACGACAGCGAACCTCCTACCATCAAGCTCGGCGACGCGTCTGTTGCGGCACCGTTTACGAGCAAGCTAGCCAACGTGATTGCGATCCCGAATATCATTCGTCAAGGCCGTTGTACGCTCGTTGCCACGATACAGATGTACAAGATCCTCGCATTGAACTGCTTGATCAGTGCGTACAGTCTGAGTGTTCTGTACCTGGACGGAATCAAGTTTGGCGATGGTCAGGTGACCATCAGCGGCATGATGATGAGCGTCTGCTTCTTATCCATCTCTCGTGCCAAGTCGGTCGAGGGTCTGTCCAAAGAACGCCCGCAACACAACATCTTCAACCCATACATCATCGGATCCGTTCTGGGACAGTTTGCCATCCACATCGGCACACTGATCTACATATCCCAATACGTCCAGCGCACAGAACCGTAAGTCTAGCTATTGTCCCAGAACCCTTGTGTATTCTTACCTTGTCTCACCCGGTGTCACTATACTGACATCTATTCCCAAACAGCAAAAAAGCCGACATCGACCTCGACGGCGACTTTGAGCCCTCCCTCCTCAACTCCGCAATCTACCTCCTCCAACTCATCCAGCAAATCTCCACCTTTGCAATCAACTACCAGGGCCGCCCCTTTCGCGAATCCATCAAGGAGAACCGCGCCATGTACTGGGGCCTGCTCTCCGTCTCCGGCGTCGCCTTCTCCTGCGCCACGGAATTCATCCCCGAGCTCAACGAGAAGCTCAAGCTCGTCCCCTTTTCCGCCGACTTTAAGCTTACCATTACGGCTGTCATGCTCGTCGATTTCGCGGGCTGTTGGGTTGTCGAGAAGGTGCTCAAGACGCTGTTTAGCGATTATAGACCGAAGGATATTGCGCTGCGCCGGCCCGATCAGATTGAGAGGGAGGAGGCGCGTAAGAGGGATGAGGCTGTGGTGGAGGAGAGGAGGAGGTTGGGCGAGGTGGAGAAGGGGAAGGCGTAGGGGCTGTGTGGTGTGGTCTGTTGTGTGTGGTTGTTCGTGGTCTCTACACCCCCCCTCCACCCTCCACCCTCCGCACGAGAGCATGGGATATGTATGGGCTTTCGTGGACTCCTCGACCCCTGCAGGGACCCGCCCTTTTCCTCTCGCCCCGAGCGATGATAGATGATTAATTTCTAGACTATTACTACTCACTAGCACAGCACAGCACAGCACAGCACAGCACAGCACAGCACAGTACAGTACAGTTGTAAAGTAAAGTAGTACAAATATACACATACAAGCAAACCCTTTATGATGCACGGCATTACATTATATCATATCATATCATATCATATCATATCATATCACGTATGTCCCTTTACCTATCAATCTATCTAATTAACCCGTCCATCTCCCCGAGTTTGAAAAGTAGAAACAACGGCGTTGGGTGAGTGAAGGACGGGCGGGGGACCACAACCAAAAAATAAAATAAAAATTAAAATAAAAATTAAAATAAAAATTAAAATAAAAATTAAAATAAAAATTAAAATAAAAATTAAAATAAAAATTAAAATAAAAA